ATCATTTATGAAAAATAATTTTTCATACATTTGAACAATTTGTATTGATTATTCACAGGAACGAAATTATAAAAATGGGCATTATCCATGATTTTGTTCCACTTATTCCCCCGCAATTGAATTGACAACTTGATGACTGAAACTGTAAGAGATCCTTGGATATCCTTCGGAGAGCATAAAACTTTTTCGTCTGTATGTCAAAAACAACTGGAGCAGAATGGGCTGTCTCTCCTGAAATTTCGGATGAGATTTTCCAATCGTTTCGATGACACCCCTCGAACTCCTAACGTGTCAAACCGGCAACAATGAAAAATACTTGAGGACGATCTTTTCAAGTAATTTGAAAACAGTTTCCACGTCCCTCAATTTCAAGACGAGTGGAAACTTTTTCCATAATTTTTCCTAAACTCTCCTCTCCATACAATCTCTCCGCCGTTTGATCATCATCAAGCAGACATGTAAATAGCTGTGCAACTCGAGTATAAATAACCGACTGACACTTGAAAATAATCTGCTGTTGTCTATCATTACACCAGAGGAGAACGGGGATAATTGAATTAACTTTGATCAGACGTTATACGGCTGCAAGTGCACGCCACCTTGAGGTCCTCGGGTCGACGACATGCGAGCTCCAATTTCACGACTAGAGTCTTTTCAACGAAAAATTCATCCACTCGTGCGTGCGAAAAAATTTCACAAAAAACTGCGAATTCGTTAAAAAATTCTGTTATCTGCGTATTTTTTCAATTGAAATATTCAATAAAGAATATTCTACAGGAAAAATTAATAGAAGTTCATTTTTCTATACAACTTTTCGTATTTTTCATATTATTTTTTTCATCGAAATTCCTCGGTTTTCGAAATATTTTTCATCGAAATTCTTGGGCTCAAGTTTTCCAATTTTCGTGTCAGAAAAAAAGAAGAAAAATAAAGTGGAAAAACCGTTGAAAATTCATATCGAGGAATTCCTATAGGAAAAATTCTGTGGATAGATGAAATTCTGTTAACTATTTTCTATAAAATATTTTTATTGAACAGTTTTTTATTAAAAATCGCGCAGTCACGCCGATCGGCCAAAAAATAGTAGAATTTTCTGTCGAATTCGCTATATTTTTTCTATTCAATTTTTTCGTGCATGTATATTCCTGAGAAATCCCGAGCTAGCCTCCCATACGAAAGAACCCACCGAGTCTCAATTACCCGGAGTCGTGGAAATTCCCGAAAAGCGAGGATGATCCTCGTGATCGAATGTGTGTCACGAGTCTCTTGGCAGTGGTGTGTACACTGTTATGTCGTTAAACTCAGATGAAACTGTTAGGCAATAGTGGCTGCAATCTTGGTTGGTCTGTGCAGCCTCTCGAGTGCACTTGGAAAAGTTTTTCATTGAAAAGAGTGAGCATCAGTCACTGTTGCCGGCAAATTCCCCTTCTCTCGTGGTTTGACGGCGGTTCTGACACTTCTCTCAACTTCTGCAGCTTCTTCGCTGTTAGAAAATTACCCCTTAAATTTCAACTGAAGAATGTTGAAATTTTGAGGGGAAAATCTTCAAGTTGAGGAAGAAATCTTGGGATTTCTCCTCATAATTTTTTTTTATAGAAAAAAAAATGTCTACTTTTCTAAATAACTTATTCTATTGCTTTTTTTTCAGCAAGAATTCATGGACATGAATTTTCCAGGTTCCTTGCACGGCATTTTCCATTTCTCATTACAAAATAAATTATTTATTTGAATGAAAAAATTATTTTAAAAAATTATTAGAAAAAAGGAAATACCAAAAATATAATTTTTCTAGACGAAGAAACACTTCAACAAGATGAATAATAATTCTTCTTATTGAAAAACAGAATAAGCGATGTAGAAAAATCAACATTCATCGACTTTTTGTTTTAAAATTTATTCCCCACGTGGAAATGCAAAAAAAAGTGGAACATACTCCGAATGCAGGTTAAAATAAACTATTCACTCAAATGATTTGCCCCATCGTTTACTCTCACTCTAAAAAATTGAATGTAAAAATTATTTTTAAAAATTATTAGAAAAAAGGAAATACCAAAAATATAATTTTTCTAGACGAAGAAACACTTCAACAAGATGAATAATAATTCTTCTTATTGAAAAACAGAATAAGCGATGTAGAAAAATCAACATTCATCGACTTTTTGTTTTAAAATTTATTCCCCACGTGGAAATGCAAAAAAAAGTGGAACATACTCCGAATGCACGTTAAAATAAACTATTCACTCAAATGAGTTGCCCCATCGTTTACTCTCACTCTAAAAAATTGAATGTAGAAATTATTTTAAAAAATTATTAGAAAAAAGGAAAAACTCAAAATATAATTTTTCTAGACGAAGGAACACTTCGACAAGATGAATAATAATTCTTCTTATTGAAAAACAGAATAAGCGATGTAAAAAAATCAACATTCATCGACTTTTTGTTTTAAAATTTATTCTCCACGTGGAAATGCAAAAAAAAAGTGGAACATACTCCGAATGCACGTTAAAATACACTATTTACTCAAATGGTTTCCCCCATCGTTTACTCTCGCTCTATAAAATTACGATATTTTTCTCTCATATTTCGAGGGATTTGGGGGGGGAAAAAATATCGTACACTACATAGATAGACACATTTCACAGTAGAAATACTGTGGTAGCGTTAACGAAAGACCCGGTGCGGTGGCAACGAAACTAAATCGATACAGGCCAGGCGGTACGCACCACCGAGGGCTCGTGCTCGTCCTCTTTTCAACATTTCCACATGACAACATGTAACACTTCTTTTTCATGCTGTGAAACTATGAAAAAACTTGTCACGACTTTGTAGTCCCAGAAAAAATTATGCGTAAGAAGTTTTCCAACTTCCGCACGATTTTAAACCCGTTTTACTGCCCACCGAGTGTTTCGTCGGTTCACCGTAATTTATTGGATCAAGTTTGATAGTTACGAGGCTGTTACGTAAAAGCCAGTGGGAAAATATCGAAAAATAATAATAGTGTGGAGCAGTCGTGCTGACACGAGTCAAAGTCCAATGCCAAATGTCGTGGTAAAGAGTCAATGCACTTGCGGATGAGATCATCGTTTGATGTGCCAACAGGTGCATTCATCCAGGGCTGATGTGTCAGACCAGTTTAAAGGTTTCACTGGACGTCAAACGTTCAATTTACTCGTCAAATTTGCATCAATCCCGTCATCCTCTGAGATATTGAGCTCCGGGTGAAGTGAAGAGGAAAAATTTCATGTCAAATCAAATCCAGTTGATTTTACACGATTTTCAGTCATTAAATTCGGTAATTAAATTTCGTGAGAAAAAGTTCAATTGAATTAATTGATGAATAAGCCATAGAAATTGGTCAACGTTCAGGGAGCGGTTTTCAAATAGAGAATTCAGCGGCGAAGCTGTAAAACGGTTTATGTCGATTCAGCCTTCAGCTCGGTTTTCGAGGAATATCTCCGGATCTAAGGGAGATGGCGAAATTTTCGAGATAATCTTTTCCGTTGCTCTCAGTTCGCTCTACAAAAAAGGTCGTAACGAACATTTTGCTAACTCCCTTAGATTTCGAGATATTCATTGAACATCGGTCAATAATCAAAAACGACATAAACTTTTTACGGCTTTGCTGCTGAATTAAATTTATACATTTAAATAACATGGATTAAAAATGTAATAATAATTATTATTATTGCAAAATGTCTGGCGATCTAAAGTAGAATGAGTCTCAAATGAGAGCTTCGAAATGAAATCTTCAGGGGCATAATTTCTCATTAATTTTCCGTCAAAAAATCTAATTATGAATGACATTATCAATTTGTCTCGTAATTCTCACTGCGGTGGAGACTCCACCAACTCACCACTCTCTCACTTTATTCTATTCCACCAATCATTCGGGCGTTGAAACACTTTCCGTCTCAAATTTCCTGTTATCGAATATACTGCATTTGTCACTATCTGATATCTCCATTACGCCGATAGGATATTGTCACATTGTCGCATGTAACGAATTCAGTTGTGGAGTGGTAAAACGAGATGAGCTGACATGGAGGTCGGAGTGGATGGGTTAATCTGGGGGATGAAGTGATGAAATTTTTGGAAATTGAGGGGAGAGAATTTTTTCGTCAATTATTGACGGGAAGATCCTTCTAGTGATAATTTGTATTCAATTAGTGTTGAAGTTCCATTGGAATTCTATTCAATTTTATTCGTTTTTTTAACCGCGTGATGGGTATCTGATAAAAACCAATCAATTTAATCAACCAATTTAATGATCGTTCATGTTTTTCAAAGAAGAAATGTTTAAAAATCAAGACTTAACCCAGGGTCTTATGTAAAAATCAATTTCCCTTGTAATCAAAGATTAAAATCTGAATTTTTTTTTCATTAGACGTGAAAAAATCAAGAATTTTTGTTGACACCTCACAAAAAATAATCCATCATTTTGCAAACAAGTATTATTATTTATTTATAAGAGGGAAATGTTTGAAAAAAATATCAATATTTTGCGAAATTTAATTTAGATAATACTGGCTGGGTATGAATTTTTTCAAATTTTTTTCATGCAATTTAGTTCAGTAGCGAAGCGGTAAACCGAGTTGAGTCGATTTTGACTATTGGCCAGTTTTTGACGAATATCTGGGAATCTAAAAGAGATAGAAAATTTTTTATCATGACCTTTTTTGTAGAGCCAACTGAGGGTTATAAAAAAGGTGATGAACAAAATTTTGCTATCTCTCTTAGATTCCGAGATATTTGTCAAAAAATGCCCAAAAGTCAAAATTGACTTAACCCGGTTTACCGCTTCGCTACTGAGTTGAAAAATTAAAAAACTGAAAATATCCAAAAGTACAGCGTAGCCCGGCCGAAGGATAGAGCTACTTTAAGCCGTTTTACCACTTCGCTACTGAAATGATCCCATAAATATGGAAAAATCACCCCCCATCGATTTTCCATCATACGTCCTCTAGTTTTTTAATCCACAATATTTTTTTTCTATTTTCTAGGGTTGTGATCCTGGGAGTGCTCCTGGGAATAGTAGAATGGGATCGTTCTGTAACCTGTGTCCTCCTGCTCTGGGAATACATCCTCGGTTACCTCGGGATATTCATCGCCTCAATGGCCATCGAACTGGCCATTTGCATCCTCGCAACACGTGGAAGTATCCTCGACACGATTCCAAGAGCCCCAATGCAGCATCTTTTGTACATCAAAGTGTGTAAGTAGTCCCTCTGATCAATAGGACATGAATCAGTCGTCTGGGCTGGTAAATACTCAGCTGTGGCTGCCAATCGAAAACATTTTTGCAGATCGATATTCGATCCAACGTGGGTCGAGACATTATTTGACATTTTATGTCTCATGACCTACTTCAGGTGGTTTTATTATACTGTCCCTCGGGGACCTTTCCACTTGGTAATGCTGTAAATTTCACCCGGGGGAAGGCTTTCGTCGAGCTATTTTTTAATAGATTTTTTTTATAGCTTTTCATAACGATGCTGTATTTTTACTTTATGGAGACAATCATGTGGTTGGATTATGGCAGGGATATTCATGCAACTGTGTTTGATGGTGTTTTTAGTTCAGTAGCAAATCATGGAATTTATGATTTGGTTTTGGTATTTATGGCGTTCACTGCGAGGGTTCAATTTAATAGAGATTTCTGTTGACGATTATTTATTATTTACTTTTTTCTGAAAAAAGTTAATAATCGTCATAAATTCGAGAAATTTTCTAATTTTTTTTTCATTCTATTTATCTTTTCGTTTCATAAAAAAAAATGAAACAAAAAAAAATTTGAAAATTTGAGCCAAGGAAATTCTATAGAAAATAAAAATCGAATTCTCTTTACTTTTTCTACAGAATATTCCCAATTGAACATTTGCAATAGAATCAGCCAAAAATTAACATAAAGTTCAGTAGAAATTCAATAGAATTGTCTAGCGAATTCGCTAGGTTTTGCTATCAAATGTTCCGTTGATTTTTCTAATAAAATAATTGAAATTGTCAAAATAAAAAAAATGATTTCTTCTCACCACTCATCAACAAGCCACATGAATTCCCGGAAAAAAATATTCTCAAAACGAATATCATTTCAATTTCGTTTCCTGACGTTTCCCAACTCCCCACCGCAATTAAAACATTTGCTTTCAGTTTTATTATTATTAGAAACGGGATGGCTCTGCACCGGTGTCACGTGGCTAGTGTATTATTACACAAATTGTCCAGCAGCGCAAGCCAAAGAAGTAATTCTAGGTACGTCCTATCGACAAACCCCCCCAGCAACCGGGTCACCCACAATAAATGCATCAATACCGGCTTTTCAGGATTAGTTATTTGCAATTGGTGTATATTGGCGTCGGTGATGGTGACAGTCTGGTGCACTTACGACGCCGCCGGAAGGTCCTGGGTCAAAATGAAGAAATACCAGAGGAGTATGAGGGAGGCTGAGTCCCGAGGCGGTGGGAGAATGCACTATAAACGTAGCGGCAGTAGAAATAGGAACTGGAGGCAGCGGTATGAGCAAACTCAATTTTTCATAAATCCTATTTCATCCTGTTTTTTATTTTTAAAATTTACTATTTAGGAAAGTTATTAGGGCGTACCAGGACAGCTGGGATAATCGGTGTCGGATGCTGTTTTGCTGCATGGGAAATTCTGACAGGAATAGAGTGAGTTTTGCGTGAATTCTCTAGCGAAGGGGCAGAACAAGTTCATTCAGTTTTCAATAAATATCTCAGGACCTAAGCCAAATTGCCAAATTTGTTTCAAGGATATCCAAGTACTTTGGCTATTTTTTCTCTGGCGAAATGGTTCTCTATCTCTGCAGGCGAACATGAGAGCTTTTATTTGAGCCCCAATTGCAGGTCTGAATTTGAATCTCGATGTTAAATACAAAATTAATGACGAAAAATTAGAAAGTTTACTATTGGAGGAAGATTGATGAAATAATTCATAAACAATCAATTTTCCATCATTAAACTCATTAAACTCACTTGTTCAGAATCGTAACAAATTTCTTCACATTCAGAATTTCACCAGAAATCCATTTCACGCCTTAAAACAATAAGGCTTCCGAAAGTTTAAACTTCAACTTCACTGATTTATTTACAAACAGCGAATATTAAAAAAATGCTAATTCTGTGCAAAATGTAATTTGAATGACGCTGAATATAACTAAATTGTAAACGATACTCGGAGATCCTTAAGACAAAAAGGTCCTCACGATAATTCCGCTATCAATTCAATAGAAATCCAACAGAATTGTCTGCGATTTCGCCAGTTTTAATCTGCAAAATTTTCTCGTACATTAATAAAAATTCCGTTCCCACAGAATTCTTTTGCAGACATAGCAAAACTCCTCAGTGATTTCTTCCGCGATCTGGACGTCGTCCCATCAGACGTGGTAGCCGGTCTAGTCCTCCTCCGTAAATTTCAAAAAATCGAACGCGAGCTCATCGTGAAACAGCGAAAAAACGATACCTATGAATTCCTATCCGGCGTACCCATAACCCCGAGGACCAAGTTTCTCTCCCTGACTGAGGACGGTGATTTGGCACATTTTCAAGACACCATTCACTACATGCACTTCGCCCTGGCCGCCTACGGCTGGCCATTATTTTTTATCAATCACACAACGGGCCTCTGCCAATTGTGCACCAGGTGAATTATATTTAGAATTGCTCTCTCTATCCCTCGGTTCATCGGAAACAACTCAATTGTACATGAACAATTGGCTTTTGCATTTTTTTTTTCCTCCTCAGATTGCGATGTGGCTGTGTACCCTGTATAAAACACGAGGACGATGCTATAATTGTCGAGGACAATTGTTGTCAGTGCAACTATGCTGCACTACGTCGAATGGTTGAAATTGGAGAAATTGACATTATTTACGCGACATTTCACGTTGATGTTGGCGAAACGCCGTTCTTCGTGGCACTTGACTACACAAAGAAAAAAGTTGTCATCAGTATTCGTGGTACACTTAGTATGAAGGATGTTCTCACTGACTTGAATGCCGAGGCTGAAGTACTACCATTGACACCACCCAGAGATGACTGGCTGGGGCATAAGGGGATGGTGCAAGCAGCTGAATACATTAGGAAGAAAATTTATGACGAGCAGATCATTACTACAGCTTTTGCTAAGGTGAGATGTCTTCGGTATTCACTAAGTGCTCGAGTTGAAAGCTCGGAGATCTTTTTGAGCATAATTATGCGGTTTTAAATGATTGGAAGGTTTGAGTGATTGATGAGAAATGAGAGTCGAGTGAATCCTCTCGTATTGAGGCTCATGAAGACGAAATGTGACGTTAAGGTGATGGACGTGAAATGGGCGGTTTTAATGTCGAACGGGAAAAAGTGTCGTTTCGCTGTTTGTTAGAACCGTTTTGGTACGATCTTAATAGTTTCCATAAGAGATAACTTTGCGCAACTTCGTGGATATCATCATTATTCACCCATTCGTAAATATCAGATACTATCACTGTCTTTCAACTTCTTTGAAGACGTTTCATGACAACAAATCGATATCAATAATACGAAAAAAGTACTTATGATTTAATCAAAATAATTTGATCAGAAAAAAGGTGTCTTAAATGAAATCACTTTTGCCTTTATCAAGTCATTTGTCCAGAGGGGTCTTAACCCCTCACGGGCGGGGCCCTTTTGTTTCCAAGCGTGGAGTACAGTCGACAAAACTAGAAAGTAATGACTTCTAATCAACGGAAAATTATGACACCGACATGTAATTGAAGCTACAGTATTCCTTTTTTCGTTGTTATCTGTTTGGTTGAGTTAAATCCCAGTTTTGGAAATAATCAATTTCAAAGAGAGTCATTCATATCCTCATGGGTCGAAGCGTGGCATCGACCCCTGAGGGGTTAAACAGACGGAAAAAGTGTCTCAATTTGAGGTCTTTGAGTTTTGATTGCAACCGCTGTCTCGCTGTGTGCAGGATCCAGCAAGAGGAACAGATCAATTTGGCTTGACTCTAGTGGGCCACTCCCTCGGTGCTGGAACAGCATCAATCCTCGCAATTCTCCTCAGACAGGAGTACCCAGACCTGGTGTGTTTCTCCTATGCACCACCTGGGGGTCTCCTGAGCATGCCAGCCCAGGTGTACACCCAGGAGTTCATAACGTCCGTCGTAGTGGGTAAAGACGTGGTGCCCAGGATAGGACTCCGACAAATGGAGAGCCTACGCGCTGACTTGATAAACGCCATAAAACGCAGTGTCGATCCTAAGTGGAAGACAATAGCCTGCTCGGTTATGTGCTGTGGGTGTGGATCTACACCGACGTCTGCCGCGAATTTGGAAGCCGGTGGGTGCATTGCGGAGTACCAGAGGGATAAGGATCAGGCGAGGGCCCAGACCATTGTTCCCAGTGATTCTAGTATAGCCTTGACACTTCATACACCACTGTATCCACCTGGGAGGATCATTCATGTTGTCAGGCATCATCAGAACAAGGGGGAGTGAGTATTTGAAGTATTCTTTGAATGAATATTTGAATTCCAACTATTTAAGCGCCGGGCTAGTCAGAACTGTCAAAAGTATGTGGAAAAAGTGAAAACTGAGAAACCGTTTTTTTTGGCCCCAGCCAAAGGGCCAGATTTTCGGGTTTTCCGGGGCAAGTGGATTTTCGCCAAAATTTATTTTTTTAGTCGGGTGAACGTTGATTCCAACTATTCAAGCGACGGGCTATTCAGAACTATCAAAAGTATGTGGAAAAAGTGTAAACTGAGAAAGTTTTTTTTTCAGATTTTCAAAGGGTCAGATTTTCGGGTGTTCCGGGGCAAGTGGATTTTCGCCAAAATTTATTTTTTTAGTCGGGTGAACGTTGATTCCAACTATTCAAGCGACGGGCTATTCAGAACTATCAAAAGTATGTGGAAAAAGTGAAAACTGAAAAAAAAAATTTTTCACCGGAGGCCAATGTGTCGGATCTTGGATTTTTCCGGGGGGAAAGTCGGTCCAAGGGTCACAAGGGTGAAAGTGTCAGGTGTTGGATTTTTCGCCAAAATCGAATTTTTTAACCGGGTAAACGTTGATTCCAACTATTTAAGCGCCGGGCTAGTCAGAACTGTCAAAAGTATGTGGAAAAAGTGAAAACTGAAAGTTTTTTTTTCAGATTTTCAAAGGGTCACATTTTCCGTTTTTTCCAGAGGGAAAGTCGACTTTCGCCAAAATCGAATTTTTTAGCCGGGTGAACGTTGATTCCAACTATTTAAGCGACGGGCTATTCAGAACTCTCAAAAGTATGTGGAAAAAGTGAAAACTGAAAGTTTTTTTTTCAGATTTTCAAAGGGTCACATTTTCCGTTTTTTCCAGAGGGAAAGTCGACTTTCGCCAAAATCGAATTTTTTAGCCGGGTGAACGTTGATTCCAACTATTCAAGCGACGGGCTATTCATAACTCTTAAAAGTATCCTATCGTAAAAAGGAGAAAAGAAATTGATCCCGAAATATCTCAAAAGTCTCGAATAAGCGTCAGCGTAAGACTGAAACCGAAGCGCCACTACGTGAAGAGATGAGAAGGCGCGTGCGCAGCACGCGCGGCCGATCTCCTTGTATAAAAAAATCGAATTCTATCAATTTGCCCTATAAAATGTCCATTAAATATTTCTGTTGAAAAAAAAACGCGCAGACAGAATAAAATATGGTAGCGACAAATAATTTGAATGAGTCGTTTTTTGTGTTTCAGGCCGAAATACGAGTCTAGATGGAGGTGAGTTTAAATTACGTTAAAATCCTGTTAAATTCCTCTAGAAGATAAATTCAAAGAGCCAAGGGAAAAGACTTTAGTCTCAATTGTCGAATTTTATGAATAATTTTGTGGCTTCCCAGAAATCTTCTTCGAAAACGAGAGCCAGTTTATCAAGCCCTCTGGGCAGGCCCCGGTGATTTCGACGAAGTTCTCATCAGTCCTGTAATGATACAGGATCACATGCCTGACACAATGCTAAAGGCCCTCAATAAGGTAAGCGATCGACAAATTATGAACGATGAGGGGGATGTGAGGAGTAGACAAATACCGATAAGTAGAAGTTCCTCGTTGAAGCCAGGCACTTACGAGCCACTCGAGGAGACTGTCGATAGTCAAGACATCATCATTGATGCTAATATCGGTGGGACATCTCCACTGAGTTGTCGAAATGTTGACATTGTCAATTGTTCAAATAGCGAGAGTTTTTCAACTGAGACTGTTAGTAATATTGTCGTTGATGTGCAAGTGCACGGTGCTGATTAATTAGTTGCTCAGTTATTAGTTGACTAGGTCATTAATTATAGAATCAATATAAATCGGTAGTTGTGAGCGGCTAAGCGATAAATCATCCATAAAATATCACATTTTATAAACATCAACATGTTAACATTGAATTCATCTTATTACACTATTACAAGAAATTTAATAGAACAATTTAACGCTTTCTCTAATTTTCTCAATGTTTTATTAGAATTTCTGTGAGAGACTATGCAACCTTACCGTGTCATTTCGTTAAGGCACATTTGATAGAAAAAGTGCAATAGATTTTGATTTTTCTGCACAATTTTTTTCGCATAAATTTTCCAGGCTTTTCCAGCTGTATTTTTATTTTCAAAATCCATAGAAAAAGCAGAACACTTATGCGCAATAATTCCTAGAGGAAAATCAACATCTATAGACTTTCCTATAAACAACTATCTGTTTAAAAATGCGGTGGATGTTGCATAATTTTAAGTTGTTGTGAATTTTATTCACAATCAGAAAACCCATTCATTTGCCTCTACAATCCTTTCAAATCACGATCTTTATTCATGTGATATTTTATCTGATATTTCCGGCTGCTGCCTTTTTGAACAATTGGGAGGAACAGAATGTAATTAAATAGACTACAGTTGAATAGTTTTTGTACAGTTTGTGATAAATATCAACAGTCCACTTTTTGTTGAGTGTTGAATTGGCTGTGACTTTGGGAATTCAAAGAATTTACATTCCACATTCTTCTCCCCCTGCCCTTTCATTCGTATTGCTCCTGTAATCCAATAGTTGCCACGAATGTTATCGAAAAACTCTCCCAACAACTCTTACTCCATCGCCCACGTACACTCGTCCACTGAAGTTCCCATAACCGGATGTTCAACATCTTATATCAACTACGTGACAAAAACTCGAGTTACTTCAGCAAACGATTGCTTTGAGTTATGGGCACGCTGCAGTCAATCCCAATGGGGCTATTTTTAATAATGACACTTCCCGCTGCGATCGCAATATCCCCCCGCGGGGCCGACGGAGAAGCGGCTTTATTGCCTTTTGAATAAAGCATTTTGAATGGAGAAAATCAATAGTTGGAATTTTTTGACTTTCCGCCGAGTTGGGGGCGCAATTAAACATTCGGGATAAGCCGATTCCTTTCAAATGATTTGATCTCGAAAAACGTGACTTCTTTAAGAATTTCTTCAGCAGTTCTATTAAAACTACATTAACATTCATAGGATTTTATCTCGTTCAATTGTAACATCTAGAGAAAAAAAAGACTCGAAGTGTAATTAAAGAAAAATGTTATAAGACTTTAACGGATATTCACTTCTAAAAACTCTTGTTCCCAAAATGAAACCACAATTGGGTTATTCTATTTTTTTTAATTGAATAAATGAACAAAAAGTTATTATCGAAATAAAAAAATTTGTCCAATCCAATTTTTTTAAAACGTCTTGCAGTTCTATTAAAACCACATTAACATTCATAGGATTTTATCTCGTTTAATTGCAAGATCTAGAGAAAAAAGACTCAATGATGTGTAATTAAAGAAAAATGTTATCAGACTTTAACACATATTCACTTCTGAAATCTCTTATTCCCAAAATGAAACCACAATTGGGTTATTCTATTTTTTTAAATTGAATAAATGAACAAAAAGTTATTATCGAAATAAAAAAATATGTCCAATCCAATTTTTTTAAAACGTCTTGCAGTTCTATTAAAACCACATTAACATTCATGGGATTTTATCTCGTTCAATTGTAACATCTAGAGAAAAAAAAGACTCGAAGTGTAATTAAAGAAAAATGTTATAAGACTTTAACGCACATTCACTTCTAAAAACTCTTGTTCCCAAAATGAAACCACAATTGGGTTATTCTATTTTTTTTAATTGAATAAATGAACAAAAAGTTATTATCGAAATAAAAAAATATGTCCAATTCAGTTTTTGTAAAACGTCTTGCAATCTCCTGTTCCCAAAATGAAACCACAATTGGGTTATTCTATTTTTTTTAATTGAATAAATGAACAAAAAGTTATTATCGAAATAAAAAAATATGTCCAATTCAGTTTTTGTAAAACGTCTTGCAATCTCCTGTTCCCAAAATGAAACCGAAATTGGGTAATTGCATTTTTTATTTACTACCAACCAAGAAGTTATTATCGAAATGAAAAAATACATGTCCAATATTTTTCATTCTAAAATTCATGCCAGCCCCCAATGGGAAAAATCGTAACACTAAACTCCGGAGAAGTATGATATTCCATTGAGTTTAATAATTTATCGGATCCACCCCCACAATATTTTTCGTTTGAGTTCACGCGGTTATAATTTTTTCACATGAACCTCGAGTCTCACAAAAAACGTGAGGAATACTGGAACGATGGGATTGCATGTAAGCCACTGGGGGAATGAAATCCGATTGTAATCCCCTTCTCCCCACAGAGACCCTATTACCCGAATGGATCATGATATTTTAATGGTAGCCCTATTGTGATACGTGCGATGGAAAATGTTTATTGTCCGTTACATCAGCGAATGAAAGGACATTGCCAAGCCGGGAGGAGAGGTAGGGAAGATGTGGCACTATTTACAATAGTGGATTGTTGTAATTATCAGTTGCACGATCTGACGCCAAATGTCTGTAGATGCGTCTGCATTTCCGCCAGTTTCAGGAGTAATTTTTCGTGTAAATGTCGGCAAAGAGTTGTTGAGAGCAATGAAAATACGGGGAGTTTGGCGCGAGATCGTTTGTTTATGATTGATGGAGTGTATGATATACATATCCACGCGCATGTGTAATTATTTGACACAGCATGGCGCGTATGTAGTCTAATTACGTAGATAGGAGGAACAAATTTCCACGGACGAACAAATTTCTTTGACCTAGTAAAATTCTATAGAAAATTCTATTGGTTTTTGGGTGATTCCATTAAAGAATTCTCCAGTTTTAGTGCACATTTTTTGTAGAAAATGCCCTGTAGAAAATACTTTACAGAGAAAATTAGTAGAATTTCATGTTTTAAATGTCTTTCTGTTGTTTTCATTGAGAAAATAAAAAAAAACATTTGAGCCAGGGAATTTCTAGTAAAATTCTATTACAGAATTCCACATTTTACTGGGTATTTTGTTTCAGAAAAATGTCACATAGAAACTATTTTATTTAAAAAATCAGTAGAATTCTATCTTTCTAGAAATATTTTCTATTGAGAGATTTTCTATAGGAATTCCTTGACATGAATTTTTCAACTAACTAAAATTTAGACAATTTGAGCCGGGAATTTTCTATAAAAAATACCTGAATCAAATAAATCGTACGAATTCCCAAGATGCTAACATGAAATTTTTTCGTACGTGTCATTATCGAAGCTAGTGGAGAGCTCAGAGTTGTGCTGTACATTGTACATAGACTAGTCTTTTCATTACCGTTATTATTTTCGACTGTATGAATAATTGCCTCACATCTGCTAGATTAAATTATTCATACTGCATTTGCATCAATCACCATTAACAAGTCTCTCTAATTTTGTTGTATAATTTTTATGTAACTGAAATGAATTGTATTGATCGAATACAAAGTAATTTTTTGTGAAAAACTGTGCGTTATGATTTATATTTTTTTTTAGTTTCACGTAAACGATGAAAAATCCTCCCCCATCTCCTTGTTTCATGGCACACGTCGGAGTGAAGTGGAGAGACGGGGGGGGAGTCAATTTCGCTGAGAGTTGGAGGAGTAGTGAGGGTTTGGAGTGAAATTGGATCTTCGGATTTTCAGTGGAAATTAGTAACAGATGGACCAGGATTTTGAATATTCATGTTGTCATGATTTCATTGGTCAATTTTAAGAGCGATATTGAATATTAATCGGGAGTCAGTGCGATTGAGCCGCAGTATGACGGGATATATAACGATTCGGGTCAATGTTCAATGCACTTGGGAGATTTAATGACATTTGTTTAGAAGTTTATGAATAGCTTGAATTTACACACGAGCAAAATTCGATAAAAAAACCTGGAGCTTTCTTTAGCTAATTCTGACGAATTTCTGTTGAAAATCCATGAGAATTTGATCCGGTTTTTTTTCCTTGGATTTTATTATCAGGAAAAACATTCAAAGACAACGGAAAAAACTTGGGGAATTTATTTAATACTTGAAAGTTTTCAGAGAGAAATCAAAGTCCACTGGCTTTCTTTAGTATCAAATATCGCTGGAAAAAAATGATACACAAAGTTTCATAATTTTTAACCGAACTGGAAAAAACCAATGGAATTTTTCCTTCTTCATAAATAATTCATCAACAATCAATTTTCACTTTAAAAATATTTTTGTCAAAATCATAATAATTGATCGATATCGAGATTTTCAGCAGAAATCGATTTCATCGAAAAAAAAATTTACTTTACAGAATTTTCATTATTCATCCGTAATAGAATGCTCTGAAACATTATTTCTTTGCAAAATACATGTGCCAACCCAATTATTCTCGCTCAATTAAATGTACAAATTTAATGATTGAATTTCGCCGACTTATCCCGTCCCCCACTTCACCCCTCGAATAATTTTAATTGTCGAGTGTTTAGCACTTGTAGCTTAATGTGACTGCCTTAATTAGAGTGGTTAATGACTCTACCGCTTCAGAACCAGATATACGCTATTTAATTAACGAAAGCTAGATTCGAAAAAGTACACGCACGACAAAATTTTATTAGAAAAGCGAAAATTCTGTTGAATTTTCATTGAACTTCTACTGAAAATTCTATTAAATTTTGGCCGATTCGATTAAAGAATTCCCCAATTTTATTGCGCGCTTTTTTCTAAAAAATGTTCAATAGACACTTTTTCATTGAAAAACCAGGAGAATTCCATCTTTTCAATTAAAAAATGAAACAGAAAAAATCTAGAAAATTTTAGCCGTTGAAATTCTGTAGAAAATATTCCAATGGCATAAATTGCATAATTCGGAATTCTTCAATAGAATCATCCAAAAATTACCAGAAAATTCACTAAAAAATCTACCGAAATCGGCGAGTTATTCAGTAAAATTTTTTCGTACGTGCAGTTAAACTCAGAATTCCCGACAATTGAGTCTCGATAGAGGAAAAATAATTTGAATGAATGAGGGCTAATTATCAGTGGCTGAGGGTGTGTGGTGTGGATTAGGTGTCAGCGGACAGAGAACATTTTACTGAGATTGGAACAACCAGAGTGACGACTGACGACGAGCGGTGTACAGCCAGGAGGTACGACGATCGTTCTATTCCACTTCAGCAACAATCACCACGTGACCGTGACGCCGACGTCTATGCCACCACACCCTCTTCCTGCCACGATACCAGGTATCTCCAACCGTCAACCCCTCGAGGCCACTGATTAAGGTCCTGATACGTTCAACTTCGAGCCAGTGATATCAATCATTTTGAGCTGATAAAATCCCCAGAACTTGAATCATCGACCTTATTTCACTGGCCTTGAGCGAAAATTTTAATGTTTTGGAACTTCCGAGGGCAAGTTGAATGATAAACATTAAGTGTCTAGCATTTTCATCATCATTCAAATAAAACTTCATGAAACATTAAAATTTATCCATTTGGTTTGGTTCAGTTTTCAATCTGAGGGGATGTAAAATCAGTAGTGAAACTGCTAAACCGTTTTCGAGAAATATCTTCGAAATCTAAGGGCCCACAGGGAAAAATTTATATTTTGAAAAATATATTAAATTGGCCCAATTTATATAAAAAAAATGAAATATGTTTTATAAATATTTTTTATATATTCTTTATAAATTTGAAAAATGTATGGAATTGGCCCATATTATATCAACCCCTCGAGGCCACTGATTAAGGTCCTGATACGTTCAACTTCGAGCCAGTGATATCAATCATTTTGAGCTGATAAAATCCCCAGAACTTGAATCATCGACCTTATTTCACTGGCCTTGAGCGAAAATTTTAATGTTTTGGAACTTCCGAGGGCAAGTTGAATGATAAACATTAAGTGTCTAGCATTTTCATCATCATTCAAATAAAACTTCATGAAACATTAAAATTTATCCATTTGGTTTGGTTCAGTTTTCAATCTGAGGGGATGTAAAATCAGTAGTGAAACTGCTAAACCGTTTTCGAGAAATATCTTCGAAATCTAAGGGCCCACAGGGAAAAATTTATATTTTGAAAAATATATTAAATTGGCCCAATTTATATAAAAAAAATGAAATATGTTTTATAAATATTTTTTATATATTCTTTATAAATTTGAAAAATGTATGGAATTGGCCCATATTATATCAACCCCTCGAGGCCACTGATTAAGGTCCTGATACGTTCAACTTCGAGCCAGTGATATCAATCATTTTGAGCTGATAAAATCCCCAGAACTTGAATCATCGACCTTATTTCACTGGCCTTGAGCGAAAATTTTAATGTTTTGGAACTTCCGAGGGCAAGTTGAATGATAAACATTAAGTGTCTAGCATTTTCATCATCATTCAAATAAAACTTCATGAAACATTAAAATTTATCCATTTGGTTTGGTTCAGTTTTCAATCTGAGGGGATGTAAAATCAGTAGTGAAACTGCTAAACCGTTTTCGAGAAATATCTTCGAAATCTAAGGGCCCACACGGAAAAATTTATATTTTGAAAAATATATTAAATTGGCCCAATTTATATAAAAAAAATGAAATATATGTTTTATAAATATTTTTTATATATTCTTTATAAATTTGAAAAATGTATGGAATTGGCCCATATTATATATTCTTTTTAATAAATTTTTTGATGGGGGGGAGATAAATTCCGAGATATTCCTTGAAAACTGGCCAAAGTTAAAATCGACTAGAACCGTTTTATCGCTTCGCTACTGAAATGGATTTCGTTTAAACATCAATATCTCCGGATCTAGGGACGCGATTTGGCCGCATCAGCGCTCATTTTAAAGCCCAGAAAATTCCCTTCAAAATGAAAGAAACCTCTTCCAATTTCACCGCGCGGATCGCGAGCTATTGCAGATTGAAAACAGTCCATTTTACCCCTTAAATAATTGTTTCGATAGTCAGTTCACACATTCGCATGAGTAGATGACGCATCAAATGTGGACTGGGTGGAGGTACTCTCACACCTACTTTCACTGACAACTTCAATCGAGCTCCTTCAGATAATTAATGAAGAAAAGCAATCGGGGAATTAGCAATGAAATTCTAAATTCCCGAGTTACGAATCGGTTGTCGCGACATGATGCTCTTAATATCGTCGATTAAAAAATATTGGATAAAAGTGAATAAATAAATACTCTCACTCACAATCAGTAGTTACTCGTGTCGAGTCATTCGAAGCATGTAGAGACTGTTCATTGCACGTGCATCCCCATTCGTCCTTTAAACACAGGAAAATCATAATTAAATAAATAAAATGAAGAAATTGATAGAAAAACCAGTGCTTTCTCTGATAAAATCAGTTGAAATTCTATCGAAAAAACTATTTTTTGACCCAATTTCTATTAAAAATTATAATCTTTTCTGATTTTTTAATAGATTTTAATTTTTTAATATTTTTTTTGGTGCAAAAAAATCAATATAAATCTACAAAACTGATATAAATCTATAAAAAACAAAAAAGATCATAATTTTTAATAGAAAAAACAATCAATAGAACGTGATTTTCCCACATGAATAATTTTTTCCGTTTTTCGTTACAAAATTCACAAAAAAAAATAGTAAAATTCGCGCCCGTTAATCAACATCTATTGATTTTCCCCATCAACTATCTTTCTAGAATTTTTAATAAAATTTCTCAAAGAAAGCACGCGTTTTTTTCATGAAATTTCACCACGAGCTCAATATAAAACCCAAAATAAAACAAATTGAATCTGAAAAGAGAGTGTCCAGGGGTTTGAAATGCATGATAAATACTCGGTGAAGTAGCCTAAAGATAAATCCAACCGAGAATTGAATGCCTACCTAGAAGTGTGATTAGAGAGAAGCGCACAGTTGTGTAAATCGAAAAAAAAAAAACCGAAAATCCGAAAAAGAGAAAGTACTAACTGACCCACTGGACGACGTCCTGACGATCAGGTTGTAACAACCCTGGGGCCAACGAAGCCGCAGCGAGTGGCATCAGGTCAGACATCGTCGGCCGAGGCGTCAGAGGTGCGCGAGCCCCTCGAGATCCAGGAGTTGGAGCTCGAGCAGGAGATGCGTGCCCTCTTGTCACCACAGAGCCCCGGAAAAACATGTTCATTAACAGTGGGTACACCACCCCACAGACTATGTCTCGAGACGAGCTTCACTTCCCTCCAGAGCCCCACTGATATACCCCAGGCTGGACGTGAATTGAGTGTTGACTCCCACGGGATACCCTGGGAGTACGTCAGTATTGCCAGTGAATTAACTACCCCGAGGCACGACGAGAACAAATTGTAAGAGAATAATTTTTGAAGAAAAAAACTACGAAAAGTGGGTGATTGCGGTACGAAATTCCTTCGATAAAACCCCCTGGAAAAAAAATATTTCGAGATAAATATTTTTTCGTTTTTTTGCTCCGAAAGGGAAGCTTCGTAATCCTTCAAATTTAATTTTTTGATTTTTGGAATTTAATGAATGGATTGAATTGAATGTTTTTCTTCAAATGTAGGAACTGTTGATTAATAGTATATTTCAGCACGTGTGGGGCAATTTCGTCTTTAACGTGTGTGGGGTTTACAGCATGAGCCGAAGGCGAGTGATGTAACCACACACGTTAAGGACGAAATTTCCCAACAAGTACTGAACAAAATTTTATGTCACGAAGCCTGAAACCGGCTGAATTAGACACGAGACGCGAAGCGTCGAGTGTGTAATCCAGCCGGTTTCAGGCATGAGTGGCATAAAATACAATTAATCGATAAGTTTGTTCAATTTTCGAATTTTTTGAAAACCGGTTCCAAGATAACTAAAAAAATATTCTGAATTGATTGAATGACGAGTTCGAAGATGAAGGCAACAGCAGTAATCGTAATTTTGATTTTGAACATTTGCAAAAACTTTGTATTTTTTGAAAAGCAGAATTCCAGGGATATCTCTGAATATCATGCGTCAAATGAATTAAATCATAGCTTAAAATGTTTGTTTTGAAAGCCCAACATTGTTTGCCAGGATTTGAAAAAAAGAAAAATTGTTTTCAAGGAATTTTAGGCGGACGCCCTGCAAAACACCCAAAACCAGGAAAATAATCGAAGAAATTGAGATAATTGAAAAAGAACACGAAGAAATGATGACTGTGTGCTCGTTGTATTTTTAGTACTAATAGCTAGGTGCTTCAATCGCAAAGCTTAAGACGATATTTACGTTGTTCCACCAAATCACATTCATCTTTCATTACTCATCATCACGAATGTCTTCTGCTTCTTCGATTTATGTTTGATTGTAAAATAATTTCGCGAGGATTATTATTGACGCTGTCGATTGTGGTGTTCAGGTTCAATCACCCCCTCAACTGGGAGTACACGCAGCGGATAGCCCCCCTGGCAACCCCCGAGACAATGTCCGAGGCGAGCAATCCACCGTCACCACTTCCTGTGACGAGACCCATCCGAAGAACACCGAAAATACCCGGGAATCTGTCGACAGCTGCTGACGATTTCAAGAGTAATTTGCACTTTGCCATGCTGACTGTTAAGAATTGTAGTTTCAGGGATGATAATCATGGGGGTAGCAATAGCAGTAGTGGGAATAGTGAAGCTAGTTTCGAGACTGCGAGGAGCAATAGAGGACAACCACTACCGCCTGTACCGCGGAGACGGGATTCTGTTATTCTGAGGAGGTTTGTTGTTTACGAGAATTATTAGCTACAACTGAATTACTTTTCCAACCGCCTGTATTGACATTTACATTTCTCAGACTTCTCCAGGCCATTTCGCAGTTCACAGCAATTTTTAATTTAAAAATAAAGTAAACTACTAAAGTATTTTCTTTCTGCTAGCAATTTATTCTTCTCCATCTGTTTTCAAAAAAAAAAAAAAACATTAGCTATCAATAAAAATCAACCCCTCATAACACACTGCTTAAGAAACTTTGTCTGTTATTATGTTCTAAATTTTTTTTTCTGGACGTCAGTTCAACCGAACCAGACAAAAGAAAATAATTTAGTAGTTTAATTTATTTTTGCAGTTAAAATTCCTGGGAACGGCCTAATGAGAAATTTAAATATGAGAATTATTAGGTGAAACTATTAGAATAGTCTCGAGGAAATTTTTTGATTTGATAGAAGGGAATTCTAATCGTTTTTTTTGCCGATTTCTACTGCAAATTATTTAACAGAGATATTTAATTCAGAAAAGTCAATGGATTTTAAGTTTTCCTAATGAATTGAACAGAAGTTTCAACAGAATTGAATAAAATTTTCAATTTTTAAAAATTGTTCTGCCCGAGAATTCCTGTAGAAAAACCACCATCTCTAGGCTTTTTTCAATAAAAAAATATTCATTGACATTGATAATTTTCGATAGAATTGGTGCAAAAACCAAAAATAATTTTTTCATAGAATTCTATCAGAGCTTCAATAAGAATTCACTAGAACTTCTTAGATCAAGTGCTGGATTTTCCCCATCTCTAAGAGTATTTATTAGAAAAACTTGTTTTTCTCCTTTCCCTCTCGCCCGTAAAACTAATTTACTCTCTCACAAACTACTTCCCATTCACATATGTTTCTATCAGGGAGCACAATGTGTGTACAGCGGCCTGCTGTCGAGACGATCAATCAGAGACCTCCACCCCGTCCTCATCACACTCCATCAGGATAACTCAGACATCCCATCGAGTCCAGATTGATTTTCCCTACCCCGAGACGGAGAGATTGGCATCGAGCCTCGATTATTACGAGAAAAAAAGAGGCGCCCATGACAACAATGATGTTTTTCTGAGTGTCAGAAGTTCACCAGAGTGCAAAAGACTAATGGCCCCAGCAACCGATCTCGGCGCCGAGTGGAAAAAACGTTTCGACGCCAGTACTGGCATATCCGGTGATGCCTCACTTCCATTACTTCGTGGTCTATCACCAACACCTGGTCATGCTCAACACACATCGCCTTTTTTCAACGCCAAGAGAAAGAAATACGTCTATCCTATCACCCTTGTTGGCAGGGGCGAGAGCAGTGTCTAATGTTTTATTTAATCACGTGCGAAAAAGATTTGTTGAAAAAAATCAACAGAATTCGATGTCTATAAATTTATTCTGTGATGTTCTTTTATTTGATTTTTTTAATGACAAGAGAAGAAAAATTGAGTGGAAAAAACTAGGAAAATTAACACCGACGAATTCTAAATGAAATTCAAATTAAGTTAAACGTAAAATTCTACGTTTTTTCCAGAAAAGTTTCAATTGGATATTTTCTATTTAAAAAACTTGCAGCGAAGCTGCAGAATTCTTCAACAGAACCCAAATGCAATAGAATTTTTTAACAAACTCGCTGTTTTTCCATGAAATTTTTTCGCACGTGATATTTAAATATTTTAACAAATTGTACAATAAATGAAACAGAGAATGGAGGATATATTTAGCCATGGGACCACGATCTTTTGAGAATGGAGAGATGAGAAAATAACATTGAGGCCTTAGTCGGTTGTATCGCCTGTCCCTATGGCCTGACAGAATCAATTCCCTGTGGAATGCATTTATTCGTTCATTTTTTGAAATATCCAACTGCTGGCCTATTGTATCATACGAAATTCTTCTCTTCTCCCCGTCAATTCCAATTGAAATCCCAATTATACAGTCTAGAGAGAAAACCTCCAGTTTCAATCTACGATACTCTGTAAATGAATTTTTTACATAATTCTTGCTATGTAGGATAATGATCGCACTGTAAATAGGTGGAAGGCTCGAGTAATGTAGTTGTAAAATTGTATCTAAACGATAGTGATCTCCTCGTCTGGAGTAGTTGTAGTAGGCATTTAATTCATTTAAGACGATTTCTTTCGATTATTTATTCGATTGAGAGATTTTTTTTACGATTGTATTTATTGAGACGATAATCTAGTTTATCATGTAACTGAAGTGACACTGATGATGATTAAAATTGTTGAAAACTGTGATGAAAGAGACAAATTCTGAATTTCATTTTTTTAAAAGAAATTCCACTAGTCTTCGCCAATTCAATCAAGAAAATCCCATTCCGTCGAAAAAAAACAATAGATTTCTGAACATAAAAGAACAAAAAAAAATATTTCTGAACATAAAATTCCTACCTTATTCCGAAATGATTCCAACCTTCTCCATTCGCCGTAAAAAAACTTCCACTTCCTCAGCTTATTTTCTAACGATCATAACATCAATTTTCCTAACAATTCAAAAAGGAAAGAATCACAATCGAACAGCCCAATTCCCCTACTTGCCACCGTCTCGGCACACAAAATATTCACCACGACATTAATTCATTCTCCAGCTGCAAAACCCAATACTTCCCCACGAAAACTACTAAACCCCATTACTGCAACCCACCCCCACGTCTCCAGCCAAAAAATTCACCCCGAAACCCCCGAAAAACTGCCTGCACCATTTCCCTCCAAAAAATTTCCAGAACTTCATAAGCCCCCGACTGCCCGCGACTGTTTTACCGACCGCCGACCCCCCCCCCAGAGAGGGCACTCGCGTCGCCTGCCATCTCCAAAATGCCAAACTAAAAAAAGACCGAGGGAAACAAACACTGCACCAGTAAAACGTCGCCAGCATACCCGCAAAGTGCTCGAAACCTGACATTCCCCATTTCTCGACATTGAGCCCAATAATCCCGGAGTGTTCTAACCTCCCCGAGTGCGTGATAACCGCCCCGCGACTCCCCTAACCGCAGTGAAACGATCATCACCTCGTGAATCATAAAAAAACCCCTCCCCCAACAGACCCCTGGCCTTGATGGCTAGCCCCCTCACCTGACACGAATCCTCACCCTCCGCTGCACTGATCTCCCTCCCACCCCCGAGAGATGACCCCCCAGTAACCGATCACCATCGAACCCACCCCACGAGGATGATGGAGCTGAGTCACAGTCTGACCCTGAACGAGGCCGCCCTGGACCAGATTCCGGAGGCGAAGCGTCCAGTATTCGTCTTCGAGTGGCTGCGTTTCCTGGACAAGGTCCTGGTGGCAGCGCAGAAGAACGACATAAAGGGCTGCCAGCAGAAGCTGGTGGAGCAGTTGACGCGCCACATGCAGGGCGCCCCAGGACCCCCAACTCGAAGACTGATAGCGAGATGCCTGGCCACCCTCTTCAGCGTCGGCGACACCTTCCTCCTCTTCGACACAGTCAACAAGTGCAACGACATCCTGAAGAACAAGGACGACTCCCCGAGCTTTCTCCCCACGAGATTGGCAGCGATCTGCTGTGTTGGTGCCATGTACGAGAAGCTGGGGAGAATGATGGGAAGATCCTACGAGGAGACTGTTCAGATCCTGATAAAATCCCTGCGCTCAGCTGAGTCCCAGTCGAGAATTGAGATAATGCACACATTGGAGAAGGTCTGTGCAGGAATGGGAACGGCAATAACGAATGTTCACAAAGAGATCTACAAAGTGTCGAAGCAATCGCTGACAGACAGAGTGATGGCTGTGAGATGTGCAGCTGCCAAATGCCTGCTGGAGATGCTGAATCACGCGCCCTTCCTCTACACGAGTGAGATCGAGAGCATGGCGACTCTGTGCTTCAGAGCATTCGAGGGCTCCAACTACGAGGTGCGATGTGCAGTGGCCAAATTACTGGGAACCCTAGTGGCAATGACTCAATTACCACCGCCAAAGGGGAAGAACATGGGGGCCCAGAGTAAATCGATGAAACCAATATCCCTGGACGAAGTATTGAATATTCTCATGTCTGGCTTCCTGCGGGGTGGTGTGGGATTTCTCAAGGGGACTGGCGAGATAATCAAGGGCAGCTCGGGGGTGAATAGAGAGGTGAGAGTCGGTGTCACCCACGCTTACGTCGTATTCGTGCAGATCCTGGGGGGTGTGTGGCTGGAGAGAAACATCGGGCCAATTGTGGCACACGTCCTGGACCTCGTTGCCAACCCCAAGGCCGCGAGTTCTCACGTCGACGCAGTTTACTCCCGAAAGTGCATAAATTTCATCCTTCGAGGGACCATCGGGAAGCTCCTGGGGGAGGGGGCACAGGCAGCCGCCTGCAAGGAGACAGCTCACGTCATTCTCAAGCAGATGAACTCCATTGACTTCAATCCTGAGAATGCCAAGGACTGCAATCAGGAGACTCTCTTCAGCCAGCACTTGCTAGTGTGCGCACTCCAGGAGATGGGGAATTTGGTGCTGGGCCTGGGGACCACTGCCTCGAATCTCCTGGTGGAGCCTTCGTTGAACTTGATTGACACGACTCTGGCGGTTCTCGTTCATCCTTGTCAGGCAGCGAGGCTGGCTGCTGCCTGGTGCCTCAGGTGCATCTGCGTTGCTGTGCCCAGTCAGATCACTCCTCTGATCGATCGCTGTGTCGAGGGGATCGAGAATATGCGGAGCTCACCGGAGGCTATTGCTGGCTACAGTGGGGCGTTGGCTGCTGTTCTGGGGAGTGTGAGGCTCTCACCTCTGGGGGTGCCTCACACCAAGGGCAAGATCATTTTTAATACTGCTGAGGAGCTGCTGAGGAGTGCCAGCCAGAACAGCAGGCTCTCTTTGAATAGAACTCATGCTGGCTGGCTCCTCATTGGGGCCATCATGACTCTGGGGACTGCTGTGGTCAAGGGCCTCCTTCCCAGGATGCTCCTCCTCTGGAGGAACTCATTCCCCAGGTCCACCAAGGAGTTGGAGAGCGAAAAGGCCAGGGGGGACGCCTTCACCTGGCAGGTCACTCTCGAGGGCAGGGCTGGGGCTCTCTCAGCTATGCACAGCTTCCTCCTCCACTGCCCTGAACTACTCAATGACGACATCACCAGGAGACTCCTCACACCCATCGAGTCCGCTCTGGCAATGCTCACTAATTTATCTCCTGTTCTCAAGAATTATGGACAACAGCTGAAAGCTCCCACAGCCATGGTCAGGCTCAGATTGTACGAGACACTTTTATTACTTCCTCCACAAACTTTCGAGGGGTCTTACACGCATCTACTGAGGATGCTTGTCTCGGAGTTCACACTGACGGAGAATCCCGGGAATACCACCACTTCGCTATTGAGGATTGTGTGTCATGCCAATGATTCGGTTATTTTGGGGACTTGGCTGCAGGAAACCGAACATCGGACTATCGAGGATCAGGTAATGATTGTCATTCTTACGTGGGTAAAAAAAATTTCAGTAGAAAGTTGGATAGCAATTTTCCAAGAAAATTGGATAGGAATTTCTATTGAGATTTTTTTTATCTAAATGTTCAATGGAGAATATTCTACAGAAAAAAAAATTAATAGAAATTCTTGGACTCAATTTTTTCAAGTTTTTTCGCTTGATTTTTTTAATGAAAAATCATGTTCATAAAAAACGCGCAGTAAAGCTAAAACTGATAGATTTTTAATTGATCGAAGTTCAATAGAAAAATTATTGATTAAATTTTAATTAAATAAAAGCGAAATTTTAATTCAATAGAAATGCAATAGAATTTTATACAGAACTCGCTAGATTTTTTAATGAAATTTATCTGTGCTTCATTGTGGCTGAGTCAGAGGATTTTTGCTTCCGAATGGAAGCCTATTTTTAAACTTGTTTGACAGTTTACGTATTTTGACATTTTTGTTGTTTTCATGCTAAGATGGAACCATGTCGAAGATCAGACGTCGAACACGTGAGTTCAATATCTCGTTGATCTAAAATTATACTATGAAATATTTGAATGTATATTTCGAGGCGATTCGTCGTTTTCGGGAGGTGGAATGACGTCAAATCGAGTGGGAATTAATTTTCTCATAGATTGAGGGCAAATTGCATGTTTTTGTCGTGAAATCAATTTTTGGAAATACTTTGATAATTGATTGATTCATTATGGATTTAGAGAAATAATTTTTCGAGTAAAACGGAGACTAAAATAATTTTAAAAATTGCAATTTTTGAATATTATGACTTTTTATGGATAACTGGAGGCAATGATTCTGATTAATAGCAGTGTTTTCAGGACGAACAAACGACGAACAAACAATTCCTTGCAAGGAACAAATGAAACAATCAATTTTTTAATTGTCACCCTCGTGAGAAAGGTTGAATAAAAAAAAGGGGGCAATAAAAAAATATTTGTTCGTTGTAAGGAATCGTTTGTTCATTCTGAAAACACTGCTATCATCTCGAATAATTGCAATGTTTGACTATTTTCTCTCAATTGATTATCAATCAATTGAAAAATGAATAAAATTCTTGCAATTATTCAGGATAATAATAGTGTTTTCAGGACAAACAAACGACGAACAAACGATTCCCTACAAGGAACAAATGAAACAATCAATTCTGAACCCAAGAGCCAAAAAAAAAAGAAAACTAGATCAAAAGAATAAATTAAAAAATCCATAATACACTCATTCCAAAATGTTTGGCAATCCAGTGTTAAATTGGGCTTGCCAATTCCTAATGTTCCCCCCCAGCTGTTGAAAATCACCTTAACGAAGAAAAATCGTGGGAGGCTTCCTCCCCTCCCCCCAATTCCTCCCCTTCACCCTCAACTTCCAGTTCGCCAAATCGATGAAGTTCACTTCCACCGCCCCTAGACTCCCAGCAACGCAGTCAACTGGAAATCCCCTCAAGCCCTTCAAAACCCCATCTCCGGAAACCGATCCCCCCGCCGAGGCTCTCGTCACCCCCTAAACACCGCCGACTTTTCTCATTCCAGTTGCAACCAAACAGTGCAGCAGGTTCAGGTGCCCTGGAGCACAACGCCTGCTGTCTCTACCGGCCGGTCCCCTCAGACGAGATAATCCCGGGTCCCCTCCCCCTCGGCGTCGCCGTGATCGACCTCTCGGTCTCCCTCTTCGGCCAAATATTCCCCCGCGTGGCCAACAAACACCGTCTCCAGATGCTGGACCACTTCGGCGAATGCATAAAGCACGCGAAATCGGGTCGTCAAGAGGCGATTCAAATGAACGTCTTCACAGCGGTCCTGAGTGGCCTGAAAGGTCTGAACGAGGCTAAAACGGGCTTCGGTCAGGAGGACGTGAAGAAGTTGGCGACAAATCTGATAATAAGCACACTGATAAGCGGCAACTCGATCCTCCGCTGGGCAGCCGGCGAGGCAGTGGGTAGACTGGCCCAAGTGATCTCTGACCCAAAGTTCACAGCCGAACTGGCGCAGACGAGTTTCGATCGTTTGAAATCGGCCCGCGACGTGGCCAGCAGAACCGGTCACTCGCTGGCCCTGGGCTGCCTCCACAGATACGTGGGTGGTATGGGCTCCAGCCAGCACCTCAACACAAGCGTCAGCATTCTCCTGGCCCTCGCCCAAGACAACTCATCCCCAGTGGTTCAAGTCTGGGCGCTGCACGCCCTCGCCCTGATAGCCGACTCAGGGGGCCCCATGTTCCGTGGCTACGTCGAGCCCACCCTCTCCCTCATCCTAACTCTCCTGCTGAACGTCCCCCACTCTTACATAGACGTCCACCAGTGCATAGGAAAGGTCCTCTCGGCGTTGATCACAACAATAGGCCCAGAACTCCAGGGCAACACGTCCTCCATCTGCATGGCCCGCTCCTCATTCCTCTGCGCTTGTGCAATAATGCAGGACCACCAGGATCCCCTCGTCCAGGCGGAGGCCACCGGTTGCCTCCAGCAACTCCACCTCTTCGCACCCCGTCACGTCAATCTGTCTTCTCTCGTGCCAAACCTCTGCCGTACACTATCCAGCAATCACTTGTTGCTGAGAAAGGCGGCGATATCATGCCTCAGACAACTGGCGCAACGAGAAGCCAAGGAGGTATGCGAGCACGCTATGAGTCTTGCTAATGAGAGCAGGGACACCAACATGGTGGAGGGTCTGACCATCACCGAGACCGGCCTCCCCGGGGTCCTCTTCAGCATGCTTGACACAGAAACCGATAGTGCACTGATCAAAGATATTCATGACACGTTGACAAGCATGCTGCAGATGCTAGCTGCTGACAATTTGTCCCAGTGGTTGTCCCTCTGCAAAGACGTTCTCACTGTTGCTTCCGAGTCCAGCACACCTGACGAAGCTGCTGCTGTGGCCACAGAGGACTCCGCTGGGGACAACGACTCAGCGGATGCCGAGGGTGACGATGATCAAGCCGAATTCCATGCTGACGAGTCTAAACAACGGCCAAGTGTCTCGCCGAGATGGCCGACAAGGGTCTTCGCTGCTCAGTGCATAAGACGAATAATCGCGACTTGCATGAACAATAAACAAGCGCACTTCGATCTGGCCGTCGCCAAGGAGCTCCAGCAGATCAAGGGACGAGGGGATTACCTCGTCCTTCATCTGTCTGATCTAGTGAGAATGGCGTTCATAGCTGCGACCAGTGACTGCGATCCCCTGCGTTTGGAGGGGCTTCAGACCCTCCAAGACATCATCGAGAAGTTCGCCAAAGTCCCCGAGCCCGAGTTCCCAGGGCACCTGCTGCTGGAGCAGTTCCAAGCGCAGGTGGGAGCCGCCTTGAGGCCGGCCTTCTCAGCGGACACAGCGTCACACGTGACCGCAGCTGCCTGCGAGGCCTGCAGCGCCTGGATCGGCAGTGGGGTTGCACGAGACCTCAACGATCTCCGAAGGGTTCATCAGTTGCTGGTGTCTTCATTGGAGAAATTGCGAGAGGGAAACACTCGTCCCCAACTGTACAACGAGAGCCTCTCGACCCTCGAGAGACTCGCCATCCTCAAGGCGTGGGCAGAGGTCTACGTCGTCGCCATGATCAACGAGGGAACAGCTCCGAGTACTTTGGAGAAAAACAGAAACTCCAATTTAACCGAGTCGGACGATCTCTTCGGGCAGTTTGAGTCGCAGAACGAGAGTCTGCTGAGCCTCGTTCAACCGGAGCTTTTGAGCCTGAGTCAACACTGGCTGGCAGCCCTCAGGGATCACGCCTTGCTGTCACTGCCTCCTGAATTCTCAAGTCAATTGCCTCACGATGGAGGCGCCTTCTACACGACTGATACCATGGAGTCAGCGAGACCTTATTACGCCAAGTCCTGGGCGCCGATCCTCCACGCAGCCACATTGTGGCTCAACGCCAGAGGCTTCAACGTCGATGACACCACTGATGTCAGCCAGGCTTCAACACCCAACAACAACAGGGGCATCACTGGCGTCAACAACAACTCCGACAACACCAAATCCGACTTCAACATCGAACGTTTCCACCTGCTGTTTGGGATCTGCATGGAGGCTCTGTGCAGCCCAAGATCATCGGAGTCAAGCCAGAACATCGAGACCTGTCTGAACGCACTGTACACGCTATTGGACTCTTCTTGGACGAGAGAGGTCTTCACGAGGGACTCGACCCTCTGCATCGAGCTCTGTAATGTTCTCCACAGGTTGATCCTCACGAGGGAGAGCTTCGTCATCCAGAGGATGTCCATGGAGGTATTGAAGCAGGTGATGAAGGCGACCCAGGAGTGCCTGAACGAGAGGAAGAAGAAGAAACTCAAGGAGATGGTGCCTGCTAATCAGGAGAGTAAAGACACTGCTGAATTGGATCTTCTTGGCGAAGGGGGCGATGGGGAGCTCGTGCCAGGGGAGTCCCTCGTCTTTGCCATTGTCGAGGTGTGCTTGTGTCTCTTAGTGAGACAGATACCCGCGTTGAACCCCAATCCTGATGGCGCCACTGCGATCCTCTCGCAGAGGGGATTTCTCCTCACTGAAGAGAGTGGCAAGCTCATTGCCTCGGCGCTGAGTGTCATGGAGTCACTGCCCAGTCTCTGCGCACCTCAGGGCGCCCTTTCCATTCTACCGACCCTGCTGTACCTCACCACTGGGGTCATTCACGAAATCGGGGTGCGCGCTGACAATCAGAATGCTAGAGTCACGACTGATGTGTCGATTCACGCTGCTCTGCACTGCCTCAAGTGCCTCATCACTGATAAATACGCGAGGGATGAGAGGTGTCGAGAGCAGTACACCAGTCTTCTTCAGAGTGCACTTGCTAAGATCGTCGATCTTGCCAAGACTGGGGACGACGGGGGCAAGATGGACGAGGTCACCATGATGCTGGGGATCGGGGTCTTCGTTCTTCATGCTGTGCCGGAGGTCGTCAGTGCGCCTAATCTACTGTTTCCATGCATCAATCACTTCAGGCAGGCCATGCAGTCCAATAATACAGTTGTCAAACTCAAGTGCGTGCAGACACTGAAGACGATTTTTTTGTACCCTGAGAAGAGCATCAGTACGCCGTACATTCATGCACTGGCACCCAGAATTGTTGAGTATTTGTACAGCGACAGGAGTCAGGTGGTCGAGGGGGAGGTCGAGCTGTCGTACACGCTCGAGTGCGTTGGGACTATTGAGGCTCTGATCGCTCTCGCTGAACCCGGAAATCGTAAGTTTCTGTTTTGGGGGCTTTTTCGGTGGTGGTTGTATTAATTTTTTTGGCGTTGGTTTCATGCTGAGTAGGAGATTTGATGCAAGGTATTTTGAAGATTATATTGGCTTGATTTGGATTCTGAATTTTATAGGATGAATTTTTTTTGTGAATTATTACGGGCATAGATCGGCGTCAATCAGTACTTTTAGTAATATTATGAGAAGTTGCAGTTTACAGTAATTCAAATTTATTTATCGTAATTGAAATTTGAAAAATAATATTACTGGTAATTTAATTTCTCAATTATTGGTTGATAAAATAATTCGAATTTGAAAATTTAAATTGATGGTTATTTTTAAAATAAAAAAATTGACGAGTTATATTAACAATTGACTTATTCCAAATTTAACTGCAATTCAAAATTTCGATTATGCCGATGTCTGATTACAGGACGTTTTTTCTGATATTATTACTGTTTATGGATAGTATTGTAGCAAAATTTCATCATTAGGTGCATGAAAACAGGGTTTAAAAATTAATGAAGAAATATTTGAAAATACGAGGGGGACACCGCCATCTTTAGTCCCCCTTGCGGTAGAGGGAGAGGGCATCAGAGCAAATGGCGGCGCCCACACGTATCAACCACCTCGCATTTTTAAACATTAAAAAAAATTATTTTTCCTCTTCCAATCACCCTCAACTCGTTTCATTCAGTTCACAGAAAAGAACGAATTTTTTAAGCTATCCTTCAGATTTTTCCATCCCCTTTGGGCTGAGAATTCATGGCGCAAAGTTTTTCACGTATTTCAGTATTTTTTGTTCACTCCCGAAGCCGCTTAGTAAATTAATAAAATGGAATGAATCAATTTTCGTAATTTTGGAGCTCAATTCGACTAGTTTAAGAGGAATCATGTTTAAATGACGTTTCTAATGTTTATAATTCCCTTCCAGGGATACAAATGCTGACTCTACTAGTTCCGATATTAATAAATTATCTACTGGATGAAAATAAACTGCAGCGAGGAAGCAAGTATCAAGTTACACTTCATCAGCAGAGTTTCCAGTGGTTGAGTAAAATAGGTCCGAAATATCCACAAGAATTCAAAACACTGATGTCACAATCAACGGAACTGAAGACTAAATTGGAGAATGCTGTGCGTTTGAGCCATCAACAGGCACAACGGCACAATAAACATCCGGATACATTGAAAACAATCAACAAAACAGCGACTCCGTCTATTAAACTGAAGACAGACTTTTCAAATTTCAATTGAAATGGGTGAAATAGGCCATTGAATTAGTGATATTAGAGTTAATTTAGGAGATCATCTGATTTTTTCTATGTCCTGATTTTTCATCGCAATGGAGGGAACAAATGTTGTATTTTGCAGGAAAACGTTTGTACAGAGTATTTAGGCGTTACGTCAAGGACTGAATCACTAAAGTTTTTTCCATATTTTTTGCTGATTTACACACGAAAAATAATTATTTAGGAGGGGAAATAAATTATTCAAGATTTATTCATAATTTTGGTCAGTTGATGGGTGACCACTTGGCAATATGAAAACACGTACGAAGAAATTTCGTGGAAAATCCAGCGAATTCGTTAGAAAATTCTTTCTATTAGTTTTTGGTCGATTCTATTAAAATATTGCGCAGCTTATCTGCACGTTTTTTTAAATGGAAAATATTCTATAGAAAAAAAATTGATAGAATTCGATTTTTCTGGACAATCTATTGTACTGAGATATTTTCGAAGCCTTAAATTTAATTTTCTTGTTTAAAAAAGAGGAAAAATGGAGTAGAAAAAACTGAGAAATTCATGTCGAGGAATCCCTATAAAAATATTCCTATTAATATTCTTATTCAAAAAACAATAGTGAACACTAATGGAATTTTCTATCAAATTCGCTAGGTTTTTCTAGGAAATCTTTTCCTGCGTGAATGACTGCAAAATGAAGGAGTTTGAAGCAATTGGGGCGAATATGCAACAGGAGAGAATTTAGAATTAATAAATATGTAATAATTTAGACTTCATTGATGTACAGAGTAGTTCAGAATTAGTCGAGCATACGAAATTCTATTTTTTTAATTTTCAATAGCACAAATGTAAAGGCGAAAATTGAATGATTTTATTATTCCTTGAGCTGTGGCATGAAGAAGTGAATAAATCTTCCTATTTTTATTGATTGATGTTCAGTAATTCGATAAAACTGATGTTTTATTAGTTTATGGCTCTAGAACGAGAGGAATAAACATTGCCCCAGAATTTTTATGAAATCCAGTTAATTCCGAAACCCAATGAGTTTAAATCATTCTAGGTCATTAATGCACACGTCAAGAAATTCAATAGAAAAGCTGGCGCTTTTCTCAAGAAATTCTGGGGAATTTCCATTAGAATTCTATGAAGAATTTTATGAACGATTTTATTAAAATTTAATCGATTTTTCTTTTTGCAATAGAAATTCTTGGGGAAAAAATTTGAACAATTTATGACCGAGAATTCTTAGATAAATATTCCCAACAGAATGAGTTATATAGAAAAATCAACATCTACAGACCTTTTTCAATAAACAAATATCTATTTAGAATCACAAATGAGAGTTGGATAATTTTTTGTACAATTGGCGCAAAGAAACAAATAGAATATTTTAACAGAATTCCAATGGAATTTCTTGAAAAAAGGTTTACGTTTTTCTATAGATTTTTTTCATCCGTGACCTTGATTTTCAAACGAATAATTGTATAATTGTTAGGATAATCATTACGTTTAGTGATACATTATCAATTCATTCATCTGCTCATCCTCAAACTACGTGAATGGATTCTAGTGATGTAACATGACTATTTATTACTCTCGCCTGATGAACAGGAGAGAGTCATTGGGAGATTTCTTATAGCCGTGTGGGCAATTTAATCTCGCGAATTTCATGGGAGAAAGTAATTGAATTGACGGAATAGTTTTCTTTAATACTACTTCTAGTCGATGAAACAGTGAAGTTGTCCGAGTCGAGGGTAATTCATGTATATGTATGGAATCAATGTATAGAAAGATCTATATAAGAAGTAGAAACAATGTCTTCCTAATGATTATCTGAAGGAGAATGATAGAAATAATAAAAGGTATAGATCACCCCATCAAAAGTTTATCTGAAAATTTTTCCCTTCCTGTCCTGCGTTCAAAGCTTACGACGTTATTAGTTAAGATGTGAAATTAATATATCGATTCCACAGATCAGTCAGTGGACCGTTTATCAATAAGTTACGATTCACTGGCACGGGATGAAGACTAATTGACTTTAGTTGGCACTGCAATTGAGGGCAGTCAATGAAAAACATCCGCCATTCTACATTATGACAATCATATTATGAATCAAACTTAGAAATTAGTTGAGATGTGATTAACGTGCGGGTAAATTTTTTTTTACTAGATTTTGATTAGCTAACCATTGCAAGAGATGTGCGCAACAGATTGATTAATCATTCTTCTTCTTTTATCATTTATCCCCCTAGTTCTCGTGATGCCCTTGTCATCGAGGCATCTAAAATTAATTAAAAAGTAATAGCTAGATCTCAGATCTACCTTACTAATAATGTATTCTGTCTTTTTTTATCATCTTTTGGTATATGTTTCACCTAATCAACCACTTGACGTTGATTTAAACGACAGAACAATATCGCTCTCGTAATATTTATAAAAATTTTCACCTCTGGTTCATCATTTCCCTCGTAAGAAGCATTACGATGCTAGTATTTTCCTTATTCAATTGCACAAGAACAATCATTGTACTGATCTTAAATGACTAGAATTATTAGAATAAGTTTTGTTTTAATTGTTTCCCGTCATTAATAACTTTCTCAGTTTTTATCTCCTAAATTTTCTCAGCTGCTGAGACACTATGCAACAACTCACGCCAAGATATACGCAAAAGCAAAATAATAAATTCAAAAGTAACTCTTTTGATAAAGAAAACATTTACAGTTATCTCGTGGGCATTTAACGCTACTAATTATATTCAGAGGAATTCTAGCTGTTTAGTATCAGTTTTCTCTTTCATTACGTCTAGAGAGTTTTCCTAAGGTTGAAACGTCCATGAAAAAAAATAGTCGCATTCTGTTGAAGCGAATTACCATAAATGATTATTGAATGATCATTATAAATCACGAGGCTGCGCAGAACGTTTGGGATTCGTGGACACACGTCAACTAGTTCTCTACAGACTGATATATTTACTTAATGCACCAGGGCCATAATTCAATTATCGAAACCTCCACAATTACCTCTAAAATCCATTTACATTCCTCCCCACGAATAAATTCCTCAAGACCTCGTACTTCTCCCCCAAATTCAAGTGATAAACAAAAACATTTGGTGGGACTAACCTCAAAACGCCCGGAAGATCGCCATAAACCTCCGCACGTAAGTTTCCTGCAATGAAAACACCAGTTAACCTCTAAAACAGTTCTTTAAATGACAAAGGACATTGTAGGATGATGAACTCGTCAGATCCTCGTCGCCCTGACAAAGAAATAAGGTACAAACCGTCAGTAGCAAGTGGCCAGACCCAGCCGGGGGATGACTTGACACCAGACTACATGAACATCCTCGGCATGATATTCAGCATGTGTGGACTCATGATGAGACTGAAATGGTGTGCCTGGGTCGCTCTCTACTGCTCCTGCATAAGCTTCGCCAATTCACGAGTGACTGATGACACCAAACAAATACTGAGCAGCTTCATGCTGTCGATATCCGCTGTTGTCATGTCGTACCTTCAGAATCCACAACCGATGACACCCCCTTGGGCATCGGCGCTTCAATAATTCTCGGAAATTCATGAACTGTGTTTTGTTTACATTTTTTCAAAGTTCAATTAAAATATTAAGGAAATTAAAGACTTTGTGGATTTATTATTTCAGGTAAATTGACGCTATTGAATGATGAAATTGATCATTTTAATTTTTTTTTTGTGTTCCCGTAATTTCTTATTATTCAAACTGTTTACGTGATGGAATATCTATTTATTTTTATGCGATGAGTAAACTCGAAAAATCAGTTAAACCGACGATTAGGGTTTACTAAATTTTTGAAAGTGATGTTGCTCGATTGAATGAACCAGAAAATTTTATCGGACCGACGCAAATCAGTTCGCACCGCTCAAGGAATAATGCAAACATTCAATCACACGTACGAAAAAATTTCATAGAAAAGCTAGACAAGTCTATTCAAAAAGAGACGAAAAATATAAAACTTGAAAAAATAGAAAATGTCTCGAAAGAAAAAGTGTAGAAATATTATTATTATAATTAATTATTAACAATAATTCATTAATAATAATAATCAATTAATCAAATTATTTGTCACATAGTCATCAATTCATAGACAATAGTAATCTGTTCACTTTATTTGCAGACTCAATAATTACAATGTTTCACGTGTGGTTCCTTATTTCATTTATCATTACGAATTTTACACTCTCTCATATTGATCACCGGATCAAAGAGAATTCAAACGTTTGATTATAATTTCACATGTAATAACATAGTTGGTTTTTTTTTCATTCGTTAAATTCATATAATGTAAATCACAAAGCGAAGAAAAGATACAATTATTTTCTCCCTCATATCCATTATTGACCAATGATTAATCATTCTGGTGATAATTAATATTGATTCGATCGTGGTACATAATGATAATATGTACAGGAACCTAAATGACGATTTCTCACTGTTTTATTTGTGTTGATTTATTTTCATTCGTTTCATTTGAAATTTGTGGCTTATTTTGGGCGGTTTATAGTCAACGGAATGCAACATTTCTCTCGACGTTATGATGTTATCAATGATTTCATTCACTTCGGTATGCCAATTTAATTTGTCTGGCACTCAGTCAAACTAATTCTACAGTGCAATTTACTGTAAAATTTAATACCGAGTATTTGTTTATTCATTAAATAAAAAAAATCATTTTTTAAAACTCAAAGTAACTCTAAATTGCACGTATTAAGTATTCTTTAGAGGAAGCGAATAATTACAAAGTAATTCCCATTGTCTTCCATAAAAATACTGTTTAATTCCTAATTATTGGTAATAATGTACGGATAATAATAAATATCGTTAATTTGGCCTTTCGTATGGATTCGTAGCTTGCTTCTTTGCTTTTGACACCTCTCGCACTCAAATATTTCACGAACAACTCCCAGTAATTTCCATAAATCCACAAATAATTAATTATCAGTGAGAAAACTGCACTATCATGACGGAAAATTTTGAACATGAATTGTTATGTTTCTGCTCGCTGGTAAAAAATGAAAATATACAGTAAAATTAATAAATAAGCGATAAATTAATATATCGATTCCACATATCAATCAGCGGACTGTTTATCAATAAGTTATGATTCAATGGCACAGTATGAAGACTAATTGAATTTAGTTTGCACTGCAAGTGAGGGCAGGCAATGAAAAACACCAGGCATTCTACGTTATGACAATCATATTATGAATTAAACTTAAAAATTAGTTGCGATGTGATTAACGTGCGGGTACATTTTTTTTTTTGACTAGATTTTGATTAGCTAACGATTGCAAGAGATGTGCGCGACAAAATTGATTAATCATTCTTCTTCTTTTATCATTTTTCCCCCTAGTTCTCGTGATGCCCTTGTCGTCGAGACATCTAAAATTAATTAAAAAGTAATAGCTAGATCTCAGATCTACCTTACTAATAATGTATTCTGTCTTTTTTTATCATCTTTTGGTATATGTTTCACCTAATCAACCACTTGACGTTGATTTAAACGACAAAACAATATCGCTCTTGTAATATTTATAAAAATTTTCACCTCTGGTTTATCATTTTCCTCGTACGAAGCATTACGATGCTAGTATTTTCCTTATTCAATTGCACAAGAACAATTATTGTACTGATCTTAAATGACTAGGATTATTAGAATAAGTTTTGTTTTAATTGTTTTCCTTCATTAATAATTTTTTCAGTTTTTATCTCCTAAATTTTCTCAGCTGTTGAGCCACTATGCAATAATGCTCGCCAAGATATACATAAAAACAAAATAATAAATTCAAAAGTAACTCTTTTGATAAAAAAACATTTACAGTTATCTCGTGGGCATTAAACGCTACTCATTATATTTAGAGGAATTCTAGCTGTTTAGTATCAGTTTTCTCTTTCATTACGTCTAGAGAATTTTCCTAAGGTTGAAACGTTCATTAAAAAAAAAAATTGTTGCATTCTGTTGAAATGAATAAGTTGGATCCATCGAGACTAGCACACTCGCCCAAATTCCCCATTATTTTCTATTCATATAGTCTAACAAGGAAAACACTGCCTCGTCTTATTTTTCGTTTACCATTTTCTCATTAAGATCGAATAATCGCAGGCGAAATATAACTGCAAGAAAGCCATTCTAGTTCTCCACCTTTTTTTTAGTAATTATTAAACCTATTGTTATGGTTGCAGATAAATAAAACGATGGAATTGGTAAATTCGGTTAGTCCTTTAGAACTCTCCTGCAGTTATGTGTCATCCACCTGCAGATGGGATTTCAGTGCACAGACAAGGTCAAGTGTCATACATTCACTATCGTATTCGTCACTCCAATACCATTATTAACACGAGTATCATTCGATAATCCGATAAAGCATTTAAAAATGAGAATCATACGTAATTCACTAATTTTTTTTTCTTTCTTTTTCAATTTTTTTTTGTACAGATTATTTCTCATTTGTTAGAGATCCATAAAATAGCTAGAATGACTGAGACGGTATTGCAATTGTACTGCAATAAACTAATAAAACGTCAAAACAACCTCTCCCCTACTTAAAATATTCATAAACAAAAAAGGATGTGAGCTTTTCGTAAATTCACGTTATCACACGCGTGAAAAAACTTCAATAGAAAAATCTTGCGCTTTTTTCTAATTGCAAATTCTATTGAATTTCTATTGGAATTCCATAAGAATTTTATTTTTCTCATAATAAGATCCAAGAAAAAACAGAAAATTCGTCTCAGATTTTAAAAACCGCACAGGAGAGTTGCATAATTTTTCATAGAATTGGCGCAAAAAACTAATTTTTTAATAGAATTCTCATGGAATTCCAAGAGAAATTCAGAAGAATTTCATGGAGAAAGCGCTAGATTTTTCTGTAAAACTTTTTCATAAGTGCAGGGGCATTAAAAAATGCCATATCTCGCACAAGTATCGTTTGAGTCCCCTCACTCGTTCCTCCAATCGACTTTAAAATAAAAACACTTCGCAATGTATAATTTTCCGACAAAATCACACCGCAGGGGCACGGTAAGTACGTTATACCCATTTATCCCCAACAATTGGGAATGATAATTCATACTTGCATCAGCCAAATAAGATATCTGTCTTGACTATGAGTCAGTTACTAGAAAAAATCATCTAATTACTTAATTTTTTATCCAATAGGTTATCACATTCCTATTCGGCTGTGGTAGAACTCTGCTGATTGTGGTGTGAACCAATACCATTTGTCATTTTCATCAGTAAGTCTCACGACTCTCTGCTGATTGCCGTCTCTGGGACTGGTCTGAATCTTCTGCATCTAGAAATAAGTCAAGTCAAAAGAGTCACAGGTGATAAATTCAATATTTCACTTCATTCTATTTTATTCATCTGTCATGCTGCAATCTTATTATTGTTTTGAAATATGAATATTTTAGTGGGACAGTCCCTCACATTTTTCAAACCTTGCCTTTTTCTAAATAAATAATGAAACGTTTTAATTTAATTTCAATTTTTTTCGCTTGATATTAACTTTTGGGGGTTTTTCAATGTGAAAAAATTTGTTATAATTCCTAAAACATGATTTCTCAATTATTTTATCAATGGTCATTTTCGTAGCCCGAAATCGAAAAATATAACGTATCAATCTATTTAAAAAAGTAATTTGATTTCAAGGGACTGTCCCACCCCAACAATGGAGTGACTGACGATAAAAAGCGCCTGAAGCAAAATAAAAATTCCCAATGAGCCAGCAACACAAATAAACCATTAGCACAGGCAGCTCAATGACATAATTAACGATACAATTATCCACAATTGTTGGGGGGATGACAATGACCATACCTAGCATTGTTCTCAGCCACATGAGGTGGTAACGACGAAGGTGGAAGTGGTGGCTGGGATATTGGTGCTCCACTGCTGTCCGAGTCATTATCACTGCTCTCGTCATTTCTTTTACCTGTATCAAGGAGATATGAGGGCACACCCCGAGGGTAAAATCTCGGTAGCACCTCGGAATTTGGTCTTGCACGACGCTGGGGTCTCTGGAATCTCAGATTCAATTGACTAGCGTCTGTCACGTATTTCTCACTCTGTCTTCGTCTGCGTAGGGCTGGCGTACAGCCAGTTAAATTCTCATCCTCGGTGGAACTTGTGGACGTTAATAATGGAGGACTGGGTCTTGCATCGGGCAATGTTGCGCATCGTCGCAGGGCTGGCGCCTCCGTGTGGACTGATAAGGGCTTTCCCTTCATTGCTAAAATTTACTTGATGGGTTAGTATCGCTAAGAAGCAGTGAATTATCAATTTTTTCTTTGCTAGACATTTACGAGAGCGAGTGGATGATCCTATTGTGAATTCTGGGCTACTTCAAGCGTGAGGCGGTGAATTTCGTGTTCTCAGATTGGTGAAAGTCAAAAGTAGCTGAAGATTTAAGGATATCCAAGTCACTTTCACAGCTACAACTGACGAATTCATCAATTGGATTACGAATTTTGAGATTTTTTTTCGAAATATTTCTATTACTCGTGTTGCATTTTGTAAAAAATACTTCTTTTTTCAATTCACTTTCGTATAAATATAAATAAGAATTGTCTGTACAAAATTTTCAGTAAAAAAGCAGAATTCTGAAATGAATTATTAATGCAAATATTTGCTTCAAAAATCAATTTAACATCTTCAAATTTTAAATAGTAAAATCATTTCAAAATGATCAGTAAAAGAAAAAGATAAAAAAAATTTCAGTGAGACAAAAAATGGCAAATGGACTTGGATATCCTCAATTAAATCAGTAGGGAAATGGTGAAATAAGGGGAATAAATTCTGAAATAAATAAGAAAATAAGCGGCAGACCCACCGGAATCCTTCTCCCTGGACTGAGTGGAGGATCCCCCGGACTTATCAACTTCACTGGCAGTCCCAGTTTTCCCAGTATTCGGTGTATTTTGATCTGGCGTGGATTCAGATAGTGAGCACCGTGGACTTTTCACTGGTACTGGTATTTTACTGTGGACACTGTGTGGTCTACCAGTCGTATCACGTTCTTTATTGTCTTTTGATTCACGAAGAACTGTGTTATTTGTCGGCAATGGTGTTGAATTTGTCACAGCTTTATTTATTGATGTATTGCTTGTGTTAACTCGACTCTCTGTTGCATCGTAGTATATCGAGGACTCCTCGGGGGCGGGATTGGGGCTTGCTGGACTCCCCGTTGTACCATTTGTCAATTTTTCTGGGAAAGAAAGTACAATTGAGTTCACGGACGAATGAATCAATCGCTGGATCGATGGCAGAAGAGTAAAAAAGTCGAATTTAAATAACTACGAATTTGATTTTAATTAATATCGACGGATGGGGCTCAACAATACCTAACAATTTATTTTCCAATTTTCTTGTATCCTAATGCGTTGATATAACAAAAAAAAAATTCAAAATTTAAATTTGCAAAATCATGAAAAATTGGATAGAGTCTATAATAATAAAAATATTTGACAATGACCTCGATTAAATATAGATTCACGTGCAATTATCTATAGTAACTCATGCCAGAAATAAAGAAGGCCGGGATTCTTTGAGAATTCACGAAAAAAACATCTGGGAATAGAAGATAAATGAATGCTCTTAAATATCTCAGTTTCATACTATGAATAGGTTCCTTGTCGACAGTCGTTTGGACGACTGTAGCACCAATGGTTGGATCGACAACTCGTATCTCAAGTCGTCCAGCAACAGCCTCTTCCTCCTCCTCTCCATTCATCGTAACACCTGACGATGTGAATGCCACCGCTGGAACACTAGCTCTTCTAGTCACGGCACTCTCCTTTGGTTCGTCATGCCGCATTGCTACGTTCCACATCACGTCAACTTCGTACAGGAGATCGTCGAAGGCAGCTTGTTGTACCTGAGTTTAATCAATCGCAATTCATATGATGAGATGAACGAAAATGAACGAATTAAAAATGCAAGTAAATTGTGACATTTCAATGTCACTTTCCTGAGAATTTTTGTTTAAACTTATAGGGATTTTTTAAAATACGTTGCTGCATTCCATAATAAAAGGGGTTGCGTGTAAATTCATCCATTCAATTCTAAAATTATTCCATCTTCTCGGACATTCTTTTTTCAAATGTTTCCGAACATAAAAAGCTTTGAATAATAAAATGATCTCAAAATATTCAGTGCTCAGGGTAAATATGAGGTTCAAGTAAAAGCTCTGATGTTTCACAATAAATTACCAAGAAATTCAACAAAAAAAATGGTAAAAGTACTGGAATATCTTCGAATTGATCAAATAATAATTGAATAGGTGCAAATAAATAATTTAAATAGATTACACACCAAGGGTGCTTCAAGGTGAGTTCGTACGTGTGGCGCCAGCGCCGGTACGCTCCATGCACGTGGCAGTGCACCCTGCAGATCCGGATACTTCTCAATTCCCGTGATATTCAAGCATCTCCTGGGTACCCCAGGTCTCGGTGAATCCTCACTTATTCTCGACAATACCGTCTGTATCGTACTGAGTGCTGCCTGCTGAGACATATTCCCTGTTATAGATAATGCCTGACCCACTGGGGATCTAGCTTCGTGGGTGCCAGTGGTGGAACGGGCAGTGGCTACTGCCTCATTATCAACTGTGGACTACATACTCAAAAACTTTTTATGCTGTTTACCCAGCGAAAGAAAATTCACACTGACAGCAGGGAGAAGCAGTGGATCATCAAATATTCAGTAGAAGTTCAACAGAAATGCAATAGAATTCTCAATATGGAAAAAATTATTAGAATTCAATTTCTCCAGACAACTTATTCTGTTGAGATATTCTCTGCAGAAAATTTTAATTTCGACAATGAAAGAAAAGAAAAATAGAGTGGAAAAAAATTGGGAAATTCATGTCGAGAAATTCCTACAGACAATATCTCAATAGAAAAAGTTGTGCAGAAAAATTAAATTCTATGGATTTTGACATAAACTAGTTTCTATTGCGAATAAATGAATAAATTGCGCAGAATAAATCAATGAGAAATTAGTGCAACAAAAGATTATTATTTCCTTTTGTTCAAAAAAACTGTATAACATAAAATTTATCAATCGCCTTCTAGTTGATTCTTATGCAAGCTGGCATTAAACTTAAAATATCATTTTTTTTTTCGTAATATGCATTAGGAATAGAGTAAAGTAAAAGCGGTGATTGTAAGCAAAGCAGAGTGAGGAGGGGTAAGCGTAGGTTCAGCAGGGAATCGCAGTGCATCGTTGAAACAGAGGAGTCAAGCGAGAGTACCCATACACGCCAGACGTGGCTAGAATACCAAAACATGATTCTTTTAATAACAAATTTTTTTTTAAATATTCCTTGTTCGTTTGATGACTGATGAAGTTGATGGAATTAATGAGCCTTCACCCCAATCGTGTTAGAGATTAAAACAGGAATATTGGATGATGAAACGGCTATCGAGACGATGGAATGCAGAAAGTTTAACACTACTCAATCCTTCACATTTGCCCTCCTGATCCCATTCCCCATTCAATCATCGAGTTTGACGATGAAATTACCCCAGAAATTTTTTTATTCGTGGATTACCGGCCTCATTTAAATTATTTCAGAAAAAATTACTTCTTTTCAAAATATTCCTTTCTTTACAAGTAAATGATAAAATGCACTACGATATAGAAAAAAAATACAATTACAATAAAAAAAAATTTTAAATAAAAAAAATTCTTTAAAGGGTTACGCAAAAAAATTATGACTGATGAAGTTGATGGAATTAATGAGCCTTCACCCCCACTCTCAGTCATGTTAACACGAAAAAGCCTGACAAAACTTCCCTCAAGAGAATCAGAAGCACGAAAATCAGTCCACCCCAATCCTCCACCCAGTCCTACCCCTAAAAACTTCTCCCCATGCAATCCAGATCGTCATGCATCCCCAGACCCCTCTCACCTGCGGAACGATCGAAGGCGGTGTCCCCTTGTGCTCCGGACTCTGCAGATTCTCCCCCTTCCACTCATTATCAGTCTCCTCAGAGTCATCAAACTGCGACTTCCACTGTGACGCCAGAGTCAGCCCCCCACCGCCCCTGGTCACCTGCTGCAGCGCCGACACATTATCATCATCAATCTGCGCAAATTGTGTGATGGAACAGTCCCTGACTGTCGATCGTCCAGCCCTAGGCTGTGACCTCTGCTCAGCTCGCCTCCTGGGCTCCCTCCTGAGTGGCTCTCTCTGCTCGGTAACAGGACTCTGATTCCCCTGCTTGGTATTCGTGACATCGTACGAGCAGTACGAAGCATCGACCTCAGTCTGTATCCTCGGACTGGGTGGCTCCCCAGAGTTGCTCTCCTGCGGCGCAACAACTCTCAGCCTCGCAAAAGTCGCGCCACTCGCTGATTTCCTGAGAGGAGTGGCAGCATTGGCGACAGTCTTGGACCTTGCCACTTCAGAAGTTGATCTTGCTGATGCCATCAGTGCATCCCCCTCATGATCGACTTGCTTCTCAACCGGTGGCACTGGCGACTGTGGCTCGACAGCCATCGACACAGCCCTCCTCTTCTTCGGTGAGCCCTGCACAGGTGGAGTAGCAGCAACCTGCCCAGCCTGCTGATGCGTGTTGTCTGTTATCTGAATGGTGGCATTGCAGTTCTTGTCCCTCCCATGATTGCTTATTGCTGAGGTGAAGGGCACTGGCGAGCCATCATTCCCCAGCAGTAGTCTGCACAAACTCTCGATGTCCATTTTCGTTTCCTTCCTGTTGTCAGGCTCCACGTTCTCCTGATTATTGGTGTCGACGTTTGGTGTTGTTGGGGGCTGGTTGATGGTTGTGGCTGTTGTCAATGCTGGTGGAGCTGTCACAGTGGGCAATGATCTCGTTGTTGGCAGTCCCTCGTTCGCCACTGACGTCCTCTCCCAGTCGTAGGGATCGTTCAGTTTAACTCCTCGACGCTTCATGCAGCGCTCGAAGAGACCTGCCAGCATCGCGTAGTCTGGTTTGTCAGCGTACTGCAGGTTCTGAATGTGCTCCAGGAAGAGGCGGAGGTCCGAGGGCAGGTGCTTGAGCAACAATCGGTGGTCGTACTTCTCCTTGAGAATTCCCACTTGCTCTTTGTCCTTTATTTTCCTCCAGGGCAACTGACCGTTGACAAACTCCACGAGCATGTAGAACAGCGACCAGAGGTCGTCGTGCCTTCCCATCTCCTTGTTTCTGTGGGCATTCACCGAGGCGTAACGAACGGTACCACGAAAACCAGCTGCTGCACGGGCTGGACGCACCTCACCGGTGCCAGTGGTGAATTGACGAGCTAGACCGAAGTCGAGCATGTAGACTACACGACAGTTGTAGGGGTGACGACCGATTGAAAAGTTCGAGGGTTTTATGTCCCTGTGGAGGAAGCCCACTTGGTGTATACTTTCTATTGCTTTTAGGATTTGAAGACCGAGGCGGAGAGTTGTGGAGAGGGAGAATGCACCACGAGGCTGGGCTCGTCGGAGCTCCGCCAGGTTTTTACCCTGCAGTTGCATTACTACGTAATTGAATCTGTCGTTGCGGCCACAGCCTATGAAGCGGCAGACGTGATCTTTACCTGGGGATTTTGGCTCATTAGGTGATTGCATGGTTTGGGGGAATTGGGGGCATAAAAATCTTTACTTCCTGGATTTGATAAAAATTACAGCGCAAATGATCATCATCGTAAAATATCATAATGGAAAATCACGAAGCGACATTCAAATGAAAAACTAATTTATTCGTATATTAATTTTTAATGGGTTTTTCCATTGTGAGGGAAAAAATGAATGTATTGAAAATTTAATTGGCCCTAAGGCAACTTCAAGCAAATAATTTTGAGAATGTTAACGATTTTTTATACTACGAAAATATGATGTTGATCTTCTCATATTTTGTCAATAATGATATTTAGTTGTGAAGTTAAAATGCAAATTTTTTTTCCATTTTGTTATTGTGTGGGATAATTTTATAAAATTATCTGGGAAAATGATGAGTTGCTGTTATACTTTTACTTTTTTACCGAAAATGGGAATTTTTATTTGTCGAGGGTAACAATATCCCATGCTATTCGTGAAATTTTTAACGGTGATTTAATGGCAGTCAATGAACGGGGGCATGAGTCAACTTTAATGATAATGGTTTGCTACTAATGAAGTGTTCAATTACCCTGAAGTTTTTTGAGGACGGCAACTTCCATCTTGAGGACTTGCTTTGGCTGCCTCGCTGACTCGACTTTGAGGGCTACTTGCTCTTTGGTCAGCAAGTCCAGGCCCTCGTAAATCTCTCCGAACCCACCACCGCCAATTTTCCTCATCTTCATATCAAAAATTAAAAAAAAGAGTTAGTTTGATGATGAATAAAATGCGTTGTCCTGAAAATTTCCCAAATTAATCGATAAAGATAATTTTCATTATGTGAAACAAGACGAAGTGCATCCAGTATCGTCAAACCTTGTAATTATCTTCATGAGTCTTGCCTTTGGAAAATGACGTATCACGTATTTCTCGGGCATTGATAAAATCCCAGAAATTCAGTAAGAAACCTAACGCTTTCTGTAAGAAATTCTACTGAATTTCCATGAAACTCTAAAAAACCTCTTGCAGTTTTCTAAAAATTCCATTAGTTATTTGCGTCATGGCTATAGGAGATTATGCAACTCCACCGTGTCATTTTGTCAAGAGATATCTAATAGAAAAGTCAATAGATTTTGATCTTTCCCCACAAATTCTCGGGCCTAAATTTACCAACTAAAATCCAACAGAAAGAACTTTGCAAAATACCCTAAAATTCCAACATAAGATAAATCCCAGCAGAATAACTTATCCAGAGAAACCACTATCTACACATTTTTCCAAAACAACTATCTATTTAAAAACCCAGGAGGCCGTTGCATAATTTTCAAAAGAGTTCACTAAAAAAAAATAACCGGAGCAAAACAGAATCCCCAGAATTTCTCAGTAGAAGCGTCAGGTTGACAATATTGTCCCCGAAATTGACTCCCCAACCCAAAACCATAAACTCACAACTTTCCACCTCTCCTTGACCACATGTCCCGGCTGCAGTAAATCCTCGCTCGTCATTGTAATGTTGTTATTATGATCAGTGCTCTCGTCACCTACATTCCTCAGCACCAATTTCCCAGGATGATTCGGATGCCTGACAACAGAGAAAGCCCCCCCTGAAATTACTCAATCACCCCTGCACCAGTGCTGCCATGACAGTTGCCCAGGTGTACATAACTAGGGGTTGAACAGAAATAAACCTTCCTCTCCTGCACTTAACCGGGTGATCCTCCCGACAATGATAACCCAATCAATACCCCCCATCCCCTGAACACACCCCCCAGTCCTCCCAATCCCCAATCGAGCCCCCAAACATATTCCCTCAATCAATGAGTCGAAAAATCGGTTAAAAAATGAAGTTAAAAAACGGAATAGCTCGGTCCATTTTAGGCAGCCATGATTGCGTGTGGCCAAAGGGTGCAGTCGAGTTACAGAGGGAGGGGGAGGGTTGTAGCTCAACCCGACTGGAGGCTCAACGACACCCCCACACCGCCGCGACATTCCCTCGGCCCTAATTTCCCGAAAAATTCCCACAACTCCGAGAAATTAATCCCCAGAGTTCCCGACAGCCCTCACCCCCTCGTCCTGTCAAGGAAAAAAATCACCGGACCTCCCTCACAGCCTCTGCACACCGCCAATTAATCCACAATTAGCGTTAATTAACTCACGACTGATCCCCGGTGCGATAAAACCAAATGAAAAAAAAACCAAAGTGAAGACGATTTTCTCATCCCCACGCATTGGTCGATCCAAATATAATGACATTTTATTTTTACTAACAAATGTCGTACGCTCCTCAGAGACGTATCCACTGGGTCTCGGTATCACTCATATCGTCCGTCCTCCCTTCGCCAATGGGCCACGATTGTGACTCAGTGGATGAATATTTATTTCACTATTCATTAAGGATATCAGTGACAAATGAATCTTACGATTTGTATTATTTACACGGTTTCAAGCCCACTCGTTAATCATTCCTGTCAGTGGCTCCTTTGTCGAGTGACACTTTGGGATGACAGGATCCCCTCACGTTGATAATGTTACGCGAATCGATCTTACTCAACGGTTGAAGAGTAATTATTCGATGGTGGGTTCGCGGTGATCGCGCGTGAACCGCACGAAACACCGTCAAAAACTAGTTGTACCCCGTTATAACGGCCATCTTCATTGGGCCTCTCACGCGATTAGTTGTGTCGTCGTGCGATGGCGGCACCCACGCGCCCACTGCGCCGCGCGATCGATGGGGAAGTGAGTGGATTCATTGGGTGGAGAGAGAGAGAGAGCGTGAGAGGGGGACCGAGAGCGCGGGATCCGTGGGCTAGCGAGAGAGAGCGCGTGAGGGTCTAGGGGGGAGATGGACCTTGACTCTAGTTCGGCTGGCGGGCTCGACGGACTTTTGAAATCGGCAGGACAGAACACTCAGAAAAAAAAGAATTTATTTTTCCAATACTTCACGCGCGCGTAGTTAAATCGGTGGTTCATTGTATTTTTTCTTTCATTCATTTTTTTTAAATAATAAAAGTAACGATAAACAATCAAGGGACAGTTTCATGTCACGTTTTTCAATAGGTTCTGTCAAAAGCTAATAGATATTTCAATCAGAGTTCAATACAAATCCGCAAGAATTTTCTGTGGAAATCGGTAGGTTTTTCCATGAAATTTTATCGTGCATGGGAGTGAAACAAATTTCAATTGTACTATTGTTGAACGTTGCATTCATCTTTACGTACCTCCTCCCTACGAGATCACGTATCGTAAATGTTCAGGACACGAATAAAAATCGTTCAATCAATAGAACTAGAATTACAGAACGCGGTAGTTTTTTCTATTAAATTTTTATCTGTGAACTAGAACAATTTCACATATCAGCAGTGAAGCGGTAAACCGAGTCAAGTCGATTTTGACTATTAGCCAGTTTTTGCTGAATATCTCGGAATCTAAGAGAGATAGCAAAATTTTTCTCATGACTTTTTTTATAACGCTCTATTGGCTCTACAACAAAGGTCATGACAAAAATCTTTCTATCTCTTTTAGATTCCGAGATATTCGTCAAAAACTAGCCAATAGTAAAAAACGACTTAACCCGGTTTACCGCTTCGCTACTGATATTAAAAAAGGGAAAATAAAACCCTGTTATTATGCTTTTCCCTAGATCATAGCCTTAGCTTTAAATCACACAAGTCCATGATAGAGATCGACCATAAACTTCACATATATATGTGTATGTAAAAGCCTGCGGGCTGAGGCTGCGACAAATGAAAATGTAAATAGACGTTGTAAACACACATTGTACAAATAGTTACGTTGAATAAAAATCTTACACTGAGACAAAAATATAATTCTGCCAATCAAATATTCTTCCGACAAGAATTTAAAGCGAGTTTTCGTATGGGAATTTTTGGGCATTTGGTTGTCCGAAACAAATATGATTGGCAAAATTATATTTTTTTCTCAGTGGAAATGTAAATGTAAATTAGAAGGGTTTAGGCCGGAAAAAATAGTAAACCGCCTGCAAAAAGTGAGAGAAGATCAGAGAACGACGAGAAAGAGACGATAGCATAAAGGCAGTTGAGAGGGAGAAAGATAAAAAATACGCAAGAACATATTCCTCAAAATATAATCGTTTCCGTGTGGACTGTTCCACTAAATTCATTCCGTGGGAGTCATTTCACTGAGAAATTCGCATCAACTCCTTTGAGACTGCAGTTATCAAACGAGATGAGGTAAAATGTAAAGGGTAAGTTATTTATATGGAGTTTATTTATATAAAAAAATCAATCCAGCGCATAACATCGTGCATCTGATGATTGATGATACGAATTTCCTGCTAAAAATAATGTGCACTGCGAAAATGCTCTCCGTCACGCGATATTTTTCTGGCCGGAACGTTGTCACTGCCATTCAGTTCGATTGCGAATTTAATTACTAATTTTTTCCAGCAAAAAACTGGTCTTCAATGTTGTTATTATAGTCTGTTCTGAGTCAACAAACAGGAAAATCTCGGGGTATTTTTTTTTATCAGAATACAACGGAGAGGTCTGGGTGTAAAATTAGATGGGGCTCGTATCTTTATTCTATCTTTCTTGTAATATAATATGAGATTTTCTGCAGTGTTGACGGTTGTTTGATCTTGAGATGTTAACGATTTCTCTTGAATTCTGGGTGCGGATGGGAGAAAATAAATGGCTAATGACTTGTTAACGTACGCGAGATGTAGGAAATAATCTTAATGATCGCGATTTTCTAATGACGATATGTAGAAACTAGGGAAATGAAAGCTGCATCATTTTCAAGGCATGTGCAATCGTTCGGAGCGAATTGTTTTGGCGGGACATAACGGTTAATGGCCAGTCCGAGAGCCAAGTGGTTTATTACGGTGAGGAGGGTTGCAGATTCGAGTTATAGCCGTGATTTTACATTCAGTATTTGATTGGGAACTGGAATTTAATTGCATTTCGGGCCGGAAAATGGATATTTCGTGGAAAAATGTATAAGGAATATATTTCATACATGAACTGAATCAATTTCATGGATTTAAAATATATTTTCAATCTAGGATTCAGAGAACTGCAGCAAATTTGGGGAATTCACGCGCGAAAAAATTTAATGGAAAACCCTAGCGAATGCGCTAGACATTTCTATTGGATTTTTTAGAGAAAATATTCTGTAAAAATAATACAATTCAATTTTTCAATAGAACTTATTCTACAGAAATATTCTCTATCAATTCCCTCGGCTTAAATATTCCAAGTTTTTCCATTCTATTTTTCTTTTCTTTTCATCAAGGAAATCAAACAAAAAAACTTGGAAAATTTGAGCCGAGGAATTCTATAGAAAAATCGAATTAGATCGACTTTTTAGAATCGGCCAAAAACTAGTGGAAAATTCAATAAATATCCAATACAATTGTCTAGCGAATTCACTAGGTTCTTTTATTTAAATTTTTTCATACGTGAGATGTAATTCAGTAGCGAAGCGGTAAACCGCGTTAAGTCGATTTTCAATTTTGAGCAATTGTTTATTAATATCTCGGAATCTAAGACAGATAGCCAAATTTTTCTCATGACCTTTTTTATAACCCGAGATTAGCTCTACAAAAAAGGTCATGACAAAAAATACTCTATCTCTTTTAGATTTCGAGATATTAGTAGAAAACTGGCCAATAGTCAAAATCGACTTAACCCGGTTTACCGCTTCGCTACTGAATTTTTTATGAAAAACCATTTTTTTCGCGAATTACGAGAGGAGAAAATATAATCCTCAAACCCGCTATATTTTTTTGAAACGTACAAGCATCAAACCCAGAAGAAATAAAAAAATCGCAATCACGTACCACTTCATAACGAAAAGCTCTTTACAACGGCTTCATGAACCACTAATTTCCACAGAAAAAGAGAAAGTCCCAATGGATATGTTTCACTGATGAAGATGGTTATTTGAAGGGAAACCACTGATTCGGAGGCTGATATCGTGCGGATATTTCTACTGTGCAATACAGACTGAAGAGCAAAGTGGTTTTGGTGGCCCGAACGGCTTTGCAGCCAAAAGGATAGTGACGTCTGCATACGTTTCGAGTGTTTCCACTGGCTCGCGTGCGACTCGCCCGCTACAGCCCGTGAGCAAGTTTAACTTTGCTTTTTTAAACCGTAATGTGACGCACTGACCATTGTCATGAGACCGGCTGGCCCTGAGCGTGCTTGAAACATTAGTAATTTTGATTATCAGGCTCCAATGAGTGCTCTTTATTCCTTCTCGACAACGGCTTAATGCCGAATCTCGGAAACATTACGTTCGGTCGTCGCTCCCATCCAAATTTAAATACTCCCACTGCTGTATCGAAATCTCAGGAGTATTAACTATTTTAGATTTTAGATTATAGTGTATACACAATCGAAGTTTATGGATGGATTGAATTGAAGATGAGCCGAGATGCCGGTGAAATAAATCAGGGGAAAATGAACGGGAATGTCTGAAGTGGAGAGCGAAATATTGTATTTCAGGAATTTTCGGCTGAAACGTGGGAAAAAAATTGGCAGATACCAGCGCTTTCTATGAGAAAATGTTGTTGTGGAATACTTTAAATGAATAAATATCCCCGTCCCCCCGTTTCGAAGTGGTGGAAAAATTGAGGAGACGACGGGAAAAAAACATCAGCCCCAGCATTTCCTATTTTTTATGATTCAAGCGAAAAAAGATTGATTTATTCATTTGAAACGAGATTCGTTAACTATTAATGAATAGGGGAGGTTGGGGTAAAACGGACACTTGACTTTTTTTTTAATGTTAATAAGGGGTTGAAATGTTGATAAATGTTTATAAAATTTAATAGATTTTTTTTTCAATGCAAAGAACAATTGTTTCCCTTTGTGATGAGCCTGAACTGAGCTCAATTGATAAATTTATTTCTGAGTTATGAATAATTTTAAAAAAGTCTAAAGTGTCCATTTTACCCCACCCTCCCCTAGACTATCAGTGCGCCTTCGGCTCGGCGTCTAGCTCTCACACTCGTCAACAACTACTTTTTTTCACGTGTATCGTAATACACTATTTTCTCGCTTTCTTCCTCTCCTTTGAAAAGGAGAAAACTCCTCATGAAAAGAGTTATCTTCATCTCGCGGGAAATCTGAAGAGTCGATCCGTTGAATTTTTCTGTTGGGGTTCGTCTGCAGTCGTGATCTCCGAATTTTTGGAAATTGTATTATCACTTCAGCCCATTTCCCTAGGTCAAACTCTCCCTATTTTAAACTCATCTGTCCCAGTTAAATCTACTGCTCTCCGGTGGAGTCGGATGAGCTCGTGAAATATAAACTCGTGTATTTATACCTTTGTTAATAGCGAAAAATGGGAAGACAAATAAATACAATGGAGAGTTGGTTAATTCCGCGATGATAAACAGTAAAGTGGAATGAGACAAGACGATTCCCCTGTTTAAGCCGCACGAGCGGAAAAATTTCGTTGACGAAAAATTATAGATTTCGGCTCTTCAGTAACGTTCAACGAATTTTTTTCATTTCCAATTGAAAAATCAGTTGAATAAACTCGGAATCTATTGACTGTTTCTATAAAATATTTTTATTAAAATTTTTCATAAAAAAAAGGCGCAGAATCCTTGGAGGAAACGCATCACGAAATTTTATAATTTAATAATAAATTTAATAGTAAAATTTCATAGAAACCTGGCGACTTCGCTAGAAAATTAAATGTCAATTAAACTTTTCATTTTCCTGTGCAACTTATTCTATTGGAATATATTCTTCAGAAATGTGTCGCCTCAAATTTTCCAAGTTTTTTTGTTTTGTCATTTAAATTAATTCATTGATCAATTTTCGAGTGATCAAATGCCAACCGAAAGCCCCGGGGAAATCCTGCCACCGTCGGTTAGACAGGAATTCCATCGAATTTATCGTCTGAGAGATGTTGCACGGATTTTAACGGATGAGTGACTGACTTCAGTCTGCACCTCAGGGGCGTTTCGGGCACGATCCGTGTCGTGTATGCTGTCAAGTCGGCAGCAATTTCTTACAATTTGACAGTTATTCGTCAACAATTGAGGTGAGTCCCACCTTTATTCGACAATTATCCCCTAACAATGGACTTGATTCGACGTTTTGAGATAAAAATCCGAGTTTTTCTCACCTTTTCGTCGGGTTTTCGCATTTTTCCTGAGCTCATACTCCATTCCTCTTGCGTGTACGTTACTCTTCCGGAAGATATTTCGGTGAATTGACGATTTAGATTATTTTATGCGGCATTTCCCGGGGGTCTCGCGATGGAAAAGGGGTGGGAGATGATTTTGGCGAGGATTTCTGCGGCCAGGGGGTGGGTTCCAGGGGGCGGTCGGTCGGAGGAACTGTGGGGAACATTGATCCATCCCTGGTTAGCTATACATGTTGATTAGAGCCATTCGATATTCAGATCCGAGGGTATAACCGTTTGGAATGAAATAAAAACAGGAATTTGAAACTGATTTTTTTGGGTTTAGATTCAGTTTATGGGAGCAAATGCGGTGAAAAATTGAAAAACATCTGACATTAGTTGATGAATCCAACGGTTCTAGAGATATTTCAAGAGAAATTGCAGAATTCAAGGCGCATTATGTGAAATAAACTTCATTTTGAAATTTAATTTCTATGAATTTCCGTAACATTTCTGTTGGGGGTCAATAAATTTTTATATTCACATGTTTCATTTTACATAGAAGCGCAAAATAAATAAAATAGTTCATTCATTCCAAATAAATGCTCTTTAGAAGCAAATAAACCTTATTTTATTCCTAAGTAACATAAGATTTTAATACAAATTATTCCAGGCTCTCTTAATTTCTCGTTCATTATGTATTAGTTTCCTCATTAGATCTGTCATTTTTTATGTTCTCAGTATCGAAAATGTCGGATTCAAAGTACTTCACCACCACCAAGAAGGGTGAGATCTTTGAATTGAAGTCAGAACTCAACAATGACAAGAAAGAGAAGAAGAAGGAAGCAGTGAAGAAGGTAAAAATCACCCTTCCCCAAGTAGTTCATCAAGTTGAATTAAACAAATTCATTGATCACTCACTTTAACGTCTCCATCAGGTCATTGCATCGATGACCGTCGGCAAGGACGTCTCAGCTCTCTTCCCAGACGTCGTCAACTGTATGCAGACGGACAATCTCGAGCTGAAGAAACTCGTCTACCTTTACCTGATGAACTACGCCAAGAGCCAGCCCGACATGGCCATCATGGCAGTCAACACGTTCGTCAAGGTAACGCAGTTTTGTTGATCTTCTGAAAACACCATAAATTAATAATTTATCATTAATTTTATAAAGTGCACCTCTGCTATATTTGTACATACTTAACGACACCAGTGTAATTTTATTTGAGCTCGAGGCAAGCTGCAGAGTCACTCGGTATTTCATTAATGTTTTACACAATTGAGATGTTTAATTGTGCTTAAGGTTCGTTCATCACTCGGTGTTGATTTTGGTTGGTTATTCACAGAGGGAGTGGAATATTCATTGATTATTTATCATTCCAAATTGATGGTGGAGAGACATTTCAATCAATTCGAGGAATAATTTTTTTTTTTAACACAAAACAGTGCAAGAAAAAATTGAAAAAATTTAAATTACTATTTTTGGAATTATTATTGGCATTTAGAGAAGAATGGGAATTTCAATGAATTGGCTTTTCCTCTGCAGTACCGCGACTTTACAGTTTTGCCTCGTTCATCACGAACTGTGCTTTGCAAATGAATATTTGCACAGGGCTGTTCGTTGTACAATGACTGAATGTCTGATAATTATCAAAAGAAAACGTATCGAGAGGCGAATCGCTTATTTTTCAAAGGGCACGAGACTGGAATTTGGTGGACATTATCACAAGCCATTTCTCGAATGATAAACACATTTTCCTCATTAATTTGTCACTCCAAATTCCAGGATCATTGAAACTCCGGGGCGATACTAAAAAAAATACTAATAGTTCTATAAATTAAGTGTTGATATTTCTGTCTCAATTTTTGTGTTGACTGATGATCCATTGACCTCAGCACCGGTGTAAATATTCTCTCAGATGCATGATGATATTTTCCTTATCAAAATCCATGAAATAAAATTCATCATTTCGATTTTTCATTCTTCAATCGAATTTCAATTGTTAAATTAGCATGTGCGTTGGATTCAGGAATACTTTATTGAACGTTTATCGATATTTATGTGTCTATTGCATTGTAATAAACCGGTGCCTGTATGCGCTAATGCCAATGCACGCAGAACAATTTAAAACTAGAGAAAAAATATTTCCACTTGAAAAATTTAACAGATTTATATCTCTTATTTTTCAACAACAATTTTTGCGTTTCCAAAAATTTTATTTTCGTTGTTTCTCGATGTTCGATAATATCCAAATATTTCACCTGATTACCTCATTCTTTATTCTCTAGAAATAATTCTGCACTGAAGTGCAGAAACCATGAAAAATGAATTCAGTGGATTCGTCATGAAAAAAAAATTATTTAAATTTAATTCGATGTGATGAATCTTTCGCTTCACTGCAGAATTATCCCTGAATAATTTCATCTGCACGTTCGACTCTAAAAATCAAATGAACAGCAATAACAAAGTACTAAACTTACATGTCTTAAAAATAAACCAGAACGAAATTTTGAATAAAAACGAAAAACTCGTGCTCTTTGAAAAATGAACGATTTGCGTCACGATCGTTCATTCCTCCAATAAACCTAATAATAATGAAGAACAAAAAAATGGTGAACGGTGACCAATTTCAACTTTTTCGTTCTGACACGCTAAAAAGGAGCTAGCGACATCTCCGATGACAAAGGTACCATAAATCTTTCTATCTCGTTACACAAAAAAAGAAAAAATTAAATTGCAAAAAAAAGAGTGGGTCGAACATGAAATAGTTAGTGATTATCGTGAGTAGACTTGAATCCCTGGCTTGCACGTTTTTGTTGCGTAGGACTGCGAGGATCCAAATCCCCTGATTCGTGCGCTGGCAGTGCGCACCATGGGCTGCATCAGAGTCGACAAGATCACAGAGTACCTGTGTGAACCGTTGAGGAAGTGTCTGAGGGATGAGGATCCCTACGTGAGGAAAACAGCAGCTGTTTGTGTTGCTAAACTTTATGATATCAATGCAGGACTGGTTGAGGATCAGGGATTCTTAGATCAGCTCAAGGATCTATTGTCTGACAGTAATCCTATGGTAATTTTTCAACGGTTTTTTCTTTCGGAAACATTAATGGCCAAGGATTTGTTATGGAAAAAAACTAAAAGTTGAAAAAAAATCATATCTATTCAAAAAGTTATTTGATTTCTAATTCTGAGTAGAAATTCATGGTATTGAAATTGGAGAAAAAGTGAACAAACGCCGGAGGTCGGTTTTACACACATGGCTATCCAGTGGTTACCATCTTTCACTGAATTTTTTTTAATCTATTGAAAAATCGATAGAAATTCGAGCAAAATTTGTTTTTAATGAAATTTCACTAGAATTCAGATTGAATTCAAACAGAGATTCAATAGAATAGAACTTGCGAATCTCTTCAATAGAAATCCAATAGAAATTTCGATCGATTTCGCTAATTTTTAAAAATCTCCCCAGAATCCCAATAGGATTTCCCTTAAACTGTTTCCATGCACATCATCTATTAGACTCGTCCCGCAAGCCCGATTAATCCCCCGATCTCCCCAGGTCGTCGCGAACGCGGTGGCAGCCCTCTCCGAGATAAACGAGTCGTCCCCAAGTGGTCAGCCCCTCGTAGAGATGAACGCCCAAACCATAAACAAGTTGCTTACCGCCCTGAACGAGTGCACCGAGTGGGGTCAGGTCTTCATCCTGGACTCCCTCGCCAACTACTCCCCAAAAGACGACCGCGAGGCGCAGAGCATCTGCGAGCGAATAACCCCCCGCCTGGCCCACGCCAACGCAGCAGTCGTCCTCTCCGCAGTCAAGGTCCTAATGAAACTGATGGAGATGCTGCAATCAGAATCCGACTTCGTGGGTACCCTCACGAAGAAGCTGGCGCCACCCTTAGTGACCCTCCTCAGTTCTGAACCTGAAGTCCAGTACGTGGCGCTCCGCAACATAAACCTGATCGTCCAGAAGCGTCCGGACATCCTCAAGCACGAGATGAAAGTCTTCTTCGTCAAGTACAACGACCCAATCTACGTGAAACTAGAGAAGCTCGACATAATGATCCGTCTCGCCTCCCAGGCGAACATAGCGCAGGTGCTCTCCGAGTTGAAAGAATACGCAACAGAAGTCGACGTGGACTTCGTGAGAAAAGCAGTCAGAGCGATTGGCAGATGCGCCATCAAGGTGGAGCCCTCGGCCGAGCGTTGTGTCTCGACCCTCCTCGACCTGATCCAGACAAAGGTCAACTACGTCGTCCAGGAGGCAATCGTGGTGATCAAAGACATCTTCCGTAAGTACCCCAACAAGTACGAGAGCATAATCTCCACCTTGTGCGAGAATTTGGACACCCTGGACGAGCCAGAGGCCCGAGCCTCCATGATCTGGATCATCGGGGAGTACGCGGAGAGAATTGACAATGCCGACGAGCTCCTCGAGAGCTTCCTCGAGGGTTTCCACGACGAGAACACTCAGGTGCAGTTGCAACTTCTCACAGCAATCGTCAAACTGTTCCTGAAACGACCCACAGACACTCAGGAGCTGGTGCAGCAGGTGCTCAGTCTGGCCACCCAGGACTCCGATAACCCTGATCTGAGGGACCGAGGGTTCATCTATTGGAGATTATTGAGTACAGACCCGGCAGCTGCCAAGGAAGTGGTCCTCGCTGAGAAGCCCTTGATCTCAGAGGAGACAGACCTCTTGGAACCGACTCTCCTCGACGAGTTGATCTGTCATATTTCGAGTCTGGCCTCGGTGTACCACAAGCCACCGACAGCCTTTGTCGAGGGGAGGTCAGCAGGGGCGAGGAAGTCCCTTCCAGCCAGGACGAATTCCAATGAGGACGCGCAGAGGACGAGCGCTCCACAGGCCCAGGTCATCCCAGCCCAGGATTCGTTGATAGGGGATTTGTTGAGCATGGATATTGGGGGGCCTTCAGCAGTGGCTGCTGCCCCTGCAGCGCCCACTGGCATGGGTCTGGATCTTCTCGGCGGTGGGCTTGACAGCATTCTAGGGGGAGGGGACACTGCGGCTCCTGCTGTCTCGCAAACCACCACCGGACTCCTTGGGGACATATTCGGGTTTAATCAGGGGCCAGCTCCCTACGTGGCACCCAAGGTCAACTGGCTACCAGCCGAGAAGGGAAAGGGCTTCGACATCTGGGGGACCTTCAACAGGAAGAATGGACAGATCACTATGGACATGACCTTTACCAATAAAGCGATGCAGAGCATGGGGGGTTTTGCCATTCAGTTGAATAAAAACAGCTTTGGTCTGACTCCAGCTGCTCCTCTCGCTGTGCCTGGACCTCTCGGTCCTGGCGCCAGCATCGAGGTGTCTGTGGTGCTCTCCACTGCTGGGGCGGTTCAGAGGATGGAACCCCTGAACAATCTCCAAGTGGCTATCAAGAATAATATTGATGTCTTCTATTTTGCTTGCGTTGTTCCCATGCATGTTTATTTCGCTGAGGATGGACAGCTTGATAAGAGGGTTTTCTTGTCCACGTGGAAGGATATACCTGCCCAGAATGAGGTCCAGTACACCCTCAATGGAATCATGCTCACTGCTGATCAGGTCGTGCAGAAGATGCAGCAGAATAATGTTTTTACCATTGCTAAGAGGAACGTCGAGGGCCAGGATATGCTTTATCAGTCTCTGAAACTTACGAATAATGTTTGGGTGCTTAATGAACTGAAAATTCAACCGGGGAATCCTGATGTTACGGTGAGTAGATTTTCGGGAGGATGAGTAGTCAATGAGGGAGGATTAATGATCAGGATTGATTGATGGTCGAGGTTTCGCGATAATTCGGGGATTATTGTTTTCGTCTCACAATTTTTTGGGATTCAGCACAATATTCAACTTTTGGTGGAAGAAACTTATTCATTGATGAAGGCATTATAAAATAGGGAAGTCTCTTGATCATTTCTCTAAACATCGTTGATTAAGGAAATGAAGGAAGTATTCTCTATTCAATTGGGGTTTGTTCATGGATTCCTGGTATTTTTGCAGCTCTCCTTGAAGTCTCGCACTGTGGATGTTGCTGCGGGTGTTTTTGCGTCATACAACGCTATCCTCCATTCTTGAATGGAGGGTTGAGAGAAAGGAATTGATGGTCTTGCGGACGTATTCATCACGGTGGGAGTAATCGCTGTGGTTTATTATGTCAGGAGTGAAGATTATTATTGAAGGTTGGGAGACATGTTGAGGTCACTGACCTCTGGATATTCCAGTAGGTTTAATGAAATTATGTACTATATATAAGGATAATAAATCATTGATTAAGGATTAACAGTTGAATATGAATTCTCTCCCTCTCCCACTCAATTTCTCTGAATGAGATATTTTTTAATTAAAAAAATGAAGTTTTGCTGTTGCATTTTTCAGTAAAAGAAAACATTATAAGAAGAATAATAGGTTTGAGGAATAATATTAATTCAATAATTTTAGGTTTGGTCGAAAAAATAAAAATTGTCAAATTACTTAGAATAACGTCGATAAATCAGGAGTTCGTCTTCCCCACTGATTACCATACCCCCCCTTTTGTGAATATCTGGAACTATCCCTCCTTCCACCTTTCCCCCGTCTCAGGCAAACATGGCTGCACGATCAATCTCAAAGAAGCGGAAGGTTTGTCAATTTTATAAAAATATCATCCAACAGATTGCAAAAATATTGTACCGAGAAGAATCTGTGGACATTTGTTCTCAATATTTCCGAAAAACCGCGAGTTTATTTTCATGTTCTACTCAGGATGACGTGGATTACTGGCGGCTGTCTAGTGCCTCGCAAACGTGTTCTAAAACACCCTCGAATATAGAAAACTACATAACTCATTGTTAAGTAGTGAATTTTGTGCGGAAACTGCAGTTCCTGGAGTCTACCTTTTTATTCAATTTTTTTAGCAGTCGCCAGTGTTTGAGTCAGTGATTTGTTTGGTTGTCTGACATTCTAGGTTATGTTAATGCAACAAATTTTGCGAACTCCCAATTTCTTTTAATTGTCACATTTGAACGAAATAATTTCATCCATTAGAAAAATTCAATTCTTTACGAATGGATATTAATTATAAATTCTGTTAGTTATACCTTTGGAATTGAGTGACTTTGAGCATAAAATGTCAAAGGATTTTTTGAAGAGAATTTTTGGAGACAATTCACGGAAAAATCTATTCTTTTTTTAAAGAAGTAAAATTACCCATTTCATAAAAAATTTAATGAGTTATTGAAATTTGAAAAAGACAGCATTTATCTCGCCACCAGATTTTTTCTTCTTAAAAAATGTAAATTATTCAGGCCCAGCGAATCAATGAAATGCATTTCAGTTCGTAGGAGACGGAGTCTTCAAGGCCGAGCTCAACGAGTTCCTGACTCGTGAACTCGCCGAGGATGGTTACTCTGGTGTTGAGGTACGTGTCACCCCAACACGTACCGAAATCATTCTCTTGGCCACTCACACACAGAGTGTACTCGGGGAGAAGGGACGCAGAATTCGTGAATTGACGTCTGTCGTTCAGAAGCGTTTCAACTTCAAGGATCAGACTGTTGAGTTGTACGCTGAGAAGGTTGCCACCCGTGGTCTCTGCGCTATTGCACAGGCAGAGTCCCTCAGATACAAATTGATTGGGGGTTTGGCTGTCAGGAGGTAAAAATTGTATTCATTTATGCATTTTTCTCCAATGATAAACCAAAAAAGTCAATTTACCCTAAAAAATCAAACTTGTGAAAATATGAAAAAAACTGGAATTCTTTTTCTCATTTCTTTTATGATTTTTGAGAGTCATTGACCATCATTTGAACAACTCATTATTGAAATTCCAATACCAGAAAAAATGTTTGAAAGAAATTCCGAAAAAAAACCCAAGGGATTAGGAAAAAAATTCTTGACATTTATTTTAATTAGATTTCATGGAAATTTCCAAAAGCATCTGAATAAATAGACACAGTCTCCTTTCTCAGTGATTTTCCTCCTGACTCATCTAATCAATTAGATAACTAGTGATTTGAGAAGAAATGAAGAAAAAGCATTTCAAGATTGTTCTCAAACTCGTTAGACTCATCCATATTCATGAAACCATCTACGTTAATGATGAAAGCTAATTCTTGTCAGCAATATTACCTATTTATTTATTCATCTAATTACCTATGTAACCAGTGATGAAGATAAAAAATGAAGAAAAAGTCTCGAGATGTTCCCTGAACCCAATAATGTCATACATATTTCCCAAGACAGTTTCTTAATTAAATAAAATGATACAATATTTTATTTTATAAGGAATATCTTATCATTTTATTTAATTATATTATATTTTTCATTCAATTTTCACATCCAGCAATAAAAAAAAATGCAAACCCCAATTATTAGAACAAAAACTAATTTTACTTTAAATTTTCCATTTCATTATTTTCTTTTTTTTTATTTTACTTTGTTTAATAAATAATAATCTGTTTATCGATTTACAGGGCATGCTATGGAGTACTCCGATTCATCATGGAATCAGGAGCTAAAGGTTGCGAAGTCGTCGTGAGTGGAAAGCTCCGTGGACAGAGAGCAAAGAGCATGAAATTTGTGGATGGTCTCATGATTCACTCCGGTGAGCCAACAGCTGACTACGTCGACACAGCAACGCGTCACGTACTCCTCAGACAGGGTGTCCTTGGTATCAAGGTCAAGATCATGCTCCCATGGGATCCAAATGGCAAGATTGGACCCAAGAAGCCCCTGCCCGACAACGTCAGCGTTGTTGAGCCTAAGGAGGAAGTCATCCCTCAAGCGCCATCCTCGGAGGTCAAGGCCGCCAAGGACGCTCCACAGGCAGCACCTATTCCTGTCTAATTCTACAGAAATCTTTACAATAAAAAAATGAAAACATAATTCGAAGCCGTTTTTCGTCATTTTTTATGTCCAGTCCTTAATTTTAAGTTTTAAGGATTTTTTATTGCATTACATCTTTTCATTATATGTATGAAAAAACTTGAATGGTTGTTCTGTTATACAAATTATTCCGTCATCATTTTTTTAACGACAAATTCAGAAATTTTGAAAAATAATGGGGAATATATCAAGACAATGAGTCATGTAAAAAGATCCAAATCCACTGAATTTTTTCAAGTTTTTAAAATTTCGTTTCAATGGAAATTAAGAGCCCTCGGGGTTCCAAAAAACTACAGAAATGCAGGAAAAATTTTGCGCCTTGAATTCTCTGGCAAAAGGGGCTGGCAAAACCTGACGGATAACTTCAAAAATTTGTTCTTTCTCCAGGAATTAGATGAGAAGAGTTGAAGGTAATCTGGAGCGGATAAATAATTTTAAGAAATGCTCGAAAATACGAGTTGGTTGATGGGTGTGTGCGCAGCCATCTTGCTTGGATACCCCTTCCCCTGCCGCAAGGAGCTTTAAAGATGGCGGCGCCCCCGCCTCGCATTTTCCGACATTTCTTAAAATTATTCATCCTCTCTAGATCACCCCGGAGTCACTTCATTCGATTTCTATAAAGGGAACAATTTTTTGAGCCATCTTTCAGATTTTTTCATCTCTTGGCTAGCAATTCCTAACACTCGCAATTTTTCCCCCGTCTTTCAACGAATTTATCGACCCCCTTTGCAACAGGATTCAGATTATCTACTGAACTATTCGTTTGATGTGAATTCCTGATCATCGTCTTCCGCCCGGGGCTAAAATCTCCGGTAACTCAGTTTTCCCGCTAAACCAGTAATTAAACGAGCAATTAAGCTCTCCGTATTACCCCGGAGGTTCAGAGAGTCCCTTCTCTCCTAAATACTGTAGGCGTAACTTCGTATAATCACGATGTAATCTGGTGTATGAACCCCACGTACGAGGCTATATCGATTGCCCCCTCCGGGGTGAGGTGAAAACGTCTGCCAATTATTTTCGTCCTCCAGATACCTCCGGGGATAAAAAAAAGCCCTATCAAGGTCATCCTTCTCGGAATTTCAAAGAGTTACGGTTTCTTTCCGAAGAGGAGAGAAATTGAATTTCGGGGAGTCAATTTGGCTTTAATAGTCGACTTTTGTGTCGACGTCAGGAGCTCAATTAAAACGAGATGTGATGCAGGAGAACGGGAGAAACAGTCTGAGCGTCTGGAAAATAAGAAGAAGGCGTTTTGCCGAGCGATGAAGCACACCTGTTTCGCTCAGGTATGCCGGTTTGCCCTCCACTTGTTTTATAGTAGTTTGAAAGATTAAAAAGAGAAAAGGAACGATGAGATGAACATGATTTGAATTCCTGCGGAAATATTATGAGAAGAATAAGAAGAAGAATCGAAGGGGTATATTTAGGGGAAAATATATCGTTCAAAAGGGCAAATTTATTTATTTGATTACCACATGGAATTTTCGGTATAAGATCAGTCGAATAACAAACCCCAGTTTTATAGCCAAGGATTTTTAGAGCTTGGAAAATGAGAAGAAACGAAATGATTAAAAATGTGACATTTTTTTTCAATTTCCCAATTTATCAATAATTTTACAAAAAGTTTCTAATTTTCAATCCCATAATAATTAAAATGATGATTCAAACTCAACTAAAACTTCTAAAAAAAATCTCAAGTTCACGTGAGATCTCCGAAAAATGAATACAATCCTCCAAGACGGAGATGAAGAATTGCGTCTGGGTGTTGGTTTCATCCTCGAAGGATATCGAAGGGCAACACGAGTACAAGGAAAGCCGCCTCGGCCAGACAATAGGACGCCATACGATCTCGGGCACCTCAGGATTCCCTCTCCCCCTCGTCACGCACAACCTGTCCAGACCTTCTCCCCTTATTCCCTTCTTTTCCCTCTTCACTCCTCCTTTTTCTTTTTCCCCCGTTTAAACGAACCGAGCGAGTGTGCGAGCCCGTGTTACAACTTGGCCGGCGTGAAACCATAATTTACGGGTCACGTTTACGTACGTGGGCATACACAGACGGACCCTGGATGTATCCACCGGCAATGGGGGTTTACTTTCCACTTGGCTCTGCCTTTTCAACCTGCCATATAAGCTAAATCATGAGGTACAAATGTGGAAAAACTTTGTCAAGGATTTGCTAATGGCAGGGAACACCTGAGATGTACCAATATTTTAAAATTACTACTAGAACATCGACCCATTGTTTTCTATTAAAGTAGCTCTACCCTTCGCTCGAGCTACGCTGTACTTTTGGATATTTTCAGTTTTTTAATTTTTCAATTAAATTGCATAGAAAAAATTTGGAAAAATTCATACCCAGTCAGTATTATCTAAATTAAATTTCGCAAAATATTGGTATTTTTTCAAACATTTCCCTCTTATAAATAAATAATAAAACTTGCGCAGCGAATTCGCACTTGTTTGCAAAACGGTGGATTATTTTTTATGAGGTGTCAACCAAATTCTTGATTTTTTCACATCTTTTTTTTTTTTTTTATGCTTATTTTATATTGCTTCGAGTCTGATGAGACTATATGGCGATTGATCAAGACTTTAAAAATGGTTAGATCTCACCATTCTACCCGGCCAGGAATCGAACCTGGAACCTATCCGTTGTGAGGCAACGGCGCTGTTTTTTTTTTTTTTTCTCTCACATCTAATGAAAGACACTGGGTTAAATCCTGATTTTTAAACATTTCTTCTTTGAAAAACCAAAACGATAATTAAATTGATAAAAAATTAGAATTTCGAATCTAATCGAGTTTTCTGCAAATTTTTGCAGTTTCCAATAATCTTTGAATTTACCGTAAGGGTAGAGCTACTTTAACAATGCACATGAAAGAAAAATATCCGGCACTTGGATCCAGCCTCCCAGAGACGTAGAAAATTAAATTTCGTGAGTGAATGTAATTTGTAAAGAGTTATAACGATTTAGTTCAACTAGTTATTGATCTTTTGATTCGATTAATCGAACGTTTTTCAACGGGCTAATGATTTTTAAAGAAATCTTGTTATTTTTATGCAGATTGCCCTTTCCAAAAACTCGATACAACTCATTCCCTTATTTTTGAGTGAAGTACCCATGATAAATCATGGGGCCCGATACGCGAGAGGGTCCCAACACAGGTGTGCTCTTTGATTCCCTCCACCGCTCACCCCTCATCCCGTGAGGATAAAACACATCTAACACTCGCAACGGGGTATCCCGAAGATACCCCCGCGCCCCTCCGCCGGGATCGCGTTAAAAGCTACATTCCAATGGCCGCAACCAGTTCTGAATTGCTTTTAAAGATGGAGGAAGGGGACCCACCACCTTCTGGGGCCCTAACAAAAGGGGGGGCATCAAAACACGATGTGAGGTGAATCGCACATGACAATAAACGCGACCAATTCGTTCGCTTCTTTTATTTCGTTTCAAGTAATTTGTTGGTTTGAGGGAGGGGAGAGGGGCTCTGTTTGTGGGAGGGGGAGGAGGTGGAATAGAGATGTAGAAACAGTTATCGCTTCTGTACCCTTCCGAGGTGGTAATCTACGGCCCACCTCCTAATGACTGGGTTCTTTCTGCTGATGTTTGTATTGTAAAAGGTGCGGAGGGTAGGGTACGGATTTAATGGGATTGATCGAGGTGATCGACTGGGACGCGTTTATATTTCCTATTTTATTTCAATTCTGACTGTTGAAAATTTTTTACCGAAATGAGCGACAGTTCCGGTGAAATTTCAAGGAATTTTTTCATTCAAAATTCACGACTTTATGAAATTATTTCGTGAAAATAAATAGAAATTCTTGGAAACTCTCGGGTGTGAGAAAAATTACTCAAATGCGGGGGAAACTTTGCGCTGTGAATTACCGGCCAAAAGTGGATGGAAAAATGTGAAAGATGGATTTAAAAAGTTGATCACTTTGTAGAAAAAGAATGGAGTGAGTTGAGGGTAATCTGAACAGAATAAATAAGTTTAATAAATGTTTAAAAATACGAGGTGGAGCCGCCGCCATCTTTGAAGTCTCTTGTGGTAGAGGGAGTTCATCCCCTTTTGGCTGAGAATTCATGGCGCATTTTTTTCCCGCATTTCAGTATTTTTTTTTTCACTTTCGACGACTCTTACTACAATTTCTTAGAGAAAGCGCTAGGTTTTCTATTATTTTTTTTCAACTTATAAGGACTCATTAAAAAACTTCATTATCATGAAAATTAATTAGTTCTGCTCCTCCAAAGTAATTTATTCATCATGGGATAGAATTCGGGGGCTTGATTATAATACATGAGTCACAGCGAGAAGGAGCGTTGAAGATGTGTTGAATTCCGCTTCAGTAAATCCAAACCAATTAAACGAAATTGAATATGTGTTCAACAATGTAACACACTGTCACACATCCGGGTACTCTCTACAATGTCTCGGGATCAGTCTCCTCTCTGAATGCGTGAATTATAATCAGCGATAATGCGACATATTAGGTAATTCCTGACGATAAAAACTGTCGTATTGCCGTTCCATCTCTGTGTGCATCTACTCCCGATCTCTTCGTTTCTCTCTTCAATGAATCATGGACATACTTAATTACCCCGGCAATTAAACTCGTCTGATACGTCTCGTTTTATCAACTATGTTTATATCGATAGAATTAAAACGAAAAATACAGAAAAATCGGAGAACGAGATTTTATTTTCGTTCTCTACTTCTTTACACATTATGATTTTTTTTATTTTGTATCAATTTTATAATAATTCATTGCCATTACTTGAATTCCAACGAATTGAATAATTTTTGAAAAAATACATGTAAAATTTGTTCATTTTCTAGGAATTGGATGCAAAAATTTGAAGGGGATCTGAAGATACGAATAATTTTAAGAAATGTTTGAAAATACGAGGTGGTCGAAAGCCGTAGTGTCGCCATCTTGCTTGGCTGCCTCCTCCCGGTACCGCAAGGGGCTTTAAACATGGCGGCGGCTCCACCTCGCATCTTTAAACGTCTCCAATAATTATTTATCCTCTTCAGATCACCCTCAATTCACTTCATCCGGTTTTTGATAAATGAACAAATTTGTCAAGCCATTTTTCGGATTTTTCCATCCTTTTTAGGCTCAGAAATCATGATTCCAATTTTCCGCATTTCAGTAGTTTTTTATAGTCCCGGCTTATAAATTATTGAAATCCTTCAATTTATTCCCAGTTCATACTGTTCAACTCAAGAGTCTTGAGAATCTCAAAATGAGGCTCCCGTCACCCCTCAACCCCTATATAATGTCCGAAACCCTGACTAATATGCTCGGGTCGTCGGTCAGTCTCTCCCTTCTGTTGTTTCTCCATCCTCCTTCAACACCTCGAGATCCCCCCGGGAGTTTCCTCGCCATCTCTGTCCCATATTACCCGAAATCTCCCCCTGCAACCACTCCCAGGTGCCCTCCTGTCTCCTCGATCCACCTTTACAGGTCATTTTTACCGCGCCACGACCGCCCCGAAAACGAGACGTCCACAAATCTTTTCATCTTTTCTAAAAGAAATAAAACGAAAGGAACAAAAAAAATACGAAATGAGGAAGGAAAGACTCCTGACCGCAGGCCTTTTTCTCGATAGCGAATTGGCAACAATGTTCTTAAATTGAAACCTGTGGCTTCGTGGAAGGGAGCGCTGGGTCTAAAAAGACATATTTGAATTGATCAGAGAAGTTTTACGAGGCTTTTACCTTTATCTCAGATAAAGTTTTAACTGCGTTTGGGAGTTTTCGCAGACACTTGGGAATATCTCGGGAGATGGGGGTCAACGGGGGATGAAAATCATTGCGGCGCATACCTCGGACAATTTCCGATCCCAAACGCTGGTAATAAACCCCTTTTGCCCCATTCATCCCCATGATATCCCGAAAACGAATTCCCAACTCCCAAAACCTATTTCGCCCAGATCTTCATTATTTGCGGGGCAAAATGGGTTCACGACCAGGGTCTGGGATCGGAAATTGTCGGGGCTAACTATTGGGGTCGATTTTGACCCCATCCCTTTGCTCAGCCCCCAGATATCCTGAAAAGAGTGTTTTTCAATTTTTCGAATTTAAGTTTTTATTGGGTAATTTGTGTTTTTTCCTATTTTTGAATGAAAAAAAATGGTTTAGCCTCTGGCACTGGCCTCCACTCTCGTCTCAAGCTCCTCTGATATCGCACCCGCTTCTCTCCTGCCTCTGCCGTTACACTCGGCACTGAGACAGGCTCCAACGGGCAAGTGGCAAGTGCCAGTTGCTCAGCAGCATTTGCCACGGCTGGACACGCACTGTTGGTCCATTCGGGTCCCCTCAACTTCACAGAAATATCAGTTCCAAAGAGTCTGTCAGGTTGAAAAGAAAAAAAAATACAGTGACTCTCCGCGACGAAAAAACGGGGATTTTTTTTCTTTAATTTATGAAATGATGTGAAGCCATTTATTCGGCTGAGGGCATTCTTCGCCTTCCGGTCACTCTGGGAACCCTCTGGGCCCACGGAAATCTTAACTACCCTCGGGACAGTATCTGGAATCGAGAGGGAAAGGGTGGAAAATGGTGCCAAATGCGGAGAACGGAGTAAAAGTGTCAGACAAGTGAATTTTTCGAGGTCTCCTCGGGGTTTTAGTGATTTATTTATTCTGAAAAGAGGATTGAAGGATGTGGGGAGGGTCCAGGATGCTCTTTGGTGTCATTATCCTCGCGGTTGCTCTCAGGGGGAGTCACGTGGAGGGAAACACTACGGTCGCTATTGCTAAGGTGAGTTTTCTTTTGATTTCATTAAAATTGTTTCGGGAGACCGATCGGTAGGGGAATGTCGAAAGAGCTTTTCGTAGGACGTTTCGTCCTGCCGACAATCCTTCGTGTGCATTTATTTTGAAAGATTTTGATGAGGAAAAGATTAAAAAGAAATTCTTCGCACAAAATTTCATCGAAAGGCTCTCCGGACCATTTTTTTTGGGGAACTATTATTTTTTTTGGAATAGCATAATTAACAAATTATTTTGATGAATTCTCTACTTGCCACATACGAATAAAAAAATTAATCGAAAATGTCCAATAGAAACTATTTTACGCAGAGAAACAGGAGAATTTAATTTTTCTACGTCGGTTTCTACTGAGACATTTTTTATAGAAATTCATCGACATAAATTTTTCACGTTTTTTCACTTCACTTTTCTCTCTTGTCATTGTAAATTTCAAACAAAAAGTTGGACAATTTCGCCGAGGAATTTCTATAGAAAATATCTCAATAAAATAAATTGTACAGAACGGCCAAATTCAAAACTCTAAGTCAACATCATCAAGCTCAACTGATTTCCTCTGTAAAATATTTTTTATTGAACATTTTCCATTTAAAAAACGCGCAGAAAAACCGCGGAATTCCCAGTAGAATCGGCGAAAAACTAATAGAATTCTCAACACAAGTTCAACAGAAATCCAATCGAATTTTGTAGAGAATTCGTCAAGTTCTATAAATTTCTTGCGCGCCCGCAATCCTCAGTAATGACTCCTGATCGAAAAAAAAACTCAAAAGAAAAACACCGAAATCGTTGAAAATTTTGTCTGCTGCAAAAGTGAAACTCAAATACTTCGAGTTATCCCATCACTTGACCACTAAATTCGTCAATTAGGGATAGAAAATTAATACTGAATCCTGCCGTGCGTAATTACATTACCTTGTGGGAATTTACCACCCATAATAAATCAATGGGCGTGTGATTACGGGTTTTAAATAACAGGAGACTATGTTCCCAACTGCAGAGCGTTTGTCTCTCTAAATCAGAGAAACGAGATAAACCTCACGCGTGCCGCAATTAGAGTAGCGTTTTATTTGGAGCGCTTTTTTTTCATTTTTATGAGCGAGTTGGACTGGGGAAATTAGTCGTCACACGCGAGACAACAGATTTATTAGTCAATGGAGTGACATAAACATGCATTGTACTGCAGAAATTAGTGGGGGGAGGGGTTTGAGGTAGTGATGGCCCCATTCTTGTCTCAATTGGCTGGGGTGCGTGGAAAAATGGATGGAGATTCAGCGGGACTGATCGGTTAAATGCCGAGGGATAAGTTTCGATCACTGAAACTATTCCAAGTTGAGAGACATTCAGGAGCGAAGTGGTAAAACTGTTCAAGTCGATTTTGGCGATTGGCCATTTTTCAGTGAATATCTCGGGATCTAAGGGAGATGGCTAAATTTTTGTCAAAACCTTTTTTGTAGCACTCCATTTGCTCTAGAAAAAAAGTTATTATAAAAATTTCGTTATCTCCTTTAGATTCGGAGATATTCCTCAAAAACTCAACTGGGAGATGAGTCGACTTAAAGCGTTTTACCACTTCACTACTGAATTAACTGCGCACGGTTCGGGATTTTCTTTCATTAGGATATCCTGGGAGAGAGCAAGAAGAGAGTTTTTAATTAATTCATCAGTTCTTAGAGGGATTCATCAATTTATTGACTCTTTTTAATTAATTGAAGAGAATGCGTGAATTTGACGAACATGAACGGAAAAATTGAATAGAAAACGGATTTTTTATAATGCATTTGTTTTTTATTTGGATTTTGTAATGAAAAACTAAAAAAACCGTGGAAATCACTTAGAATTTATGTTTGAGATTTTTCAAAAGGAAAAATGTCTGGGGAGAAATTAATCTAAAGTGTTTTGATTGAAAAACAAATAGGATTCATTAATTTATTGACTCTTTTTAATTAATTAAAGAGAATGCGTGAATTTGACGAACACGAATGGAAAAATTGAATAGAAAAAGGATTTTTTATAATGCATTTGTTTTTTATTTGGATTTTGTAATGAAAAACTAAAAAAACCGTGGAAATCACTTAGAATTTATGTTTGAGATTTTTCAAAAGGAAAAATGTCTGGGGAGAAATTAATCTAAGTGTTTTGATTGAAAAACAAATAGGATTTTTTCTAGGACTTCAGTGCATTATTTCCGAAAATTATGAAATTCCCCCGAGGGATGGAAAAAACTATTAAAATAATTCCCGTAGAGTGAATTCACTCAATTACTCATCCTGATTCACTAAAAAACGTGTGAATCAACATGAGAGCCCCGAAATGCGGAAATGAGAGAGCCCGGAGGGAATATAAAATGAAAATTAAAATTAAAAAATAAACCGAAAAATTGGAGGAACAAAAACGGTGTCAATAGAGTGCTACTATCTCTGGAGGAAGGGCTCCCTGCATATTCATCGTGCCTGGAGAGGAAGGCGGTGGTACGTGTTTTGAAATAAAAATGAACAAGGAGGAATTATAGATTACCACACTGCAGTGAGGGAGGAACTGGCTTGGCACATGAAGCCATTTAAATATTTGAGAACGCTGGTACGTTACTTGCTTCTCACTCACCTGCAACTAAACCCATCGGCAAACAAACGAGATAAAAGTGGGATTAGGAGATGAATTTTCATGAATCAAGGAGAATTGCTCCCATTCATTTGGAATAGTTGCGAGTGGAGAATAATCGAAGCAATGATTTTGTTTCAAGTTACGTTGATTGCGTGATTAATTTAAATGAATCCGCATTGTGATGCTTAACAAATTTTGAAACACTGTTTGCAAAGTTATCAGATTGTTTGACATCGCGTGTAGAGGTCGAACCGCATTTTTCAACAGACGAAAAGTGTTTTTTATTAATTTCGTTTAATTTTGATGCAAATGATTTTGGTTCTAATTAAACTGATTGTGTGATTCATTGAAGCAAATCCGCGTTGTGATGTTTTTTAAAACATTGTTTGCAAAATTGTCAGGTTGTTTAACGTCACGTGAAATTTTTCAAAAATTCATTTTTTTAAATTTGGGAGTTTACGGTCGTCACCTCAAGTTTTTATCACTAAAGCACAAAATTTTCCGATGAATTATGTCATATTTGAATCCATTATCAGTCAGCAGATAATATTGGGCTTCAGGAGAATAATTGAGTTTTCTGTAAAATCGTTGGGCGATTCACGAATAAAAAAATTTCATAGAAAAACCTAGCGACATGACGACTTCCATGACAAAAGTAAAATTGAATTCCTTCACTTTTTTTTCTTCTTTTATTAAAAAAATTAAACAAAAAACTTGAAAAATTTGAAGAATTTCTGTAGAAAATATCTCAATGGGATGAGTTCCATAGGAAAATGGAATTCTATTGATTTTTTCTAAAAAATATTATCCACTACTGATCCTCAGGGACAGAACACGGTGTTCGCCCAAAATTAGTGCGTGAATTAAATATTTAAGGTCAAGGTGAATGTTTCTGATAAGATAATAGTTACGGGAAATTTCAATGACGACGACAGGAACATTGTGTGCAGAAAAACCCATTCGAACGAGGAAAACCTTTCTTATCATCTCAATTCGATTAAAAAATGAGTGAAATAATTTTTTTTAGAAAAGCTAGAATTCCCCTCCACAGACTGAAATCGAATGAATTTCCGTGCAGTCTATTCAACAGGAAAATCCGTGGTGAATTCGGTAAAACAAACACTCCACTCGAGAATAAAATATTTTTTCTTTATCATCACACCGTGAAGGCCGGATTACAAGTGTCAATCCAAAAAACAAATAAAGAACGAATAATCCTAGGAAATTATGAAATAAGTAGATGTTTCCACCTACAGCTCGTTGATTATATCAATATCAAAATACCAACCCTCGTAATACCTTCCAGATATCATCAAATGATCGCAATCGTTCCTCAACTCAGATATCCCCCTCCCCCTCATAATAATCATCGTTTACACATGTCCACACAATTCACTAGAAAATTTGATTGAATGGCTGTTGACATTTCTATTATTTTTCTATTGAAAAATTCTGCTGCGTGTCCGCCCTATTTAATTCATTAGCAGCAACAACTATACTCATTTATAAAAAACAGCAATTTTCCGCTTGTTTGTTTTATGTTTTCAATGAAGGGAGAAGAAAAATAGAATGGAAAAACCTTAGAAAATTCATATAAAGAAATTCTTATAGAGAAGAACTTAATCATTATTAAATAATTATTATTTATTAAATTATATTGAACATTTTCTATTTTGAAAAATTCATAAAAAACGCGCAGTAAAGCTGTGGAATTCTGCAATAGAATCAGCCAAAAACTAATCGAATTCTTAATAAAAATAGAAATCCCATTTTTTATCAAAGTATTTCTGTAAACATTTTTCGCGTGTGCAACTAAAATTACTGGCCGACTGCTTATGACTCGACTAGACGGCCATTTACGCGGATCGTAAATATCCGCCTCTCGTATTACAAACCCCCTCCCCTCATTAGTTGGAAGGTGATTATTATGACAAGTACATTCGAGTGCATAGATGCGCAATTGGTGTATTAAAATCTCCAGGAACCGTGCAGTGTACGTGCACGATGTACCAAGGAAGTGACACAAAGTGCCCACTATCCGTGTTATAATTATCGATCCGACAGATCGATCATCGCTCGGGCGCCACTTCGACTTGATTAAAAGTGAAGAGAACGAAAAAAAAAGAATAAAAAATGATTGGCGACTCGATGACCTTGTCTGGGTAATTTTAATAATTTTTTTCATTTTTCCAATTCCTTACAATTCATCATTTCATTTTTCTCATTAACTTTTATTTTTTTTTTAATTTTTATTTTCAGTTTTAATTAATGCTCTCAAACAAATCATTTTTTTTTTCTACATTTTTTCTGTGGAACTGTAGTAAATAATTGACGAAATGAAAACGAAAAAAAAGGATTTGAAAAAATTTAGTGAATGTTGTTGTTATTTTTGCAGTTGAATTGGATTTTTAAAAAATTTGATACTTGAAAAAGAGAATTAATTTTTGGAATAATTTCTCCGTTCAATTCTCAATCCCGTAATGATGAGCCACCGAAGGTTTTTAATAAAAAAAAATTCCAACATATTTTTCACACAATCTCAAGTGACTCATAAACTATTTCCCCTGGAGCAAAAATCCTAAGAAATTCCCGGAAATCCATCTCGCCAGCTCAACCGATTTTACTTCCACGATCAACAAACATCTAAATAACGGCATGATTAATCACATGAACCTCGACCTTCCCCACAATATTATCGAATAAATTGTTATTCTGTTTATTGTCCGCGTGGAGATTGTAAAAGTGGAGCAGCCGAAGGAAGAAATGGGAGAGTGGTTTCACATGCGATAACGGGGTATCGATAGTCGAAAAAAAGTCGTGCGGAATTTACTTTACATTGTCAGACGGGTGTACAACAGTGGCGGAATGATCGATTGGTCGTGATCAATTCAGGCGCCAAGAGAGAGAGAAAAATGGTGGAGTGAAATCGTGGTTAAATAATGAAATTCTGACGAGCCAGTTCAATTACTGCTGAGATGCACTACTGGTTAGTGGCCCATTTTTCCCCACTGTGCGGAGAAACAAATTTCGGTTGAATTCACCCCTCCGCGACCTCTCAAATTTAGCAATATTATTTTTTTTTAAGGGTAATTTTCACCAAATCTCTAGTAGAAATGAAACAAGTCTAGTAAAATTGCAATTTTTTGTGGAATTTAAATCATTAAATTCATTTTATTTAATAATAAAATTTATCCACAAAAAATTTAGAGAAATTAATTCATTAAATTGAACTGTTCTGTTGAAATTGTCTGACACAATTGAAATTTCTGGCAAAGGTATACAATTATTAGAATTTTGGGATAATTTTTCTGGAAATTTTCCATACAACTGATTCTATTTCGATATTTCCTATAGGAATTCCTCGGCTCAAATTTTCCACATACTGTCAATGAAAAAAAAAAAAAATTGAGGGTAAAAAACTCATAAAATTCATGTCAAGGAATTCCTGCAGGATATTCTCTACAAAAAAAAATTCTTCATGAAAAAAATGCACAGCCGCAGAATTCTCAATAGAAATCCAATAGAATTTCCTACAGAAATCGCAAGAATTTCCATCGAAATTTTTCCGTGCGTGTTGCGTAAATTTCTCTGGAAATACCGAAAAATGTTTTAAAAAATGGCATAATATTTGGAAGTGGGAAATTCCCTTGCCATCAGGAATCGTTTTCCCTCCCGAATGAAAAATAGGGAAATTGAGTTACACCATATGGACGCTTGTGTACATTTTGATACCCTCCCCCCCGTGAAAATGAACGGTATAGATTAGTTATCAACATACCTGGGGTTCAAATACACACAAACATATCGGACTTGCCGATACCCTGAGATCTATAATTACGTGACGAAACCCGTGCGCAACAGGGGGAACCTGTTGGACCACAGACAGTTTCTTTACCTCAGTGGGTATGTCTGGATTGTGTCTGTACACAGATACATTGAGAATTTATCATTTTCTTTGCAGTGTTGATCAAAGAAGAATTATCTTCTCTTCCGAGTTTTCCATGTTTCGATGTTTCGCGATGTTTCCGAGTTTTCCATGTTTCGCTCCGTTTATTAATTAAAAGACGAGAGATTTCTTCGATTCAAAAACCTACTAGACCGACGATTTTTCATTTTTTCGGAGAATTAAAAAATTAAAAATGCAAAACATTTACAGAAATGCACAACAATTTATAAAAATGAATAAATAAAAATGAATAAATTTACAGAAATTGTTTGATATTCGAGTCATAGCTAAATTTCAATGCTCAATCCGCGCATTTACAGCAACGGGGCAAAATGGGTTGTTAATATTGCCGATTTTTCCCACGAAGATTTCCCTGTAAAATTTAATATCAAATAAATGAATTATTTTTTTTACTGAAAATTTATTTTCGTCGTTTCTTCGACTATCCGTGCGGTTTTCCGATACGTCAAACGTTCTGCTGTCACTCGTTCCCCAGACGTATTCATTCCCAAGGACACAAGTTGCCAATTGGCACGGTGCATTAGGCCACGAGAAATCGATTTCACGATCGAGCAAACACACCGAGTTGTGCATATTCCGGGATTTTTTTAAAATGTTAAAACGAGAAATTTCAGAAGCGATACGATGGAATATGTCGGAGTCCAACAGGTGTGAAAAATGAGTCTCGATATGCACGCTATCGAGGAATATGTAGAATTGATAACTCAATCGACGGTGACATGTGTCTTCAATCGTCCGTGAAACTACGGCCATTTCCCCGGCTACTTCATGGCCTCGTAAACGTCACACTGGATTACCAGTGGGTTTTAACAAGTGACTTCTGTATTCACGTGAAGCCTTTCATTACTCTTCAGCCACTTCAGATTTCTACAACGATGCGGGGTGAAGAGATAACGATACTCCGGTAGTTTCCCTCTTCTCTGAAAATCCTTTCGAATTTTACTTTCATTTTAAGAGCCTTTGGGAGTAAAAGAGAGTCGGTGAAATGCGAGGAAACCTCTGCGCCGTGAATTCTCAGCCAAAAGGGGATGGAAAAATCTGGAGAATGGCTTAAAAAAATTGTTCATTTTGCAGAAATCAGATGCAGCGAGGGGAGGACGATTTGGAGAGGATAAATAATTTAAAAAAATGTTTGAAAATGCGAGGTGGGGACACCGCCATGATGAAGATGGCGGCGCCTGCGCGCATCAACCACCTCGTATTTTTGAACATTTTTTTAAATTGTACAGTCTCTTCAGATCATCTTCAACTCGTTGGAGCCATTTCCTAGGGAATGAGCAAATTTTTAAAGTTATCGTTCGGATGTTTTCATTCCTTCGGGCCGAGCATTCGCGGCGCAAAGTTTTTCCCGCCATTTCGGAAGTTTTTTCACTCCTGAGGACTTTTAATTGATTAAAAATTGGCGGTTTGCATTTTTTGTTTCATTTTTTCAACGAAAAGTGAAGAAGAATAGAATGGCTACCCCTTGGAATTAAAGAATGAAAGTTTCTTATTAAAAAAAAGACGCAGTGAAGTTCGATGGAAATTCAATAGAATTTCCTATCGAATTCACTGGGTTTTTCATTAAATTTCATCATTTCATGACAAACCGTCATTTTTCCAAATAAAAAAATGCATTAGCAAATGCAAATGCATTAGCCCAATGAAATTGTCTCGCTCGAATTTCACCGAAAAAAACAATAACAATTGCTCGTCTCGTACAATGCAGCATTGACCCTTGTCCGGCCCGTAATTCACCGCCGAGAATAGAAGCAGATCCATTCATCACTGACTCGAAAAAATGTGGTTTACATTTGCAACGATTGAATTTTTATTTTCGGTGATTTGTTGTTTCAGGAGGAATGTCGGAAGAGAATAGCTGAATGCTTCATGTCAGACGGTGCTAGCACTCCGGTATGTGGCAGTGATGGGGTGACCTATTCGTCTCAGTGCCAAGTGGTCTCCAGACAGTGTCAGGGGGAGTCAATTCTCATTAAACACACTGGTCCATGTCCAGGTAATCTAATTCAATGGGGATTAGTCTGATTGCATTTAGATTTGTCCATGAATGTTGGATGAGAGGGAGATGGGCGCAATGTTCGCATTGATCCCGTCAAATGGACACGTTCAAGTCCAGTCGATTCCATTAATTTGTAACATATTTATGTATTTATTTATTTTTTGGTCGTATTGTAAGCAAACCTCGTTTTTTCAATCGATTTTTTAGACAATTCTAAACAATTCTGGACTTGGAGATATATTCTGTAGGAATTTCTCAACATAAATAAGAATAATTACGAAAAAATTACATTAAAAAATGGAGCGAATAGAATTTAACAGGAACTTCTATTGGATTTCGATTGAACTTCCTATTAATTTTCAAAATATTCTATAGACAAAATTTATATAGGGGAGGGTGGGGTAAAATGGACACTAGACTTTTTTAAAATTATTTATAACTCGGAAACAAATTTATCAATTGAGCTCATTTTAGGCTCGTCACAAAGGAAAATAATTGTTCTTTGTATTGAAAAAAAAAATTATTAAATTTTATCAACGTTTCAACCCCTATTTTCTATAGAAATTCTTTGCCTCATTTTTCTTGGGTTTTTTAAATATCCAAGTTCTACAGAAATTTAAAAAATAAAAAAAAATGCTGAAAAATCTTCAGAAAAAATTTTCCTTTTCGCAAAATTGAATGGATGAAAAAAAAAAATGCAGAGACCCCTCCGTGCTTCTCGGCCCGAGTGACGGCTCGTCCTGGTTCTCGTCCTGTCTGCCGTCCAGACGGCACTTGGGCGCCAGTTCAGTGTCACACGGAAACTGGGTACTGCTGGTGCGTGACACCTCAGGGTCGTCCGCTTCCGGACACCTCGGTGAAGAACGAAAAGCCCAGGTGCATGAAGGCAGCGGCTTCCTCACCCTCGGGGACAGCCTCCACGCGCAGTGGCCAACGGAGACGCTCCCCGAACTGGAAGCAACGTCGCCAGTACACCAGCCGACACAGGAACACTTGTGATAGAGCGGAAAAGTCGACTTTCAATACTAATCTCATTGGAAATTTCAAGATTGAGTATAGGAGGACGAATATCTCCGCTGATGGTGAGTGAAATATTTCAGTCAATCACACAAATAACTATTTTTTTTATTTTTTATGCTCATCTTTTCTTTTTTAAATATTTTTTAAAATTTTTTGTTTCATTATCTTGAAAAAATTCTGGTGAGGAAATGCAGCATCGAAAATTTCTGTTAACAATTTCTTCCGCAAACATGGGACTTCAAAAATGGCGACGCCTCCACCTCGCATTTTTAAACATTTTTTAAAATTATTTATACTCTTCAGATCACCCTCAACTCGCATCAGCTATTTTCTACAAAATGAACAAATTTTTTAAGCCGTCTTTCAGATTTTTTCATCCACTTTTGGCTGAGAATTTATAACGCAAAGTTTTCTCAGTATTTTAGTCATTTTTTTAAATTCCCGAGGCCTCAAAAATCGACAAATTTTGATGAAGTAAAAAAAATTATTCCTTCATCCTTATAATTTAATCTATATAACGTGAAAAAATATCCAATTTTATTTTTTGAATGAAGAAATAAAAACGAATAAAAAAGAATAAAAAAAAATAAATAAAGGAGCACAAAAAAATCAATCGTTATCAACCGGCATCTCGAATTACCTAGACCCGATTACCAATCGATTAAATAAACAACGTTATGATTTACTCAACGACCAAAAAATCCTTGAAAATTTTAAATAAACCTCAGCGTGAGATTTATTAATAGCACCTGAATGAATTTAAAAGAACACTCATGGGCACAATATCACGAAGGAAAGGATAATGAAAGGTGGTAATGCCGGAGTGATAATAAAAAGAGAATGACTGAAAATAATAATACGAAAGAGGTATACGTACTTGGGTAATTGCGGGTTGTCGTGGACGTAATGAAAGTGATAATTGCCAGGCCAAGTTGCATCTGATTATACTGGTATGCGGAGTTATTCAAGTAACACACACTTGGGGGCTTTTTAGCTTTTTCGTTTGGATACACTTGTGGTTTAATTTATGTACCACCAGAGACACTTGCCAGTTGCATTCCATGGGTTTATGGACCTATAGAGATTGGTATTTAAGTGAGAAACTGCGGTTTCGCGATGGAGCATTTAGTTTCCCAATGTTATTCAATTTTTTGGCGATGGGAATGAGACGTTAATTGTCATTCAAGAGATATTTTTATATATTTTTTTTTATTTATAGATATTATTAGGCATTACTGAGATAATGGGACAATTAATAATAGCTTTATGAAACAAAATTTAATCGATGAATAATTGATTCATTTAATCGTTGATTCGACGAATTGTTTAGTTTTTGAAATTTTTTCCCACATTTTTAGTTGAACATGAGAACTTCCATTCAAGTTCTATCTGATCTCATGTTTCTATTCTTCAAAATTTCATGTTTCTCCTCGTCAACTCAAGCTCCGAGTTCTCGAAGAATATTTTTTTAAAGATTACGACTTCTTGCATAAAACAATTTATGAGCAATCAATCCACATTTTTATAAAAGAAAAAAAAATAATGTTCTCGAAAGTTTGAACTATTTTTATTATTTTTTATTATTCATTTATTGAAAGAATGAATTACGATCAATCGTGACGTTAATAACTAATAATAAGTAGTAATCGTTATTATTGTCGAATTAACAGGTGATAAAAACGTGGAGCGCGTTTTATCCTGGAAATTCCTGACCCTCGATAAAGACGGCGACGGTTATCTCGACAGAAACGAGTACAAAGAGCTCCGTAGACTCGCTAGAAAAGCGGTGAGACCGAAGAAGTGCGCGCGAACGTTCGCAAGGACTTGCGATCTCAATCAGGATCTCAAACTCTCCAGGCAAGAGTGGGGCGCTTGTCTGGCCAACGACTTCAAACGTAAGTTCATCATTTAAATAGATCTCCACGCACGAATAAAATTTTATAGAAACACCTAGTGATATCGCTAGACAATTGGATTGACTATTGAATTTCTATTAAAATTTCTATTACTTTTTTGCCAATTTTATTGAAATGTTCAATAAAAAATATTCTATAGAATAATTTATATGGAAAAATCAAATTCTATTGAGTTTCTATAGAATTTTTTCTATAACATATTTTGTCCAGTTGAATTGTCTAGCGAATTCGCTAGCGTTTTCAATTCATTTTGTTCATACGTATAGTACCCTTGTAATCACTAACACGTGGTGAATGTGACTTGGGTTTTTTTTGTGATTAAAACTTCTCTTAACAAATCGTATCTCCATTAAACCAAAATTTCAATCCCTCGAAATCACCGGATTCCACTCGTATCTCAACGAAAATAATTGATTTAATTCGTTCAATCTCCCGTTTATGGCTGCGCTGAAGAATTCAAAATGATTGAGACATTCTACCCGATTAACTACATGAGTCAGGAAAGTAGCTTGCACAGTCGTAAAAGGCAGGATGTTGTTTAGAGAAACTTGAGTTGATGTCCTGCCCCCGGAAGTTTATTGCCCACACGCGTTTTAAACATGTGTAACGAAGAAATTGAAGTCAATTGAATGTGAAGTGAGAGGACAGACGAAAATTGTGTGAGGGCTCCACACACGAGGAATTGTTCAATATTAATAATGCATTCGTAAATCTTCGTCTGCCCACGTACGTCCAGTGCTCTCGTAGAACTCTCCAATTTTGAGTATAAGAATGGGTTCAGTTTCATTAGAAAGTTGGGGGAATTTATCCATTTTTGAGAGGACTATTTGTTGGAGATTACCCTGAATTTTTTCATTTCAAATTATCAATTTTTTTCATGCGTTTTTCTTCTTGAAAAAAGTCTTGAAAAATTTGTTCTTTTTTTAGGAATTGGATGAAACGAGTTGAAGGTGATCTGAAGGGGATAAATAATTTTAAGAAATGTTCAAAAATACGAGGTGGTGGACAGGTGTGGGCCCGCCATCTTGTTTGGATACCCCTCCCTCTGTTGAAGGGGTTTTTAAGATGGCGGCGCCTCCACCTCGTGTTTTTAAACATCTCTTAAAATTATTTATTCCGTTCAAATTGCCCTCAACTTCCTTCATCCGTTTTCTATAGAATGAGAAAATTTTTTAAGCCATCTTTCAGATTTTTCAATCGCTCGTAGCCTGAGAATTCATGGCTCAAAATTTTTCCCGCATTTCCCGCATTGATGAAATTCAGGGGTAATTCAGCAGATTTCTCTTTTCGTGAATTGAAAAATGAACGTATGAATGGATGAATGAATGTCCTGACCGATTGGAGTTGAGCAGTCGGCCATTGTTGACGTACACAAGCCTTGTTATCATTTAGTACGTTTGTTCTTGTCGCTGAATGGTGCAGACGGACGACACGAGATACTTGAGGCCCAGAAGACGAGGGCCACCGATCAAGGTGAGTTCACTTCCGCCTCCCCTCCCTCCCAAGGTCGACATTGAGTGCATGTTTTGAATGAACTAGATCGGTTGACTATTTTGTCAGCCACCCTCGAGAATTGCAAGACGATGAAGAAACGAAATGGGAAGAAATTACTCTCATTACCTTTCGTCGCAGTATCAATTGTCATTATTGTTTGCGTTGACTATTTTTTCGCTTTTTTAGTAGTTTGGCATTAACTCGCATGGCAGTTTCATCTGGTGACGACAGTTTTCAAAATTTAATTTTTTGTTTCTCTTATTTTTCGGTAGTTGATTGTTATTAACAATTGATTATATGATTCCTGTAGTGAAGTGGTATTTTTCATGCAACAAAATGGATTGAATAAACTCATTGCTTTATGCGCAAATAATGAAGGATATCTCCTTTCTAGTAAATTCCCTGTGAAGATGTGCGTTTATATTTTTTATCGAAATTCAAATTCAAATCATCAAATTTGAAAAATAGAGGAAAAAGATCTGTTCTGTTTTATTGCGTTTTACCACTTCACGACTAATGTTGATTTTGAGATGTTGAAGTCAATAATTTTGATTGTGATGCAGTTTTGAAGGGGAATCCCCCACCGGTTCACGTAAGGCCGACTTTCAATGATGATCCACCGGATACGAAGGAAGAAAGCGATGGTAAATCACCTATTTCTACTTTAAATAAATAAAATAAATCATGCAATTCATTCTTCAAAAAATAGTCAATAGATTTTTTTTTGGAAATGCTTGAAATCCAAGACAAAAAGCTTAGAAAATTCATGCCCAATAATTTTTATGAAAAAATTCCCAGCAGAATTTTTTTTTTGAGAATTGGCGCAAAAAAACAAATAGAATTTTTCAATACAATTCTATTCATTTTTCTATTATTTTTTCTATTCAATTTTTTTTGCGTGTAATAAATGAATGAATAAAATACAAATGAGTAGAAACAGAAAACAAATACTAAAGAATACATTAAAGTAAATGCATTTGAATCAACGAAATTACAAAATTATTGGGGTAAAATGGGTTGTCAATTAGACCTCTTCACAGTATTTGACGTTAACATTTCGTTGAAGTAACATCGGATATTCGTATTTACTAGCAAACGACTGCATTTCGGATCGAAAATCTGTGCTGGAGGATCAAAGGCAGAACTCCCAGGAGAAATTTTACATCCCCCAGTGCACACCGGACGGAAGATACCACAAGGTTCAGTGCTACTCCGGTTATTGCTGGTGTGTTTATCAGGACACTGGTAAACCGATACCGGGAACATCCTCCAAGGATCACACGCCCAACTGCAATCCCGTTCCACCACCGAGCAGACCGATGAAAGGTAGTCAAATACGAAGTCGCTTCGTCAATTCTCATTTAGTTATTGAGTATTGATGAGTGGAGAGAGTAATCGAAAAAACCGAATTTTTTATATTTTCGACACGAAGAGTTTTAGAATTTTTTCGTAATTGAGGAGATTTTATGCTAAAGTCTTTTGAATTTTCTTTTGAAAACATTCATTATTGAGGTACTTTAATAATTGGGACTGGGCATTACCTTTTTTATTGCTGCAGACGAAAATGGAAGAAAGACTAGAATTTTTTTAATTTCGGTAAACAATTGAAAATTGATAAGTTGTAGACGTAAATTAAATGCGATTTATTAGTTTTTCTAGCATTTTTTTATTAAAATCATGAATTTCATAATTTTGTTCAACAAAAAAATTTAGTGAAAAATCAATACAACTTTTCTTAACTGAAGTAATTACCAGAGAAAACACCCAAAATACCCAACATCCTCACTATTGAGATATTCTAATAATTGGGATTTTGCATGAAGTTTTTTTTATTGCTGAATATGAAGATGAAATGAGAATTATTATAAACGTTTTTATTAATTCGACAAGCAATTCAAGAATTAATTAATTACGGGCGTGAATGGACTGTGTTTTTTAGTGTTTCATAATTATTTTTCAATAGAAAAATTTACAGAACAACTCAAAAGGAAGAGAATTAAAAATCGTGATTATCTCGTAGGATGCCCGGAATCTAAAAAGCAACTCTTCCTCCGTGATCTCATGGACTTGATGGACAAGAGAATGCAGGACTCCAGCACAGACTCAGCGGAGGCAACCGACAAATGGCGAGCCTCCAAGGAGGAGCGAGTGGCGACCTGGCATTTTGTCATGCTCGATAAAAATAAGAACAAAGTCTTAGAGAAAAAGGAGTGGAAGAGTTTTCGCACAATGGTAGCTAACAGCAGGCAGCTGAGGAGATGCGGCAAGAAGCTACCGAGGTACTGCGACATCAACAACGACAGGAGGATCAGTATGACTGAGTGGCTCAGTTGTCTGAATGCACAGAAACCCTCTCAAGGTAACAAAAATCGAGATGAGGACTTGTGGAAACAAATTAATGGAAAAATCTGGTGCTTACTTGAGGGATTCTATTGAAATTTTTCGAAAAATTCTATTTGTTAAAAAATTAGGCAATTTGCCATGCGTTTTCCCAAAAAATCCAATCGCTATTAATTAATTTATACAATTTATTTTCCATGAGAATTCTTGGGCAAGAATTTTCCAAAAAATTTTCTTGAGTTTCTTAATGAGAAAAAGAAAAATACAGCAAAAAATGGAAAAATGAAGCATGAAGCTCAAGAATTTCTGTAGAACAATTGAGAGCAGAATTCAGCAGAGTAGAATGGCTTAAAATAACAGAGAACAATCGTAATGATTTTTCAATTTTCCAGGTGACAGCGTGGAGAATACATCGACCCAAAAACCCCGAAGAACAGGTCCGAACCCCCTGGATCAATTTCTGAACGACGACGACTGATTCACCGAAGATAAACCCCACTTCAAGACTTGATTTGTATCGATCAAAATTTATTTCTCCCCTTAAAACTCATCATTTTTTACACAGTGATAGAAACTAGATATATTCGATAAATTTACGTAACGACACTTATAAGTATTACGCACGTAATTATGTATTTATGTTGAATATGTATATGTATTTTTGCATGAAAAATATGGTGCTTGAGCACTGTCAATCGATTTTTTTACGTGCTAGGATTATTTGTCTGTACTAAACTGAAAAACTGTCTTTATAGGCTCAATGCGATAAATGGTGGAGGCTATTTCTTGAATATCTCGAAAACTATTGGATTTCGGAGGAAATGTCACTCAAACTTTTTCGTAGCTTATGAAATTCTCTGCAAAAAATTTCCTCTGACATTTCTTCCTAAACCCAATGGTCTTCGAGATATCAGCAAAATAATGTCCACAACTTCTCTCTGAGTGATTCTCCATTCTCCCAATTCCAATTATAGAATTCCTCACTTCATCAATTCTCGATAATAAACCGAAAGAAAATTATCTAGAGCAGTAACAAAGTGTAGATGTGTCTATAAAACTGTAATTATCAATTAAGAATTAATAATTGAAATTGAAAACAATGTTCAGTGTTTATCAGGAGTGCAATAAATTTCATTAATGCTATGAATCTGTCGACAAATGATTTTTCAATCGTCAACAATGTCAATGATGATTACATCAGTGGCTGTTTCACACAGTTACTCATCGGTAGAAAAAAACTATCTATTCGTAGAAAAAAAGGGTATCACACATTCGACAAATTAAATACAAGTACAGGATCGCACATTGAACATGAATCATTTCATTCGTAGGTGAATGAGTCAACTAGCAGTCCTTCACGTCTACTTCGTGCGTCCGTAATTAATTATCTAATCAATCAATTCATCATTAATTGATATTTCATTAATTTCCTAACTGCTTTTTTAAAAGTTTTATCACATTTCTCTGCTTGTTGCGTGGTTAATCGAAGAGACTAATAATTATTTTTAAGACAAACATTTGCGGAAAATACAATTACTTATCAGTATTGAAAAATTATTTTTTCTTGTCGCAATACAAAAATATAATTACGAGGCTTAATGAATTAATTATCTTCGAATTAACCACGTTATTGAGATTTGAACATGAAAATTGTGGGTGAGTGGGGAAAGAGGTGGAGAATTCTGGGGATTATTTAATGAATACCTCGCAAATATCGAGGGATTATTTTTGTGGCCAGCAAAATCTCCCTCTGAAAAGATTTTTTGACATTTTCTTTGCAAGCCAACTAATACAACTCCAATAGAATTTCCTGAATTCTATTGACAATTTTCCCCCAATTTTTTCCTCCTTTTCCAAATCTCGAAAAAAAAAGTCCAAAACTATTTTTGACAAGAAAATCCCATCATTTTTTCTCCCTCAGAGGTATACTCCACTCATCCCCAGTCCCAAAACCCCACAAAAATACTCTAGAAGACACGATCCTGGTATCCACTCTCTGCCATACTAGTACTGGGCTTGGCAGGCCCCCCAGGAACAGCTTGGTGAACGTGTCGCATGTGCTGGGACCTCCTGGGAGGTGCGAGATACTCGAACATGCTCTGAGAGTGCTGGGCAAGCATTTTGCTGAGGTCGCAGGGCATGGGATCATTCCAGAAGAAATCGTGATTCAGCGCCGAGTCAGAATCGTACCTCTTGCTTGGGTCCAGGATCAGCAGTTTGTCCAGAAGGTCACAGGCGTAGGCGTCCTTCACGTAGGGCTTGAGTCTCTCCTTCACCTTGCGCTTCTGGCCCTTGGGGAGGTCCATCTTGTTGAATAAATCCAGGTTCTGTACTCCTGGCCACACTTCTGTCGTTATCGATCCACAGAGTTGGGAGATCAATGTCAGCTGTTGCTGCTCTGTGTTGCCTTGCATTATTGGAGACCTGATATCATAATTATTTTGTTTTGAACATTTATGGAAAGTTTACTGATGATTTTTAAAATAAAATAGAATTTTTTTGGCATGTTAATTATGGAATTGAGATTTCGCATGTTTTTCCTCATTTTACTGAATAATGAGTTAATTAATAAGTTGTTGAGTTCATCTTCTATCATTTTTAGAAATAAAAAAAAAGTATCCAATATTTTTCATTAAATTTTCTCATTTTGAAATTTTATTCAATTAAAAAAATTAATTGAACAATGCAATGTTGGCTTTGGGGATCAGAAGACTCACCTCGTCCACATCTCCGCCATGATGCACCCAGCCCCCCACAAATCCACTGGAGGTCCATAATTCCTGTCCCCCAACAGCAGCTCTGGGGGTCTGTACCACAGAGTGACGACTCGATTGGTGTACCTGTTGGCTTGGCCGTTTTTACTGGTACTGAAGGCTCTTGCAAGACCGAAATCAGCGAGCTTCAGGATTCCATTCTTAGTGATGAGAACATTAGCTGCTTTCATGTCTCTGTGGAGGATCTGCAGGGACGATTATCATGAATTAATTAAACATCACAAATAACTTCCAAATAAGAGAAGTTAATTAAATTCCTTCTAAGGCGAGTTCTAGAAGGAATTTAATTATAATTATGATGAGAATTTTATTCAGTGACAATAGGAATTAGAACGCGAGCCAATAATTTATCGTAATATGAAAATCTGACAGCTGATTAATTGAAAAAAGGAATATCGAGTGTAGTAAAGAGACATTCTCCCCATAAAATCCTTAAATTTTCATTTTAAATAATCGAAAAACTCACTTTGTTGCTGTGAATGCAGTAGAGTCCGTTCAATAACTGCTGCATAACTTTCTTAATCTCCCCCAGACTGAACTTGACATTAACATTAGACAATAATCCAGCCAAATCGTGCTCGCAAAACTCAAAAACCAGGTAGAATGTGGAACGATAACGATTGTACTGCGTTGCTAGAAAAAAAAAAAATAATAATGATACCATAAAGTCAAAAATACATAATCACAAAACTGTCTACGTAAAATTCCAGAATTACCTTTGGTCCGACAAATCTCAATGAGATTGACGACATTTTCGTGCTTCAACAGTTGGAGAATTCTAATTTCTCTCAAAGCAGTGATTGGAAACTGAAAAAAACAGATCATTACTGAATGATCTAGTCTCAAACCCATTTCATTTTTGTTTTCCATTTCCCAATCATTGAAAGAGAGTACAGACCCCTTCCTTCTCATTGTCCATGAGAACTTTCTTCATGGCTACGAACTTCTTCGAGTTCTTTTTGTCACGTGCCTTGAATACCTCTCTGAAATGAAACCCACAAAATTTAAAGTATTTTTACGTGAGTTTAGAATTATTTTGTTACTCCATAGGAACAATTTTCAAGCAGAATGCGTCCGGGGCAGGAGGAAAATTGAAAAATTAACCAATTCCCTGAACTATTTATGAAATGAGGGAGAATTAACTCTCTAACTCCAAAATTAACGAAAACTCAACTGATCCAATTACAATTAAAATTTTAATAGAGTAAATACTTCAGAGAGGAGTGGCTCTAATGTTCAACAGAATTTACGTAAAACCAAATAGAATATTTCATTAGAACTTTAGAATTTTAATAGAACAGACTTTTCTGTTGAGCTTCTCACGCATGCACGACCAGATAACCTCAAAATCCATGTGTTTTGGGGTTCCACTCACCCAAACGTTCCCTGCCCGATCTTCGCGACCTTCTCGTACTTCGTGGACTCATCGCAGAACGGAAAATCAAACTCCTCGATGTATTTTTCCTTCTCCTTGATGTTCATTGTCAATTTCGCAAAATGGGAAGAGGATTCGAAGCACAACACAACAATCCGAGAACCACTGACGTCACCGCAACTTCGGATAGTTTCGGGAGAAGCCCCAGAGGGGGAGTGTGCAATTCGCTGAATAAAGAGCGTGGTAAAATCATTAAAAAAAACAGGTAGAACCCTCGAAATTTCTCTTTTAAACCCCATGGTAAATGGAAATCCCCTCTGAGCCCTGTAAAATCCCCTGAAACCCCGAAAAATTGTGCTCCAGTGAAGGAAACGAAGAAAACCCCCCAGTGAAAAAAAAATGAATTAAGAAAATTCTGATGTGGTCTTCGCTATCCCAGACGTCAACAGACGGACCCAAACATCTCCCTGAACCTCCGAAAACCCCACAATCCCCCCAAAATGATGAAAATATCAGCGCTGAACGAGGAGTCGAGTGAGGAGAGCGATGAGGAGAACAATCTCCCCAAGATTACGAAGGAAGCTCAGGTAAATAAACCTTAATTGATTTTTTACAGTCAGTTGGATAATCTCTGATATCTTCCAACCGAACGATGCAATTGCCATTTAACTGGGCTCATCTTGAAGCTTATGAAAAGTCGTTGAAAAATGGTATAAGATTCTTTAAATTTCACTCTAATGATTTTGAGTCATTTAAAATTAATGAAATCCCTTTATGTCAACCCTCACCTAACCTATAAACCGGTTTAAAGGGAGATGTGATTCATTAACCTTTTTGTATCATGAATATCTCCTGAGGAAATGATGCGATTGGGATGAGTCAGGTCTCATTTTAAAGCTCGAAAAAACATCTTCAAAATTAAAGAGAAAATGCTGAATTTTACTCTGCGAATCTTGAGTTATAGTTGACTAAAAATGACTCATTTCACCCTCCCGTGCTCTAGAATCTGCTAAAACCTGTTCTCTCCAACCTCCAGTAACTCAAGATCATTAGAATCAATCCCACAACGTTTTCCTCCATTCCAAATACGTTTGTTGCCCTCCAAAAATGAAGAAACAAATTAAAAATCAAGAACTCTTAGACCTGATTGCCCTCCCCCAGGAGCAAATAGCCCTGACGGAGTACAACAAAGCGCTGGAGCTGCTGAAGGAATCAAAAATAGAGGAGGCCCTGCACATCCTGAAGGACCTCCTGGAGACGGAGCTCCTGGACCAGGTGGAGAAGCCAGAGGTCCCCGACGGGAGGACTCGCCCCATGCTCTCCCTGAAGTACTGCTGCTACAAGAACATCGGTGGAATCTACGCCCAGCTCAAGAGCTACGACGAGGCGATCGACTCCTACTGGGCAGCAGCCAACCTCGACGACACAGACGTCATGCTCTGGTGCAGGATGGGAACGCTCGCCCTGGAGACGGCGAACCTGGAGTTCGCCTGTTCCTCCTTCAAGCAGGGCCTCAAGTGCAACCCCAACCACTGGCCCTGCCTTGACAGCATCATCACAGCCATGTTTGCAGTCCCCGACTACATGAACTGCCTGTTGTACATCTCGATGGCCCTGGAACGTGACCCGAGCTACGTCAAGGGCCTCGCCTTCAGGGAGAAGATCTTCAAGGACATTCCCTTCTTCCAGGAGAGCTACAAGCTCTTCAACCCCGATTGGGCCCTGGACCCACCCCTGGACACAGACTACGACCGATGCCTGGGGGACAAGCTCCTCGAGGAAGCCAAGGACGTCGCTGAGAGGTGGATCGAGGCCTGCAGACCAGACTTCGAGTTCAAGCCCATCCCCGATGTTTCCCTGAAGAAGCCCCTGGAGAAGCACACGTGGGTGGAGCTCGGGGAGTCCCTGATAGAGATTCACAATTACATCACTGATAACAACCTCAACTTCATCAGTAAACTGAACCTCAATGTGGAGAGGCCACGAGAGCCCGAGGAGTCAGGAGCACCTGAAGAAGACGACAAGATGGAGGAGACAGAGATTTCCCTGGAGAAGGAGGAAATCCCCGAGAATATATCGGAGCCCAGCTTCGAGATAGACCTGGAGATCTCGCCAAAGGGGGAAAAAACCCCTGAGAAATTGGAGGACCAGCAGGTGCCTGAGGTGACCCTCGAGATGGAGGTGGACCTGGAGGAGGAGGCGAAGTCCGACCCCTCGAGTGACATCCAGATAATCGAGGAGGACCCATTGAGGCTGGACCCCCAGGACATAAAAATCGAGGACGAGGAGAAGCTGGAGGACCCAGTGGACTTCCCGGAGACCATAAACATCTCCGACGACACAGATACGACCCTGAAGCCCGAGAACTCCCTGGAGAACATGCCAGGCTCCACCGAGGACCCGAAGCCCTCCCCTGACAAGCCCGAATACAAAGCCCTGAGGAACGACAAGTCGAACGAGCACTCCGAGACCAAGGAGGAGCAGCAGAAGGTGAAGAAACGGCGCAGGAGTTCCCTGTGTTTTCTGCAGGAGTGGGCGTGGAGCAGCAGCAGCATGAGGAGGTCCCCCAGGGTGAGAGGGTCCCACCGAAGGGAACCCGAGAGGGACGACGTCGAGCTGGAAGAGACGATGAGAAGAATATTCTCCAGCAATTTGCTCCCTGACACAGCCAAGATCATCAGGGACGACCCCCTGAAGTCGATGGACGACTCCATGGACACGATGGACCTGTACCAGCTGTTCACCTCTCAAGAGACGACCAACACTGACGGCATCAAGAGCTCGGAGAGCTCCAAGTCCCCGAGTCCCCTGAACCCCGAGGAGGACGTAAAATACTTTGGCTCAGACCTGGAGACGAGTGACGTACAGGACTTCATCAGTCAGCACTCGGGGAAGAGCAACCTCATGGTGATAATAGCAAAGTTCACGGAGTTCCTGTCCACCAAGTGGAACCTGGAGTGGCCTGAGGAGCTCACTGACGTGTACCTCCAGTCGTACCTCTTCACCAGGGAGCACATCCCCCACTCGTCGCCGTTCGGCGACCCTGAGGAGGACGAATCGCTCCTGAAGCACGAGGGAGAGATGACTCTTCTCTTCTGCGAACTCCACACCGATAAGTGGCTGAACAATAGACCCGAGACGGTGCCATCGTCTTCAGTGGATCGGTTTGGCACTGGGATACCCTCTGAGGAGCTCGGCTACATCATCTTCGCGAGTGTTCGGGAGGATTTAAACGAGGATCTGGTGTTTCTCCTGAGAGTCCTCTGGGTGAAGGCCAATCTCTTCATGTGCCAAGGGGACACTGATGTTGCGATGAAGACTCTGGGGCTTCTGATCCACGACCTGCAGCAGTCGGACTCACAGATTGCCTCAGTGAAGCTACCGAACTGCAAATATTACTCTAGGATAGCCCTTCCAATCGTCCAAAAACGACTGACGTCGATCGAAAGAGGGAAGAAGCTGGGGGAGGTCCAGAGGCTCTACGACGAGAAAAAGTACTCTGAGCTCGCCCTCATCCTCCAGGAGACGTTCAAGTACGCGAAGCAGAGGAACGAGGTGATGACAGTGCTAAAGCTCAATGTCGATAGGGTCAAGCAGTTGTCGATGCTGCTGGATTGCCTCTGGCAGTTGGAGCAGTACGAGGACTGCTTCATCTGGGCTGAAGCCTGCCTCAACGAGGCATGGCAGGTTTACATCAACTCTGTAGACGAGTCTGAGCGCAAGAAGTGGGGTCAGAGTGTTCTGAACTGTCTGGAGAAGCTCGAGACGTGCGTCGACAGTGCTAGCACTACAGTCATCAGGTACCTGGACGGAAAAACAACGAGACTAGTTCAGAATCTTATTCAGATAACTTGTCACCAGTTGGACGTGCCAGAGAGCTCCATGGAGATGCCCCTGGAGACAGTCACCCCCTGGATCCTCCTCCACCACGTTCTCCAGTACGAAGAGGACAAGGATCGAGCTAAATCCAGGCAGTCGCAGAAGTCAAAGCCCACGGACTCCCACGACTCAGACACCGAAGACGAGGGCAAGGACATACCACCCCCCCTGATGATCCTCTTCACTGGTCACGAGTTCCTGGGCAGGCACGCCTGGTGCTGCATGAACGAGGCCAAACTCCTGCTCTTCACCCTGAAGACAGTCATCCCGAGGATGTGCGGAGCCAGGCTGGCAGTCCTTCGTGAGAAAATCGATAAACACTTGGAGCAGATATTCTGGTGTTTGTACGGCCACCCCAGCAGAACCAATAAGACCAAGCCGAAGCACCTCGAGGACCACCAGGTGCCCACGATCCCTCTGACGTGGGACGTGGCCCAGTTGCTGTTCGAATTCTACAGGCCCGAAGTCATCCCCGAATTCGACTCAGCCAGGCCCATGTCCATCACAGCTGACACCCAGCATCTCTTCAAGAAGATCAGCTCCCTCGTTCCCAAGGAGCACGACCCCAGTGAACTCGTCGAGGAGATGACGAATTACATCGTTGGGGAGCACGACAGGAGGCCCTCGGTCAGCAAACCCCTGCCCTACCAGGTGGAGGCTCTCTACTATCTCCTCGCTGATCATCTGTTCAAGAACAACAACTTCTCGTCGGCTGTCAAGTACTACACAATGGACGTTGTCCTTCATCCTGGTGCCTTCAACTCCTGGGCAGCCCTCGCAATGTCAGTGGGGACTGTCATGGGAACATTCCTCAACAACTGCAAACCCATAGCCGACATAAATAAACTGCTGGCCCAAGGGAAAATGGCGCAGTGCAGCTTCGAGAGAGCTGTTGAGATAAAGCCTGGTCACAGTGTCATGTGGATTGAGTACGGCAATTTCGTGTACATGGTGCACTCGTTCTGCTCGAGACTCCTCAAGCAGGAGTCGGACACCCTGAGCATGGAGAAGTTCGCGGTATTGGAGAGCAGGAAGGAGGACACGTTGGAGGCTGCTGAGAATTGCTTTCAATCGGCCAATCGAATTTACCTGGCGAATGTCGAGGACGAGCCGCAGCTGCAGGACGAACGGTGGCTGTATCACTACATGCTGGGGAAGATTGCGGAGAAGAGGAATGAGGACCCGCCGGTGTTCCTAGAGCGCTACGAACGGGCCAGTGAACTTTTGTACAAGAACAATGCGCATTATCCCAAGAGGATAAGCCTGAAGAACGCCAACAACTCGGCGGTGGAAGCACTGGAGGTCCATTACAGGTCATTTTTATTTTCTTTTGGGTTCTTCTATTTGATATTTAATTTCAACGAAACAGAAAATGAAATTGTAATTACTATTTTATTAAACTATTTCAGTATTTGATAATGACTTCGTTCGTTACGTATTTGATATATTGATAAATTGTTGTTCTAATCTCGTTTCTAGGGAAGAATAAATTTCAAGTAGTAAAAAAAATTCAAGAAAATTCGGTGAATTATTTCAAATAGTATTTCGCCCAGGGCATTTTGAAAACAGTAAAAGTAATAATTAAAAATCAAATATTAATTATATTGTCTTACATTAAATAATTGTTTCATGTCACAAGATAGCCAGATTGCTCTATAAAGTATCTAAAACAGAGTCCGTTCATTAGTTAATCTCCATTAGAATGAAAAAAAAATTTTTTCAATGAAAGTTCAACACAAATCTGTTAAAAAATTCAATTACAGGATCCACGCAAGTATTCTCAAGTACCTGGAGCAGCACGAGGGTAAGCCCCTGAAGAAGTCCCTGGGGCAGCTGTTCCTGAAGCACCTCCTGGAGTGCGCGAGTGGTCCCTTCATGCAGTACCCCTCGAAGCTCAACAGGAGTAAACGAAAGGAGGATTTCAACGAGGAGAAGACCCTCCTGAGGGACGAGGGTCCATCGCTAGAGGCCATCCCCAGGAGCAGGACCCAGGAGAGGCGTCAGAATAGTGTCGAGGAGATCCCGATGCCCGAGAGGACAGAGACAAAGGGGAGATCTGATAATAAAAAACGAGCGAGGGAGCCAGGGGCGGAGGAGCCCTCCAAGAGGATGAAGATGGGGAATATTTCTCATCTCGAGTTGATGCAGGACGTGCTCAGTGTGATCGACGAGTTGATCAGTAAAGTCTGCGAGATAAGCCTGCAGAGAGAGCAGAAGGATGTCTCGAGTGACGAAGTCATGGTGATATCCAGCGATGAGAGCGATAAGGAGAGGTCGGGGGAGAAGAAGCAGGACTTCGTGGGGAAATCGATGCCTGCGAATGCTCAGGACATGATGGACGACCTCATGAAGCAGATGCTGAAGGAGCAGCCGGTGCAGATTGACGAGGAGGAGAGCAGGAAGAGCGAGGGCAAGTGGATGCAGCACGAGGATCTCCACGGGGGCGAGGGCTCCTGCAAGGACAGGGAGTTCAAGGAGAAACCTGGGGAGAAGAAGAAGACGCAGGTGAACGCTGTCAAGGAGGAGGCCACTATGAGTCGAAGGGGCTCACAGGAGAGCACCACCACTACTTTGACCACTACGACAAATGAGACGAATAACTCGAGTTTCAGCAGCAGCGATGAGTCCAGTAGCAGCGAGGATAGCTCTGACAGCGATAGCTCGAGTGTTGACAGTGACAGCGACTCCGGGGACAGTGAGGGGGAGAAGAAGAAGACTGTGGAGGAGAAGGGTGAGTCGGATGGGTAGATATGATGGATCTTAGGTTATAAAAAATTTTAGGGAGTATTAATTCCCATTGACTGCACGTTTTTTCAATTTAGTAATTTTTTTTCACTCTATTTTTAGTCTCTGCATTGAGGCGAATTTTTCAATAGGGATTTTCAGAAATTTCTAGCAAATTAAATTGAAATCAATATTGGATTGAGTGAAAAATCATACTGTTAAGATCAAATCGTGAGATTTTCTTTTGAATCTGATCTCCATGAGGTTCTGGAAATCGACAATTATAATAAAGTATCAATGCAATGATGAATTAGAAAAAAAAATTGGGAACTGTTTTCATTTTTCTACAAAATTAGAGGAAGGGAAAGAAATTATCTCGTCATGATTTTGATTATTTGTCGATTAATTTACTCGTTAATTATTCTAGAGGAGTATCTCACAGAGGCAGAAGTGTCAAAAATCATCAGCTACTGTCTGGCAGGCCTGGAGCAGTGTGTCTTGAGATTCCCAGGGCATTACAAGTCGATATACCGTCTCTGTCACTTCTACTTCAACAACAAAACAGTCAAGGACAACAACAAATGTCGAGATCTACTCATGGGGATATTCAAGTGTCAGTACCACACAGGGATGACCCTCCAGGGGCTCTTCGCCGACCGAAAAAGCACGAATTTCTTCAATGTGAGTAGAAAAAGTTGAAAAAAGTATTATTTTTGTCGCTGTTGGGGGGATTTCTCAGAGAAATGGTGGAGGAGCAGCTGTTTGAACATTTCGACGTCGATTTCTAGGATGATCTTTGTGTTGATGTTCTCGGGAATATCGTCGTAGTTCACCAGGACGCCCCCTCTAGCTGCGCCGTCGGTTATTGGGGTGACTCTGGTTGAACAATTTTCTTTTGCTATGTGCGGCCAGATCATGACTGCTGCTGCCATCACGTCTGCTGGCTTCCAGAACACTTCGTCTAGAATTTTTTCCTCCACTTTGTTCATGAATTTCATGAATTTAGAGGGCAAGACACCTAGAATTTTCCTTCTCCATTCCTGGAAGATGATGAATTGGAATTAAAAAGTTGATCGATTTATTGATTGATTGATAATGAATAATGATGATTATAATATTGATTACTAATATTAATAATTTTCCAGAATAACCTAGTGAATTCAATAGAAAATGTCAATCAATTCATTCATTATCAATCAATTCATTTTTTTTTCCTTTCTAAAAACCAATTGAATGATTTTTCGTATTTAGTGATCATTTTACAAAGAAATAACACCGAAAAATGGAGAAAATTTCGAGACATTACCCGACTTATTGCGGTGCTGCGCACTGCCTCCCACGGATACAATACAATGGACTCAGTTGAGTTGAAAGTAACGAAATTACTCTCGGGGTCGTGTCCGAAGTTGTACTCAACCCCTGGCGATTTGTTCCCCATCCCCGCCACACTGCCGCCCATGACATACAGCCTTTTGACATTGCGTAGAAAGTTGGGGTCCAGGGCGAGGGCCACCGCGATGTTCGTGAGGGGCCCCAGCACAAGAATATTGAGCTCTCCTTTGTGCTCCCTTGCTAAATCAACTAACGCAATTGCAGCGTGTTTAGAATCAACTTTAGCTGTGATTTTCTCCTCGAACGGGAAGTCCCCGAAGCCATCCTCTCCGAAGTAGTTTCCCGCGGTGAAGTTGGAGGATATCAGGGGCTTTTGCGATCCTCCGTATACTGGAATCTATTTTTTATTTCGAGAAAATTATCAGGCAATTCAATTTCGACATTAATTTCCAGTGAATATCTCAGAATGTCACGCCTCTAGCGCAGTTTTTATAGAAATATTTTTTTTTTCAGAGGTAAAAATGGAATTGTTTGAATGAATTTAAAGGAATTATTACGGAAATCTCTGCAAAAAATGTCTACAAGAATTCCATTTCTATATAATTTATGATTTAATGGTTTAGAGAAATTTAGAGATTGGAAATTGGATTTATTCTATCAACTCATTGTGGACGTTAAATATAACTCTTAAACATCTTTTTTTCTCATTCTCAACATTTAATAAAATAACGTGTTTGCTTATGACCGCATGTGGCCCAGAATAATGATTAATAATCATTCTTAAACATTTATACTTCATATAAATGCTTAAATTAACGATTTAATCGTTTAATTTAATGATTAAATTTAGAGATTGGAAATTGGATTTATTGTATCAATTCATTGTGTACGTTAAAATAGCTGTGAAGCGCAAAGTATCCTGGAGAAGTAGAAGAAGTTTAAATATAACTCTGGAACATCTATTTTTTCCATTTTCAACAATTGATAAAATTTCGCGATAAAATTACCTCGGCGGCGTTGGCAACAGTGAGTGTCTTGAGTACATTAGTCTCCACATTTTTCTCATAAGTATTGCCGTACACACACGTGATGCCAATGACTTCGAAATTGGAGTGGTTGCTCTTCCATGCTGATAATGCAAGTAAAATCGCCATGGCATCATCGCCTCCTGCGTCAGTATCAATCACGAGTTTCTCGGATGCTCGGTGTGTTGCATCGTGCTGATTATCGGCCAAGTAATACGCGAGACAACTGCAATGATCGTCATTGTTATCAATTGATCTCAAAAATTACCGCGGCGCGATAATTACCCGGTGACACCGACGCCCAGGGCCAGGACTATTGACAGGATCTTTATTGAAATGCTTCGCCCCATCACTGCTGCCTCGGAATTATTCCTGGAACAGTGAATGCTCGAGTTCACTATCATATTTATTATCGACTGATAGCCCGAACAATTCAGTCAGACTTGAATTCTTTTGGCTGATCTATTCTCGTCTTTCCAGGAATAGGCACAAAGAGATAGACACATTGTCGGTCTACTTTTACATGAACGCAATTACCCATTGACATGTTCACTCCGATAACACGATATTTCCATAGCGAAGAGATAAGACGGTTTAAGACTTTTTTTTTTAAGTGCGAGATTTTTGGTCGAATTAAGGGTCAGAAAAAGCGTTATAATTTTTTTGGAAACTCTTGACTGTTATCTTTTTCGAGTTTAATTATTTCTCCTCTTCATTATTGGTTTCTTTTTCTTTATTATTTTGGGAATATTGAGGGAAATATGTCTCCAAAATAATTGAAGTTCGCTAATCTTCTTTGAGAGGTGAAATATAACAATATAATGAATCACCCAAGTTGTGAATTGATCACTGAATGAATAACTATGATTTTTAGTAATGTAAAATTTATTTAGTATTCCACAGAGAGGAATTCAGTCCTCAAGTAAAGTTTCGGGGAATTTTTGTGAAAATTTCATATCAATACGAGAAAAACTCACGTGTCAGCACTAGAATTTTGGTGTCAGCACTAAATATAACTGTCAAATTCGTTGGAAACGATTAACATGCTACAGGGAAAGTATCAGTGTGAAACGTGTCACCTGACCCTGAATACTGAATTCTAACTGGTCGAAATCATAATTGAGGAAATTATCTAAAGAATTTCTCTCCGTGTATCAGCGGCATTGAATGTTTTAATAACGCCGATGCCTGAGTTATGACAAGATTTCACTGACCGTAACTCGCATTAATTCTCCTGTTCATGGATCAAGTGGACTAATGTCACTCGAGTTATTCGTTAAATCACACTAATATAGAGCGTCTTGGGTTCCCTCGAGAGGAGGAAAAGAGAGACCGCGCGCCAATCACGCGATTAAATATATTTCTTGTAGGCCATTTTCCTCAATTTTTTTGCCGCAATTTTTTTTATCATGAGAAACAAATAAAAATACAGTGGAAAAACGTTTGAAAAATTTACACCCAAGAATTTCTATGGAAAAATCACCATTCATTAACTCCGTCATCTACAAAATTCTGTATTTACATAATTTTCTATAGAACTGTCGCAGAGCAAAGAATTTTTCAAATAAAATTCCAAAGTTCTAAGTAATTCAAGAGAATTCTTATAGTTTCAATAGAAATTCACTGCGATTTCTCCCAGAAAGGGCTAGATGAGCGAATACAATAAATAAATATATGGCGAAAATATTTTTTTTTAATTTTAGGGGTGATTACAATAGCTTCCTCTATCGGGAAGTTAAAAAACCGTAATATCCTCACGTACAATGACAACTCGAACCCCTCTCAATTTCAGGGTGTTTGGCGTATCCCGACCGACGAGATCGATCGCCCGGGTAGTTTCCCCTCGCACATGTCGAGATGCGTTACCCTCCTGATGCAGGTCCTGAAGGGAACCGACGACAGTCGAATGCTGATGGAGTTGTGCATCCAGCTTCGAAAAATCCCCGACGCAGACAAGTAAGTCCCCTCACCCTAGAGGCACATCCAAAAAATTCCCCTCAAAGCAACTCCATGCTGTCCACCTCCTGCTATTTCCAATTTTTTTCCCAATTTTTTTAAATGGAATTTTTTGGACATGAGCCCTCGCCTCCTCTCAACCCCACCGATCTAATCTCCCTTCTCCCCCCCCAGAAAATACGTCCGAGATTCGGAGCGCGAGCAGTTGTCGCGTCAAGCGTTGACGCTGTGCCTGCAGTCCCTGCGGACGAGGGTCCAGGTGCTGGTTCCTCTGAACGTCGGCGAGAACCCCCAGCTCTTCCGCACGGACTCTCAAACCCACGTGCTGCTGGACGTCTACAAGATCTACCAGCAGGTCCAGAAGAACTTCCAGGGTAAGGAGATCCAGGCGTTCGCAACCCTTCTAGTGGACACCTACAAGTCCTACGTTGGGATAAAAACACCGGAGGGAAATCTCCTGGAGGCGGCGCTGCGCTTCTGCCAGCAGCAGAACCTGGCGAGGAAGAACGCCCACCACCAGAGGTCAGAGGGCGCAGGAGTGGGGACGCCCTCAGTGGCTCCATCAGCCTCGAGCCAGCCGATAAACCCCCCGAGTCAGCCACCACCGGTGCCCACGTCGCCCCAGGCCCCCCAGCAACGGAAGCCCTACAAGTCCAGCGGCACTGGACGTCCCCGAGGACGACCGCCGAACGTCAACAAGTACCTCTCCATGCAGGCCGGGAGCATGATGAACCCCTTCAACAGCAAGAACTTCCCAGGATACATGGGGACAGCTGGCAACCAAGCGATGATGACTCCCTTCCTCATGAACCCCTTGATCGACCAGAACATAATCTCAGCGATGCTGGGGGGCGGTCTAGCGGCGAATGTGATGGACTCCCTGTCAATGATGAATTACCTGAGGCAGATGGGAAATTACGGGGACATGATGAGGCAGTACCCGGGCAATTTGGCGCCGATGGGTGGGGGCCTCGCGGGCTTCGGCAACCTCTCGACCCCCCTGTCCAGCTCGAGTGGCACATTGCCGACAATGAGCACGATAAACACCTCGAGCACGATGCCCCAGAGTGGAATCCCCGGGATGGGCTCCATGAGCAACATGGGGAGTCTGACGGTTCAGCAGTTGCTGAATTTGCAGAATTCCACTGCTTCAACCACTGCTGCCATGATGTACAATCAGTCCAAGCCGACGACGACATCGTCCTCATCGAAGGATCACTCGCACTCGGTGTCGATCACCCCAGTGGGGAGCAATCCCAAGAAGAGCAAGCACGTGCCCCACGGGGATATCTCTCACATGAAGATGCCGCAGTCCCAGAAGCCAGTGCCCTCGACGACCCAGATCTCTCTGCTGAAGCCCTCGGTGATCCAGCCACCGAAGCAGATGTCGGCCCCGCAGATTCGCGTGTCCAAGAGCCTGACTGAGCCCCAGCCAGCGCACAATGCCTCACTGTCGGTGAGCCCCATGAAGAGTGCCAGCCCCTCTGGGATTAATCTGCCAGTGAGCCACTCGAGTCTTCAGAACTCTGGGCTGAATATAAAACCAGTGCCCATGGGGATGCAGAGGGGGACCTCGCTGCAGCATAAATTGTTGTCGAAGAAGCAGGGACAGCCTCTGCCCCAGAAGGCCCAGCAGAATCCACTGAAGAAGCAGAGGGTGTCTAAATCACAGGTGTCTGGGCTGGCCGGGCCCTATGAGAGACTCTTGGGGATGGCTGGCTCACCCTTTATCCCTGAGCGCAGTGGGATATCTGTCAGCCCTGTGAGCCCGGCCATGGCCTCGAAAATCCCTCCCAAACCTGCCTTCAGGAAGTCCAGCAAGCCCAAGGGCGTGGACATGACTGGAGCCATTCAGAGTGGCATTTCATCTGCTAATACTGCTGAGACTTACTCGATGCTGTCGCAGCTGCAGCAGCACTCGCATCTGGAGATCATTCCGCAGAACAAGGCGCACTTTGGGAAGAATCTGCCAGTGTCGTTGAGTGTTGTACCGCAGAAGGGGGCGGAGGGGCCACGACCTGGGGGAACTGACTCTGTGGCGGTTTATGAGCTGCCCAGGAAGAGCAATCCGGCGAAGAAGGGGGAGAAGAGTGTGAAGGACAGTGTGGAAATTATCACACTCGATGATTGAGGCTTTAGGGAGGCCTCTGATACTGCCACATTATGCTTTGTGATACGTTTTATTTAGGTAGAGTAAGTGTATATTTGCATTCTTGTATTTATTCGTCGTTTTTCATGCCAGAAAATAAATAGCGCGTTTATACGACAGGGGTTCAGCGGGTTTGAAGAATTTATTTTGTAATTTTGCTGATGAACTTTGATGTAGTCACAATTTTTTTTTATTTGGCGTTAAAGTCGAGAGATTTATACGGCTAAATCGTAATTTCAATTATTGGAAATATTTTATGAGCAGTTGTTTTACGCTCTCGGAATCACCGTTCTGTATAATTTCTGCATTTTTCATTTTTCCACTTGAATTTCCATAGTCAACGAGGAGAACTCCTCTGGCAGCTCCGTCAAACACTGGAGTAATGTTCGTTACAACGGATTTCGTTATTAAATGGGGCCACAGCATGAATGCAGCTGTCATGAGGTCGGCTGATCTCCACACACTGGATCTAGGAAGAATTTTCCTTTCCACCTGATTCAGAAATCTCATGGTCCTAGAATCGATGGATCCCAGCACTTCAGTTCTCCATTTCTAAAAATGTTAATTTCAAGTTGCTGTCATTCTTCATTATTATATCGTGACTTTACAATCGCAATCTCACCATTGGTAATCCGACCACTGAAGTTGTTTCCCATGGCAGGAGAAATATTGGTTCTCCTCTGGTCGAGTTGAAAAGAATGAAATTGCTCTCAGGATCAGCAGCGAAATTGAACTCAACCCCTGGGGCGATATTCCCAACCCCAGAGACACTCCCACCCATGACATAAAATCTTTTAACATTGTGGATGAAGTTTGGATCGAGGCTGATGGCAAGTGCGATGTTAGTCAGTGGTCCCATAGACAAAACACTCAATTCCCCTCGATATTTTCTAGCTAAATCGACCAGTGCAACTGCGGCGTGTTTCGATCTGTCAACTGCAGCTGTGATCTCCTCGTCAAACTCAAAGTCACCGAAGCCATTCGCCCCGAAGAAGTAATCTGTCGTGAAATTTCGTGTCAACGGTTTTTGGGCCCCTCCGTAAACTGGAATCTTTCGAAACTCAATTGAGAGACCGAGAGAGAGGATCTTTCGTCGGATAAAGTCGATTGAAATACCTGCGACATGTTGGCAATCGTCAGAGTTTGCAGTACATTCATTTCCACATTCTTCTCCACAGTGTTTCCATATGTACAGGTGATGCCAACGACTTCGAAATTGGAATCGTTGGCAGCCCAGACTGATAATACCAGGAGAATAGCGACTGCATCGTCACCTCCAGCGTCAGTGTCGATGACGAGTTTTTCTGATTGTGCACTGGTAAGAATAGAGCGTTAAGAAGACGAAGGATCTTTATCACGGCTTCAAGTTTTTCAGATACCTATTTATCAGCGCTGTCACACACAATCCAATGAATAACAAAATTCGAAATTTCTTCTGCATGATCAATTTTTTAAAATGTACGATAAATCGTTCAGTAAAAATCAAATCAAATTAATATCCACAGATATTATGAAGAAATGAATAGGCGCTTTAATTAATTAATGAACTAATCGATCAATTCACTCATGACGAGACTAATTAACAAATGGCGCACGTGCAACAATGCAACTCTGATCGCCCCCCCAAAGAAATAATTTATATACCCACCACCGCCTCAACTTTATCACTGAATTTTGATAAATGTCAATACTGCATTAATCACAAAATCAGTAAATCCCCTAGGAAATGCTCCCCGTATTTATCTTACCTTGTAATTAATTCCGTTTCGACGGCCAGCCGGAATTATCGCGAATTCGCTATCTGTCCTCGCGCCGAATATCCAAACATTCAAGTGGATTAATAACAAAAGACGGGATTAATGCAATTGATGTATCATCACTGATTCAGAAAAAATAAATTGCCCATTAATTTAACTTGGTTCATACCCTGTTACTACATTTTTTTATTTTATTGAGTCACATGGATATTCTTCCGCGACTTTACGTTTTGATCCCTTCCCTTTAAGACTGGCTATTATTTTTTTTTCTCATGAAATTCTAATTCTCCAATATTTAAAGAATTCCCGACTTACATTGATTGAGATTTAAATATATTAATCGAAATTTAAAAATAGTAAAATACTTGATAATCTAAATTTCTAATTGACGATGGATTAAATATTAATAATATGGAACGGTAAATTTTCTGTTGAGTAAGTAATGCTAAATTTCTTATAAGAAATTTTCCGTTCTCCAAATAATCGTCAATCTTCCTAACTAAATTACTGATTAATAAATAATTCGGAATTTGAATATTTAAATTGATGATTACTTTAATAATTAAAATTTAAGCGTGACATTGACAAATTGACTAATTAATTATTTAACGATAATTATAATTTACGGCCATGACTGTCCCCGGTTACGAAAATATCAGCAATTGTGGATATTATCATTTAAATATAATTGAAATGAATTGGGGATTGAAGCGTCGTGTCATTTCAAATTTAGCGCACACGAGCCGCGATGACGTCATATCCCCCACCGGTTTGTTTGTTATTGTCGCGTTCGACAGGTTCAGACAAGTTGTTTAGACACGCAAAATGCAGCTGGAACGCAATTGCAGTAACAAGTGTCAATCCAAGTGTTATCAGAGTGGAAAATAATCGAAATTTCGAGTGTTAAGAATAAAGTAATAAATCATGGAGTCAGCGGATGAATTTGTGGAAATATTCATGAGAAATTGGAGGGAGGGGAATGACAAGGAGCTGGCGAGGTTATTTAAGGAGGGCCCGAGGTACTTCCGGAACCTGTCGAGTGCCGAAATAGGTAACGCTTGTCAATCTATCTAATGTTATCATAATTGGGTAGAAAAATGAAAAATCCAGCGAATCCGATCAATAATTCCATGAATTCCACGAATTTTTTTAGGGCTTGTATTGGCAATCTATTAGTTTTGGAATTCTTGAAATTTTATTCAAGAAGAACTCCCCATCTATGCGTTTTTTAATAGAAAATGCCTAGAAAATTTCATCTTTCGAAACAACTCTTTCTATCGAGACATGTCCATACAAATTCTCTACATCAATTTCTCAAGTGTTTTCCACTTTATTCTTCTTCTCTCATAAAAAAATCACTAGAATAAATTCTATAGTAACACGTAATTCCAGGAAATGTCCAATGAAAACTATTTTACCGAAAAAACCAGTGGAATTTCATCTTTCTAGACAATAATAGATAATAAAAGGAATTAACAATCCCCATCACCGCGACTTTCACCAGCCCTGCTCCCTTTAAAATTCAAGGTCTCCTCCTGGAGGGCCTCCTGGACAAGAAAGCCCTCCCGAAGTACCTCCACGACTCCCTGGACCAGCTGAAGATCCCCACAGACACCGAGTCAGCGCTGCGCGAGGGCTTCACCCTCCTCAAGTACCTCCTCTCGACCTTCCCCAGCCTCTACCAGCCGTACCTGCAGACGACCTTCGAAATCTGCGAATTCGGTGTAAAACTGAAGATCCCCCACCACACGAAACGCTCGGCCTGCCAGGCCCTGATGACCCTGATCAGAGTCTTCCCCGACTACACGTCAGGTCTCAACGACTTCACATCCTTCTACACCCGAAGGCGCCACCTCTACAAGAAAACCGAGTACCCGATGATCCTCCAGGTGCTCTGCACGATCGCTCGCCACCACCCGGACCTTCCAGCAGTCTCCTCCAACGGGCAGAGGCAGCAGCTGAGAGTCTTCGAGGACTTCAATGAAGCCTGCAACAGCACGACTGGCGGTATCACCAACGTGGAGATGGCCATCAACTCCCTAACCGACGTTCTCCATAACTTTCCGTTTCCTGGGCCCGTTCTCGCCAGAGACTTCTACGACCAACTGAAGAGTATCTCCCCAGCCGCAGCGGCCAGGGGCAGGGGCCTCATCGAGTCCATCCTCCTCTTCCTGAGGGAACACCTGCAGAAATTCGAGTCCTTCATCCTGGAGGACCACGACTTCTGGCATTCCTTCCTGCAGCGCCTCCTCCAGAACGAGTTCCTGGCTCCTCTGGTGACGGAAACCCTCAAGGTCTACTACGAAGTCCTGGCAGACGTCCTGAAGCGCGACAACTCCTCAGAGGCCCTAACGATCCTGCATAATCTCCAGGAGACATTCGTGAACGCCTTGACAAACGCAGGAGTGACTCCCCAGAACCTCAGAATCTCCATCATGGGGTACAGCCAGCTAGCAGAGCCCCTGAAGCGTCTGGTGGACGAGGCAGCTGTGAATGAGATGTTCTCCCTCATCTCCAGGAGAATCCTTCCCTTGTACTTCACCGAAGACGACGAAATCCAGTTCGAAGACATTGCTGACTACCAGGAGGCCCTGGCCCGAGTGCTGCCACAACTGTCTGTCATCGCAGACGATCACATCAGGATTCTCATGAAGATGTGCATTCTGATGATCAAGAGATTTCCAGAACTGAAGCCAAAGGCTCGGATGCAAGCTGGTGAGTCCCTGAAGAGGACGATTGAGCACATGAGTCACCTGAAGGTTCACCTCTTTGAGGAGTTTCTCTCCAATGTCGTCTATGAGGGAGTCGTCTGGAGCTGCTCCCACAGTCTTCTGATCGATGTTGAGCTTAAGCACCTGGAGAACCCCTGGAAACGGCTCATCACTTACAAGGACTACATCCCACTGTGGCAGTCCCTCTTGAGCCCTGAAAACTACACGATGAATAATCAAGAGAAGGTGTGCAACCAACTCCTGACCACTTGCATCAGTCTAACGTCAAAACTGGACGTCAGGATAAAGACCAGAGAGGACAACGTCTTCTCGGATATCGGTGTTTCCCAGGTACCAGAGAATGAGGACGACTTCAGGATCTTCTTGAACCTGGTGGACCTCTACGAGGAGCTACTCCCGAAGATAATTGAGTCCTCAGAGGACGTGAAGAAGCTCCTGGAGAGTCTCATCACGACCTCGAGCAAGCACCCCCTGGTTTCAGGATTCTACAGACTGGTGAGAAGATCCCTGAGTGCCTCCCAGTCGTTCACCCCCTCTGAGACCCTCCTGATCCTGAATTACCTCAGGAGAACCTTGAAGCTGGTCTTCGAGCTCTCCCACGAGCTCCAGATCTCCTGTATTCAACTGATTCTGCATTCCCCGAAGGATTTTACAAAGGATTTGCTGCCCCACATCGGTCCAGTCTTCACTCTGGCCTTTAGAATAGGTTTGAATAACTACGAGCTGGCTGACAGTGCCCTCGAGGACCTGGAGAGATTCGTCACCTGTGGGGACGAGGAGCCAGTGAGGACTCTTCTCCTGGAGGTTCTCCCCACCCTCGAGGTCTACCTCCGCAGCAAGGAGAGCCTCGAGCTCCACGAGGACTCGAAATCCCCAGTACAGCGGACAGCGAGGACCGAGAGTGCCCTGGGCCCCCTCCAGAACAAGATCCTCCTCTTCTTCGGGAGAATCAGCAACTCTGTGATGCTGGAGTTCCTTCACAAGCAGTCTCAGAACACCGGAGGCACCTGGGATAGGAAGAACCTGCTGGAGTACACGATGACCTTTCCAGATGGCGACCTCCCAGTGCACCTCGACACAATCCTCCCGAGGATAATCGATTTATCTTTATGCTGCAGTGACGTGAGCACCAGAATCTCCGCCTGCGAGGCCCTCCACTCCATCGTCATCATCATCCTGGGGAAGACTGTTTATTACATCTCCAACGAGCCTGAGCGCTACGCCTCCTTCTACAAGACCCTCTGTCCAGTGCTTCTCAAGCTCGGTTGTGACCCTGATCAAGTCATCAGACAGATCTTCAACCCCCTCATGCTCCAGATGACTCACTGGCTGAGCTCCAGGCTCATGCTGCACTCACCTGTCATTGGATTCCTGATGGAGTGCATCTTCGAGGGCCTCTGCAACTCTGATTCCTCCATCAAGGACTTCTCCGGAATTTGTCTCGCCGAGTTCTCCAGGTGGTCCATTAAACAAGCCACAGACACTGATTTAAGGAGAATTCCTGTTAACATTCATAATGTCGTGGAGAACATCAAGAACTTTGCTCTTCATCCCTTGAAGAATAGAAAGGTGGCTGCTGCCATAGCCTTCAATCATATCTACAAGATACTGAGGGAGAACGAGGAGATCGTTGACATCTTCTGGCTGGAGTTCCTCCAGTGCTTCGTGGAGGCAATGGAGCACTGCGGGGATGCCAGGATCAGGGGTGCCCTGAACCATGTGGTGAGGGTTCTCTCTGAGAAACCTGGGATTTTTCGGGAGTGCTCGGCTAGAAGGAGAGTCCCCAGGTGTTTTGGGGATGGAAACTTGAAGAGTTGTGTGGAGTTCTTGTTGAATCACTGCATCAGTCTGGACGAAGCTGCCAGGAGGAAGTGCATGAAGCTTTACGAACGATTGAACGATAAGATCGAAGATCATGAACAGTACCTGAAGATCCAGACTGTGATGCTGACCAAGTTGGAAGTGTCAGGTGTGGGGGCTGGGGAAGGTGTGAGAAGGTTCACAGCTACTCTGGACGTCTACGTGTGGCTTCTCCAAGGAGGTTTCATCGACCCACAGGTGCTCCTGGTGGATTCTCACCCCCAGAATGTCTCGATCTTCTCTGCAATCGAGAAATTCATCGCTAGGGTCAATCGAGATGGTCTTGACGAGCCTGCAGCGGTGATCAAGCTCATTGAGTTCATGGTTGAAGTCCTGGGGTGTCGATTGTCGAGTGAAGAAGAGGTTCACGACGTCCTTTTCAACGAGGAATTCTGCACTTTGATCTCTAGATGTGTGAGGCAGCCAGAAGCCCTTGGATTCAACGTCAAATACCTCGAGATGGCCCAGTTACTACCCAGGAAGATTGAGAGGCTGGTGGAGAGTTTGGTCGAGCACTTGTCGAAGGAGAGATTGCAGTCAGTTTTTAGAGCCCTGAACTTTCGGTTCGATGATCTGTCAGTGGCGATGAACCACCTGGACCTAAACTCCACTCAAAGAATCTCTCTTCAAAACAAATTGAAGTGCTTAATCTTTATGAAGCGATGTAAATTGCTGGAGACGTTGCAGTTGAACGAGAAAATTCTGCAGAATAATTTGCTGGTGATCGGGCACATCTTCGCGGAGGTGAGGATATTCGATGCGAGGAGGTACTGGTGCAGAGAGCTGGCACCAGACGTGAAACTCCACTACGAGGGTCTGTTGGAGCTGTCGCTGGACGACGAAGGGTTCGCCAGTTTCGTCAGGTCGAGGGGCAAACAGATCGACGAGTTGCTGGAGTGCGATGGAAAGTCCCAGATGACCCATGGGGAATACTTCATCATCACCTTCAGAGACGTCATCATTCGCTACCTCTTGAGAAACATTGACACTTCCCTGGAGATGATGGTGAATTTATCGAGACAATTTCCTGACTTTGTGCTGTTCGTCATGAACGAGACAGCCACTTGGCTCCAGAGACACAGGAAAGATCACCGGAGATCAGCTGAGGAGTTCTGTGACGCAGCAATTTCCAGCTTTCAGCATTTCCGAAGGGCCTCGAACAACTTTGAAACCCGAAAAAAGTTGCTGAAGAACATCTACAGAACAGCAGTTCGACTGAAGCAGGATCTGATAAACATCAAGGTGGCGAACAAGGAGATGTATTACTGGATAATCGAGGAGTTCCAGGGGAGTGCCTCGATTCCAGAGAAAACCCAAATCCTGAACGACTTCCTGGTCTGCCTGCTGACTGAATCCGACGAGAATACAGAGCTGAGGGTCATCTTCAGATCGTTCGACATTCCCGAAGTCCCAGAGGGCTCTGATGGCCTTCTAAAACGGAGTCTGAAGTCTGCAGAAGTTCTCGAGTACTTCCAGACGCTGATGGCAGCCCTCCCAATCACAAAGTCTCTGGTGATCCTGGAGGCAGTGACGATTTGTGCGATGAAACTGGGCAAATGCGTGTCGACTAAATCCACGAGTGATCACTTGGCAGCTTATTTCTCCTTGATACCTCGGGCTACAGCCCTCGAGTCCCTCCAGAGGATCCACAAGATGATCCTGGATCCATCCTTCCCAGGGAGGAGACCAGATGTCTTGAGGTACTTCTTCCTCCCAGTGTTCAAGTACTGCGAAGAGGACGTCGTCCACGACTTCTTCGAGAGGAACATCAAGGAGCTGGTGATGAGCCTCACAGGGGAACTCCCAGGAAACCCCGAGGATAGACGTCTCATGGTGATCACGTGGATTGAAGCCTTCAGTCTCCTGGAAGTCATGTTCTCCACGTTGAGCATCGACAGGATAAACGGTCCAATAGCGAGAAGAGTCTCCGAAGTGACACGTTCAAGTTCTGATGTTTTTCTCCAGCTGTACAAGAAGACCCTCGACGTCAGGACAATGCCAGTGAATCCCAGCGAGAAGTTTCTCATGAGACTGCTGCACTGTGCTGCCTTCAACTGTGGTATCACCATGGTAAGTGTCTCCAACGAGGAGAAGTACCTCCTGGGGCTGTTCGGTGAGAATGCACCGCTGGACAAAATCATCTGGAAGAAGATAATCGACTGTTCGAAGAATTACTCACTGACTCAGACGTTCAAGGAGCTCCCCAAGCAGCGAGATGTGCTCGTGAACATCAGGAAGACAATGACGATGAGGGAAACTTCGTCCAGCCACTCGTACCTGAGGAGCTACAACCTGGCGTCTTCAACGTTGACTGAGGACATCGGAGCTTACGACATGCACACGGTAATTCCATTGGCAGAGCCCTCGACCTCAAGACTGCTGGTGACACTGGAATCCGATGACCTGAATGATCACGAGTGCATGGCTCCCATCGTCGGGGTGTTAAAATACCTCTCTGAGATTCATCCATGTGACCCAGACAAACCCCCGCCCTGGTTCAAGTACTTCGCCGGAGCCATGTCCATAGGCGAGAGGAATGTGAAGCTCTTCTTGCTGAAAATTGTTTTAAACACTCAAGAAGTCTTCAAGCCATTCGCTGGATTATTACTCAAGAGGATCGTGAGGATGATCTCTTTCATACTCAGGAGCACCATCTCCATCGGCTACATCATCGCTGATGCCCTCCTGATGCTTGTGGACTGGTCTGAAGTATCTGTTCCTGGAGAGGACTCGAAGGGAGAAGCCAACGAGATGTTTGATCTCCTGGTGAACAAAGTAGTCGCCCAATCATCGTCAGAGGCAATTGTCAAGTATAACTACAGCATAGTCGACATGCTGGTGAAGGCGTGGCACCAGGTGCTGGAGCCCCCCAGCTGCCTCGGCGAGAAGATGAGCCGGATGCCCGAGGGAGCTGCCAGACTCATTCTCTCGTTGCTTCAGAATGATCTCGGTCCGAGGCTAGTGAATGACCCTCGAGTTCTCCAGTTTTTACTCAAGTCTCTGGAGGACTGGAGGAGAAAGGAGGAGGTGCTCCTGCAGATATCTGCGGCCATTGGGCTGTTCCTGAAGTTCTCAGCGCCTCTGGACCCTGACGGTCAGCAACGAGAGGAGGCCACCCGGAAAATTCGCCTGGTGTTCAGGGCAATACTGGAGCCCAACAGACTCATAAAGGCTGTTCACGCCATGTGCACAGCATTCCCAGGCCTTCTGTACGAATTCTATCAATTCGTCACTCACAATCACCTGAAGCTCTCGTTCTCCACGAAGGTGAAGAGCATGGAGATGTTTCTGCTGAGGATTCCCCAGCTGACTGACCAGGAGGTACACCAGGAGATCGTCTACATCAAGTTCCAGGATCTCTTGGATAATAAAGTGCTGTCTTGTGAGAAGATCTGCTTGGAGATAATCCTGAGTCTCGCCAAGAGACTCCGCAGCGAGACTCTGCTCCCCCTGGCCCGTCTAGCTGCTAACTACGCCAACCACGAGACCCTGGCGTACAGAACCCTCGTCTACGACATCTTCGTGAGTATCTTTAAACACTACATCGACGACATCTCCAAGGACCAGTCAGGAGAGACTCTGGTGGATTTGAGCCAGAGAATCCTGCTCTCTGGGCTTTTGGACCCCTCGGAGTCCCTTCAGCAAAAATGCATGAGTTTTTGGACTGAAGAGGCCCAATTCCGAACCAATTGTTCTGAAAGAATACTCGACATCCTGGGCAACTACTCTCCCGAACTCGCCCAGAACTTCCTCCCAATCTTTGGAATTTTATTCCTGAATTTATCGAAGAAATCCCCGAATTATGAGTCGAAATTGTTCATCCCCCTCGACAAAGACTGCAACTACAGGAACTACAAGATCGCTACCTCCTGGAGGATGAAGAACCTCAGTTACAGAGTTCCCCTCTTCATCCCCTCGTACGCCAGCCAGTGCAGCCAGCGTTTCACAATGTCGATATTATCATCAGACGATTTCACCTCTACGAATGAAGACTTGATGGTCAGAGCGACGAATCCCCTGGAGTTCGAGCCGACGATAGCTGAGACCTTTCTGGCCGAGGAGAACCCCTCGAGTTCTGCTGCTTCGGACGTCTTCGTGGTGCCAGCAACTCCCTCGAGGTTCTCCCGAAGATTCGTGGCGAGACAATCCTCGTCCTCCAAGAGGTACCAGGCCCTCCAGCCTCGTCAGGACTCCCCCAGGTCCCAAACGATGAGGCAGACGAGCTCGATAAGACTCAGCAGAGGCTACAGGATCGGTGAACTCCCAGACATCGAGATAACTCACGAGACAGTTCTCAATCCCCTCCAGGAGCTCATCAAGAAGGACCCCCTGATCTGCAAGAACCTGATGATCTCCATCATTTGTTCTGTGATGAAGAAACTCCAGAGTCATCGAGAGGTTGAGAAGAGGAGGTTCTACGTGGAGTTTACGGGAAAGGTCTCCAAGATGTTCGAGATGATCTTCAGGAGCCAACGAGGAGACGGGCTGACGATCGCTGCAGCTATGGAAGTCATCCTGAAGAATCCAGATTTGAGTTTTACTCCAACAATAGTTTCCCAGGCGGCTAAGGCCACCGGACTGGAGGTCCTGGGTGCTCTGCTGATTGAGAAGAGGTTGATGGCAGGTCCTGAGAGTGGGGAGAGCTCCTCGAAGAGGTCCAGACTCCTCGAAGAAGTTGGAAACACAGTGGAGGAGTGGGTGAACCTTGGAGAGCTCTACGAGTCCATAAACGACCACGACATCTTCTTAAGTGTCTTCAGGAACCACGTCCCAGGGGAGGAGCTGAACGCAGCGTCGTCAGCTCGCTGCAGGAATTCCTGGGAAGAAGCTAGATCTCATTACGAGGAAGCTATCGTTAAGGAGAAGGGGGCGATTCGTCGTCACTGCAGGCGAGGGCTATTGGAGTGTCTGGCACGTCTCTCTGACTGGGAGCAGATCTCCAGCTACACCCTCGAGGTTCTCGGTGAAAACCAGAGTCTCCTGCAACTCCTGGCGGTGACAGGGTCCTCCAGACACTCCTGGATGATCCCCTGGTACTTCAAATCTAGGATCTACCAGATCTTCGTGGACTCAAACTCTGCGGAAATGTTTTCAGCGGATTTGATGGCTGTCACGAGTTCTGAGGAAGGTCGAAGACTGGTGGAGGATCGTTTCACTGAGGAATTAGCAGTGCTCCACTCCACGAAGATGAACGAGCACGCGAGGGCGTTGGTGCTCACTGGCCTGAGAAAGACGAAGGATCGATGGAGTCAGTTGAGTCCTCTCTCTGTTCAGCTGCGACTTCAGGAGGTGGTGAAATTACGAGGACTTTGTGATACGAGGCTCTACAGGGATGCCTTGGCAGATCTGCGCCGAGGGACGTCAGCTGCCACTGAGGACCTGATCGACTACTGGGAGAGGAGTTTCCCCATCCCCCAGGACGACTTCCTCCCCTGGGACATTCACCTGGCCCAGAGGACGCACATGACAAACGTCTTGAAGAATAAAATCAGTGAATCTGAGCATCTGCCTGAGACCCTCTCTCCTAGATTATCGACGCTGGAGGTGCTCCAGAAGATGGCGTTCATAAAATCATCTTATCTCAACAGAAACCCCGTTCTGATGGCTAAATACATGGTGGAGGTGAAGGATTCAATCCCTGATATGACGCCAGACATACAGACACAATTCGAATTGAACAAGATCCAGATAAAGTTCCTGAGGGGGCAGCTGGGGTCTGACGAAGCCAAAATGAAGAACCTTCGAGTCTGCAAGGAGAAGTCCGAGGAGCTACTGATAATAGAAAACATCAGCATCGACGCAGCTATCGAGAACCTGCAGTTGATGGCTGACTGGTCTCTGGAGATGCTGGTCCTGAGGGATTCAGACGAGGAGATGTTCAACAGGATCATCTCCAAGCTGATTGAATCCTCCTCGTACCTTCCCACAGGTCTCCAGCTGGAGGACTACCCCCTGGACAGATTCAAGAGGGCGATAGGGCTCGTCACAGTAGAACCCACCCCCAAACGCCTGCAGGACTCCCACCTGAAGACTCTGAAATACTGTCACACCAGGATTGTCGATGGGACCGACAACGAGGAGATCCGCGAGACATTTATTGAATCGACCCTGAAAGCCATCAACTATGGCTGCAACGAGGCGATGAACTACTTCCCCTCTCTCCTGAAGGAGAACTATCTGAGGGACTACGACATGAGGTACTTCTTCATGGAGTTGACTAATGAAATCCCCAGTTGGAAGTTCCTCAGGTGGCAGCCCCAGCTCTTCATCCACCTGTCGTCCACACTTCGCCAGACTGTTGCTCCCATCATCGAGAGACTGGCTGATGACTACCCAAATGCATTGTTCTACAGTCTTCAATCCACCCTGGACAGCAGTCCAGAGCTGCAAGACAATCCCACGATACAGAAGTTGTTGAAAAAATTCGAAGACAGGAGCGATCTGAGGGACTTTGTGGAGGCACTGGAGTACCTGGTGAGACCAGAGTTGCTTCTCAAGTACTACCTCGATGATTTGGTGAGGAATCTGCACCTGGGGAGGCACACGGTCGTCGACAGGCTCTTGAAGAGGGTTTATCACCCCAGCAATCCGTCCATGCGAGGGGACTTGTACAAATACATTTCTCCTTTTGAAAACCAAGTCGTGAGGATCAGGGAGATGCCTCAGGGGGAGGTCGGAGGGTTCGTGGAGACCCTGAAGAGTCAACTGGATGCTTCCCTGAGGAAGCACAAGGACAGCAACAGGTTGAGGGACTACAGCCCCTACCTCAGTCAGATTAACGATTCCGCCCTGGAGGTGCCTGGTTTGTACTCCGGAGAGAGCTGTCCGGACCCCGGGTATCGTCCCAGGATCATGAAGATCGAGGGGAAGGTGCAGGTGATGAATTCCGCGAGGAAACCCATCAGGATTACCATCGTTGGGGACGACACCAAGTCGTACAAATTCTTGGTGAAGTTTGGAGAGGATCTCAGAGTTGATCAACGCCTCCAGCAGACCTTCAACGTGATGAACGAGGTGCTGAGGGCGGACCTCTGCTGCTCCCAGAGGAACCTCTCCATCAAGACCTTCAAAGTGATCCCCCTCTCCTCGAGGCTGGGCCTCATAGAGTGGATTGAGAATGCGAGAACTCTTCAGGAGTTCATCACGTTCACCTGGAGCGATGCGCAGAAGAATTATCTGCAGGTGTTGGACAGGGATTACGAGGGGTGGATCGGCGAGTGCAGCACTGGTGAGGGGAAGAGGGCGGTGAAGTACAGGGATGCTGTTCTCAAACGATCTGCTGAGGAGACGATTCGGAAGATGAGCTCTTTAATTGCTAAGACTGACTCAGCTGCTCTCAGGAGGACTTTCGAGGTGATCAGCCCGTCCGCAGAGAGCTTCGTGTCTTTCAGGAGGAATTTTGTTACTTCGTACTCGGTGATGTGTGTGGCACAGTGGATCCTGGGGATCGGGGACAGGCACCTCGAGAACACTATGGTTGGGGTCGAGTCTGGCGAGTGCACTGGCATCGATTTTGCGTCGGCTTTTGGAGGGGGAATTGATCAGGTGAGGAGATCAGGAGGAATATTTCAGTAGCGAAGCGGTAAACCGGGTTAAGTCGATTTTGACTATTGGCCAGTTTTTGAAGAATATCTCGGAATCTAAAAGAGATAGAAAAATTTTTGTCGTGACCTTTTTTGTAGATGCAATTAAGTGTTATAAAAAAGGTCATGAACAAAATTTCGCTATCTCTCTTAGGTTCCGAGATATCCGTCAAAAAGTGACGAAAAGTCAAAATCGACTTGACCCGGTTTACCGCTTCGCTACTGATTTTTTATAGCGATACTTCGCCCCTTGGGTGTTCAGGTGTTCGTATTATATGGGAGAAAAATTGATAGAATGATTTACCTCCTCTGAAAAATCTAAAATGACAGAGAATAGTAGAGGTATTATTGTTTTTTAAAGATTTGATTTGATCTCAAAATTAATGTATTTAATGAATTATCATTTTTTATTTTTTATTAACCATTAAGATAATAATGAAAAATGAAGTTGGTTCCATTATCTGTAACGGAAGTAATCACAATTCAATATTTTTCACATATTATTTATTTACTGCATGAGGATAATGCGAAATAAATAACGACTATTATCTATTTCTCAATCTCTGAATTCAGTCGGTTCCTGAGTTGATGCCATTCAGGCTCACGAAGCAGATACTGAAGCTCGTGGAGCCCTTCGACGAGGGGGATCTCGTCTCGGAGACGATGGAACATGCTCTGAGGGCCATGAGGAGCAACAGGGGACTAATTTCCGGAGTTCTGGGGGTCATTATTCACGAGAAGTTGAATTGGTTCCCATCCAAGAGGAAATTTGAGTGCGAGAGCCGGGAGGAGGGAGCAGAGATCGACTGGATGCCCAGGTGGAAGCTCGAAGTGGTTATGAGGAAGCTGAAGGGCGATCATCCCTCGGAGGTCATGGTCGACGAACTGAGGGGGCAGCATTGCGAGGCGATGGTTAAGAGATATGAGGCAATCATCAGAGGGACGGACTCTCGTGAAAAGTCCCTGAGATCGAGGCTCAGGGGGACAGGCCTCAGTAGTAGAGAGCAACTGCAATGTCTCTTGGAACAGGCGACCGATTTGAATGTTCTGGGGAGGACTTATGTCGGGTGGAGACCGTATTTGTAGAGAGGAAAATGCGGACAAAGGACAATATCGTGGGTAAGATATAGGGGAGGCTGGGGTAAAACGGCCATTTTTGACTTTTTTTAAAATGTTAGTGAGGGGTTGAAATGGTGATAACATTTAATATATTTTTTCAATACAAAGAACTACTTTTTCCCTTTGTAACGAGCCCAAACTGAGCTCAATTGATATATTTGTTTCTGAGTTATGAATAATTGTGAGAGTTTGATTGTGAATAAATGTTCACATTTTTGTAATGCCGGAGTTTTACATTCGTTATTCCTCTGTACCAAATACTATATTTTCGTTACTGCATTTTCATTGTCTTGACGATGATTGATCTCGAAAAAATATGTAAAAAGACGTTTTCGGAAATGTACTTCTCGAATTCCCTCGAAATGTCTAGAATTTTCTACAAGTCCAGCTGCACATAAGGATTGTTTCCCGAAAATAATTATCATAAAAGCGTAATTTATCTGCAGATCTGCCTCTCATTGGCTAGCATTCCCTCTCCTCCTGCCTCCCCCTCCCCCCCCCCCCCCCCCCC